ATAAAGTTGGTTATCTAACCCCAAAGGGGATTCTGGCTCAAATATTGACTTGAATGTTGAGTGAAGTTTAGCTCTTTTAGAGAAAACTACAAGGTTTCAGTATGGAATTCTCTGATACCAATAAAGGATAATATTTGTAGCTCAGGGTTGAAATGAGGGGTCCTTGGTGCTCTCTTGAGCTTGTCTGTTTTCTTGCTTTTTAGTAATTCTCGTTCTGAAAAAAACATGAAACACACCCTAGAAAAGGTTCAGAGTTTTCTATGACATTCCATACTGGTATCCATCAACTGAATGCATTGGAATTATTCAGATGATCAATTCATATACTGTGATGTATTACAAATACAGAGTTATGATTTCTATTGGCTGCGACTGATGACGTACAAGTGATGTAACTATGTATTTGCCATAACAATGTATTTCTGCGGGAAGCTGTCTTTTTTACTGTACTATAATGAAAACATGGATCCATGAGCTTTAAGGATTTTGCGAAAGATACATTACTTATTGAAGCAAAAATCTTAACAGTATCTTTAACTATTTTAGTGTAAGTTTTAAGGACAGTCCATTTCTCATGTAATTTTGTTTTCCTGCGGGATTGGGGTAAAGAAACAATTGCATATACTGAATAGAAATAAATGATTCCAGGGTTGGAATTCTGCATAAAATTTGCTTTTTTGTTGTTTCTACCTAGTTCTAAATGTGTGACTAAGAACAAGACATGGATGTCAAGCCCATCTTCAACAGAAGGAGACTTATCTCCACCAAAAATTATACCTATTGCACTTACTTTTTCACCAGATAAACCTTTTATTGAAATAGAAGAAGACATTACTAAAAAAGGGAAAACAGCAGAAGTAATACTAGCTAAGGAGGTAAGTTGTATTTTATCTGCCATGTCAAAATACAAAGCATGTATTACAGTAAAAATTAGTGTTACAACTGCTGCTTGTGTTCAAAAAATTTGAAAGATGCTATCACCTCCTAGTGTAGTTGTTACGGTAATATTTTACACTAGGAAGGCTCTTATGGTATTTCAATAATGAAGGATTTTGTTGGTCTTGCTTTTAAATGTGCTTTGCAAATCCATATCTCTTGAAAATATTTTAAATGCAATTATTTCAAATGTTGGTTATATTAATAGTCCATCGGTGCTTCCTATTAATACTTTGAGATAAATATTCTTGTTAAGAGTCCGTTTTCAGGAAAGGTAGGTGGGAAACTTATTTACACTGATGACTCATTAAGGGGAAAATTTTGAATTAGATCACACAAGCACTGAAATTAAAGGTTGTTTGGAGCAGCAGAATATCAAAGATTTAGGTACTGTATTTTGGGAGGTGGGGATAGATGTTATGTAACCTGACATGCTGTATTTTTGAGAATATGATATTGGAACACTTAAAACACTTTTTCTAGGACTTGTTGATAGAATTTGAAACAGATAAAACACCAGTTGCCATCCAGGAATGTGAAAACAAACCTCTCATTGATCTTAACACTCCTGAAATAACTAAAGCCTCTCCATTAAAACCTACAGGGCAGGTAAGGTTATTTTTATCTTGCTCTTAATACTGTTAAGTGTGGGTTGATGATAAAAAGTTTAATTACACGTATTTTACATTTAGAGGTTTACTCAACTGTTATCTTTGAAGCTTTGTTCAATAACTGATGTTATATATACTGCATGTAATATTAGAAAATTTAACCTCAAAATTCTGTCAAAAGCTGGCATTGCTTAGCTATTGCAAAATTAATATTTGAATTGGGTGCAATTGGTTGTAATCAACACTGCACTGTCAATGTAGATTTGCTAACAAATGGGTTTCTTTATATTTCCAAGAATGTAAAATGTTTTAATAATATATTTTCTACTTCTAGCTAATAGATCTGAGCTCTCCTTTGATGAAACTAAGTCCTGAAGGAAATAAAGAAAATTCACCTCTTCTGAAATTCTAATTTTTTTTTTTTTTTTTAAAAAATGGTTTTCAAACTGGAAAAAATTCTAGAATTTAGCAACTAATATTGCACTGGTGAGTAGTTTTAATACTGTAAAAAAAAAGACATGAAATTAAAATTGTGAACTTGAAATGTTGATATATTGCTGCTAGGAAAAATAGAAAAGATGGGTTTTTTATATTTTAAGCAATTTTGGTTGTAGCAAATGTATTTCCTGGTAAAACTATTTGTTTCAAAATTGTGCAAAGTAAATTGTAGATGTATGTCAAATATATTGAAATAAAGTTAAGCATTTTAAATATTGATTACACACTTTAATAATTATTGCAAAATATTCAGTGTCTCTGAAGACAATTGTAGGAAGTTAGCACTCACCCCTCTCCTAGAAGAATGAAATATTTTACGAAATATTAAAAAGGCAGAATATTATATTTCCCTGGATGAGAAATGGAGAAAGATGTTTTAAAGACAAAGCAGCTTCCTGCCTCCCCCCACCTTTGTCAGTGAACAGTCTGCAACACAATAGGACCCATCTAGCAACAGAAACTCACCACATGGCACCTGGGAAGATTACATCAGCCAGCAAGGCTAGCTAAGACCCCCACCCCCTGAGAGTCTAACAACCAATCAGGATACTCTTCCTGTGCCCCAGGAAGTTCAAAGCTCAGAGAGGGCATAAAACCAAGGCACGCTCAGCATCTCGGCCCTTTTCTGTTCAGGAACTCAAACCATGTGATCCTGTCCACCATTAAACCATCTTTCCAAGCAGTCTCCATGTTTCCACTGTCTTTTTTCCCACTTGGAACTGAACCCAGATGGATATTTGGATATTTTTTCCAACACAATCACAATTCAATCTCTTTAAGAATGGCAGATTTTTAAATACAGAACGTCTATTTATGGCAGGACAGAATGTGTGCCTGACTTTTCCTTGATATTCAACCACCCCGTGTGCAAATTTTATTTTATTAATTTGAATTCAGTATAAAACTACAGTATACTATCCCAAACTACCTTTCATTATGGTTCAGCTTTTAAAATCATTCACCTTTCTGATTAAAAATTGGAGTTAGCAGCAACTAACTGCTGTTAACTGGGTGTTAGACCCAAAACCTTTCATTTCTAAGTGGCTTGTCAAGGCAATTCATGTTAGAAAAGTTATTTGCCTCATGGAATTCCTTATAGCATGAATAATAAAAAGTTGTAAAAAGCAAAACCATTATCACATTTCTTTATCTTATTGCAACAGCTCAGATGTACGTGAAGTTTTGTCCTGCAACATATAAAATAGGAATTGCATATTTTGTTTTCATCATCAAAAAGAAAGAAATGATAATATAAAATAATACTGTTTAGTCATTGCTCTGCTTTTTGAAGGGATTTTTTTTTAAAAAAAAACACAATTTTGGTAGGCAATCTGCTGTGCTTGACCCATTTTTCTCTCCCCACCCTTCACAAGAGCAGAGATTGGACAAGAAGAGATGATTAAACAGCAAGTTGGCACACAATACGAAATATACCTGTTTGACTATGCACTTGTGGCTCTCCGCTTCGGAATCTGCATTCCTTTCTCAACTGTATTGTCAATGTATTCTCAACTCTCGTGATCCCTTCCTCTCCAAATTCTCCAGCCTGCATTGGGGGGAGGGGGGGATTGCCTAGTTCTTCCAACATGATTTATTCAAATAGTATGGGATCATCTGAAGATTTGCTCACTGACAAATCAAGCATAGGTTCGGATGCAGGAGAATTGTCATTTTCTACCAGTTCAGATTGTTATGCTGTTCTCCCACACCTGTCAGTGATATCAGGGTAGCTGCCCAGCAAAATAAGATTTCCCATTTTACTGCATGGCCTCCCATCACTCATTCATAGGGATACATTAAAACACGTTGAGCTAGGAACTGACTTGGAAATGTGTTGGACACAGTGGAAAAGGCTAGTAGGAAAGATGGAGGCTCTCTTGATGCCCAGGTGAGGGTGGCTGTAGAGGTCAGGGACCATAGGTCACACCTGCACCTACTTCAAGCAGTTATAAAGCACCAGGCTGAACCCACTTCTGATAAAAGGAATGAAAAATCATTAAGTAACGAGAAAAAAAAGGAAACATGGCACATTTACATTAAGGCTAACTGCAAGTGGGGAAAGGGAATTCTTATCTAGCGTTTATCATTTTAAGAAAGGTCAGGTGACCTGTCTTTACATAAGTTCCTTAAGATGGTTATCCAAGAATAATATGGGAATCATATCAACTAACAAGATAGTATAGTCTTAAGAATAAAAAAAAAGTACCTCTTTGTTTAAGGTAGTGTTTTTCAAACTTGGCAACTTGATGTGTGGATTTCAATTCCTAGAATACCACAGCCAGCATGCCAACTAGGGTAATTCTGGGATTTGAAGGCCACACTTCTTCAAGTTGCTAAGTAGGAAAAATAATGGTTTAAGGCAGGGGTCTCCAAACCTTGGGCACTTTTAAGACTTGTGGACTTCAACTCCCAGAATTCTGAGAATTGAAGTCCACAAATCTTAAAAGTGCCCAAGGTTGGAGATCCCTGGTTTAAGGAATGGTTCATAAAAGTATAGAATTTGCCTTGGTGTAAAATATTTTTTTTACTTTTTATTATTCATATTTCTATGCCGCCCACTCTCCGAGGACTCTGGGCGGCTTACACCAAAGACAGTATACTAAATAGCATATTTTCCCCAACAATCTGGGAATATAATGGAATGGGAATATAATGTAATGTAATGGGAATGAAGTGGAATAGAATAGAATGGAAGGGACCTTAGTGGTCATCTAGTCCATCCCTCTATTGAAGCAGGATACCCTGCAGACAAGTTTCTTAAAAAAAACCCTCCAGTGATGAAGCACCCACAATTTCTGAAGTTGTTAAGCTTCATATTTATTGGCAGAACAGCAGCAACCTATTCAAAACGAGCGATCCCAAAACAGGTTTAGCGAATCTGCACCGGCCCAGTCGGCCCAGTACAGCGAGCGGTTAAGGCCTCTGGTTAGAGACCGGGGAGACCCAATCCCTTTCTCTCAGACCCGAAAAGCAATCGATGGCAAAAACAGCTGCAAAATCTTCCTAAGGCCGCCAGGAACCATCCCTGACTCGGAAGGTGCGCGCACACGTGCACACGGGTGTCCTCCAGCGGTTGCTCCCATTCCTCCGCCTGAGGTGAATCCAAAAAAAAGGCAGGACTCGAGCTTCCATCCTCTTCCTCACCCAAAAATAAAAGGCCAGGAAAGGCCCTCCTCCCACAGTCGGCCCTCCTCCCGAGGGAGAGCGGAGGAGAAGGCCGCTTTCCCGGCCTTTTGTGAGCTCAGCTCCGCCCACAGACGGGCCCCGTCCTGCCTCTGCCCCGCTTCAGGTGACGGTTGGGGCCGCGGTCGGGGAAAAAGAAGTGCGGCCGGCTCTCGAAGCAGCGAAGCCAGACCATGATGGGGGCCGCTCGTCGGCACGTGGTGTGCGCCATGTCTGGCGGGGTGGACAGCGCCGTGGCGGCTCTGCTGCTGAGGCGGAGAGGTGAGGCTTCCCTGAGCGGAGAACGGAGGGGGCAGAAAGCAGCCGGCCCCGTATTTCCTTTACGGCCTCCTTTAACTCCCCCCTCATCCATCCGAGCTTTGTAGAACTTCCGTTCCGGTATATGGAGACTACAACTCCCGGCATCCCCCTTGGGAAGGCCTTTGAGAGGGGGTCGTAGTTAACCTCAGGTGGGCGAATCCTGAGGGAAGGACTGTAGCAATAGCAATAGCACTTACACCAGGGGTGGGCAACTGTGGCCCTTTTACAACCTGTGGACTTCAGCTCCCAGAATTCCTGAGACAGCTTGGCTGTCTCAGGAATTCTGGGAGTTGAAGTCCACAGGTTGTAAAAGGGCCACAGTTGCCCACCGCTGATTTACACCTATATGGGGCTGACATGATAGCAGCGTTCCAATATCTCAGGGGCTGCCACAAAGAAGAGGCAGTCAAGCTCTTCTCCAAAGCACCTGAGGGCAGGACAAGAAGCAATGGGTGGAAACTAATCAAGGAGAGAAACAACTGAGAACTAAGGAGAAACTTCCTGACACTTGGAACAATTAATCAGTGGAACAACTTGCCACCAGAAATTGTGACTGCTCCAACACTGGAAGTTTTTAAGGAGATGTTGGATAACCATTTGTCTGAAGTGGTGTAGGGTTTCCTGCCTAAGCAGGGGGTTGGACTAGAAGACCTCCAAGGACCCTTCCAACTTTGTCATTCTATTCTAAAAATATACCGCTTCATGGTGCTTTACAGCCCTCTCTAAACGGTTTACAGAGTCAGCATATTGCCCCACAACAATCTAGGTCCAAATCATGAACATAGCTGCGCTTAATAACAGTTGAACAGACAGCACACCACAAAAGTCTCACTTTGGGATTCAGGGGTTTATTAGAATTTAAAACATAGCAAACATAAAGCCTTTGCTTTATTATATACTTTGTTTATGTAATTGTAGGCAATTACATAACATTGCATACACTTCCTCTTTTTCCACAGCCTCAGTGCCCCCCCCCCCCCCCCCCCCCCCCCCCCCCCCATTTCGGCACATAGGGAACTACTGTGTCCATGTCCGCTACCATTTTATCAAGTGCACATGCTGATTTCAAATTTTCTTTTATACTTGCATCAGGTAATTTATGTCAGTATTGAACCCATCTCACCTCCCCAAACTCCCCTCCCCATTATTTTCCCCTCACACTGACCTCAGAAAGATGGAAGGCTGAGTCAACCTTGAGCCTGCTGAGATTCGAACTGCCAAATTGCAGGCAGCCAGCAGTCCTCAACATACAACCACAATCCAGCCCCAAATTTCTGTTGTTAAGTGAGATGTTTGTTAACTGAGTTTTGCCCCGTTTTACGACCTTTCTTGCCACGATTGTTAAGTTAATTGCAGTTAAATTAGTAACATGGTTGTGAATCTGGCTTCCCCTGTTGACTTTGCTTATCAGAAGGTTGCAAAAGGGGATCGCATAACTCCGGGACCCTGCAAGCGGCCTAAATATCAGTTGCCAAGTGTCCTAATTTTGATCATGTGACCATGAGCGATGCCACAATGGTCATAAGAGGGAAAAAGAGATAATAACTCACTTCTTTCATTGCCGCTTTGAAAGGTCACTAAATGAATTGTTGTAAGTCGAGGACTACCTGTATTTGAAATGCTTTGCCCTTGCCTTCTTTTGAAACACATTTTTTCAGCTTCTCGGCTCTTCCTGCAACCCTGGACTCTCATAGTGGTCTTCCATCCAAACATTTAGTCTGAGCTATTCAGTCCATTATTGCCTATGTGTTTTGACACACCTAGCTAGAATGAAGATTTTCTACTTGTCATGTCCACAATTTATTATTCTGGGAATAGTATATTTTATATTAGCACAGTCAGAGTTATCCAAAACTAGATAAAGTGTAGGAGATATGAGTTTTTGCTGTTGATGATTCAAACACTTTTTAAAAGTGAAAGATTGAACATTATTTGTAAGGATATCCCCAGTATGTTAATTTTTCTTGTATAGTATTGTCACTTATACTTTCTCATTTCTTACTTTCCCCATCTGAGCAGGATATGATGTGACTGGGGTGTTCATGAACAACTGGGACTTAGTGGATGAAAAGGGGATTTGTCAAGGCAATCAAGATTGTGAAGATGCCTATAAAGTGTGTCAGATACTCAATATTCCATTTCGCCAAGTTTCCTATGTTAAAGAATATTGGAATGAAGTGTTTAGGTAAGAGAATTTTCATAAATCTTTTGCTGAAAGAAAGCTTTGTGTGACTGGAAAGATTAATAAGAGAAATAAAGAGAATGGGTTTCCTATGTAGGCTTTGCAAGCTTCCTTGACTAGTTCTTCTCTCCTCTATTGCTTTTTATAATCTAGCAAAGCATCAATGCTCTATGCCCGTGATAGCAAACCTATGGTATGCGTGCCACAGGTGGCATGCATAGCCATATCGGTGGGCATGCAAGCTCAGGTCCGGTGCACATGCACGCACCAGCCAGCTGATTTTCGGGCCTTCTGGGCCCACTGGAAGTAGGGAAACAAGCTGTTTCCTTCCTCTGGAGGCCCTCGGGGGGTGGTAGGGAAGGCCCGTTTTTCTTTCTCCCTAGGCTCCAGAGGCTTTCTAGGAGTCTGGGGAGGGCGAAAATGGCCTTACCCACTCCCACGGAGGCCCTCCAGAGGCAGGAAAGGGCCCGTTTGTCGCCTCCGGAAGGCCTCCAGGAGGAGGAGAGGCCATTTTTGCCCTCCCCAGTCTCCTAGAAAGGCGCTTGAGCCTCGGGAGAGCAAAAATGGGTCTTCTGGTCCCACCGGAAGTTGTCAAACGGGCCGTTTCCAGCCTCCGGAGGGCCTCCGGGGGGCGGGGGGGAAGGCCGATTTCACCCTCCCCAGGCTCCTAGAAAGCCTCTGGAGCCTGGGGAGAGAGAAAAACGGGTCTACCGGGCCCACCATGCTATCGCGTGGCAGGAACGGGGGGAGTGCGGAGGAGGTCGCGCGTGCATGTGCGGGGGTGGGATGCAAAGAATTATGGGTGTGGGCATGCACATGCGCAATCTCCCCGCACTCCCCCCGCTCCTGGCACGCAATGGCAAAAAGGTTAGCCATCACTGCTCTATGTTTTGATTATGAAAGTGTATATGAAAAATGGCCCAATTTTAGAACATTCTGAAGTCTAATAAAACTCCTTTGCTTCTACAAGCAAACACAATCCTGCATGGACCCAAAGGAAGCTTATTGGAAGAGCTGCAAATGATAAACTAAAGATACAGACTTTGTTGAGTTGAATTTAAGTTCTGATGACTACAACACAGCCACATGGTTTTCTTGGGGATAATATGGAAGTAATTCCATATTATAGAAGTAAGAGCCTTGGTAGTACAGTGGTTTAAGGCACCCTGTTATTAAGCTGGTTATTAAGACCAGCTGCCTGCAATTACTGCAGGGTTCGAATCTCGCCAAGGCTCAAGGTTGACTCAGCCTTCCATCCTTTCTAAGGTAGGTAAATTGAGGACCCAGTTGTGGGGGCAATAAGCTGACTTTGTATAAATATACAAAAGGATGAAGGCTATTGCTGAGCACATTGTAAGCCGCCCTGAGTCTTGGGAGAAGGGCGGCATATAAATCAAATTGAAAAAAAAAATAAAAAAAAAAATTCACCATTTCCTATTTATAGTATATGGCTACTCCTTGACTTACAACCATTCATTTAGTAACTGTTTGAAATTACAACAGCATTGGGAAAAAATTATAGCCAGTCCTCGCACTTATGACTGTCACAGCATCCACTTGGTCACATGGTTAAACTTTGGGCATATAGGAACTGCATATATTTCTGATGGTTGCAGCATCCCAGGGTCATTTGAAAAATACTACTATAAATCAATCCTTTTTTCAGCCATGTCATTTTTAAATGATTAAAAAAGGAGCTAATTATAAACTGAAACAGCTTCAGTAAAATCTGGTCAGGGCAAAGAGTATTCTCTATGCTGATCAGCTACTTCTGATGAATTTGATATGATTCAGGTGTTTAGCTTTATATCAAGTAATTGGGATTCTTGATGGAGTAATAAACATGCTTCTGCATTTCCAAAAACTCATAATCATTTTAATGTTTTTCCCCCCTTACCTACAGCTACCTTTTAAATGAATATGAAGTTGGACGGACACCTAATCCTGATATTATATGTAATAAAAACATCAAATTCAATTATTTCCTACACTATGCTATGAATAACATTGGTAAGTTCTACTTTCAGTGGTGTTTTCCTTTCTGAAAAATGAAGATGTGGAATAAACCTAAAAATCAGTCCCAATTTTGCATACAATCTTTTTACAGCGTATCAAGATCTGGCTTTTCAGATCAATCTGTGTCTTAATTGAAGGCGTAGTCTTACACTTTTGTATTCAGAGAAAGCATTACTGAATTCAGTGATGTTTCCTCCTGACCAAAGTGGTACAGGTACAGAAATATCAGGGATATTGAGAAATATCAATATGAGGAATATCATAAAAACAAAAGTCGGGAAATATATTAGACGTCTTGCTAAAATAATAGTATCTAATTTGCCTTTATTTTTTCAAAATCATACCAGGAGCTGATGCAATAGCAACTGGACACTATGCGAGGACCTCCCTGGAGGATAATGAAGTTTTTCATCAAAAATACAAACAAGAAGCACGAGGACTATTCAGAAATAGATTTGAAATTAGAAACAGTAAGTGCTCCACTGTTTAAAGCATCAATTCTCAGTCATCCAGGTCATGGTTGTCCCAAAGATGCTTTTTCAGGAGGCAACTGGACTTCCTTGTTTTTCTTTGACGACATTTCACTTCACATACAAGAAGCTTCAAACAGATTTCCAGAAAAAATGGCAGATTACAGGAATCATCTACACTTCAGTTTGAAATGCAGACAACACAGACCCATCCCCAACAGCCTGTGCCTATCTTCAACAGTGAAGGGACACAGGGCAGAAAAACATCCTTCAGCCAAGAAGGCTCCAAACCCATTTGCACTTCTCAGGTGACCCTGAGGACACAGATAAACCTCCAAGTAGCCTCCATGACTCTCTAGAACAGGGGTCAGCAACCTGTGGCTCTGGAGCCACATGCGGCTCTTTGGGCCCTCTGCTGTGGCTCCTTGTCTGGTGATCCCACCACTGGCTGGCCCCACCCCTTGCCCTCCCCTACCAGTCACTCCTCGCCTGGCCTGAGAAGGTAAGGGCGACGGCAGGGGATGGAGAAGTGGCCAGGGCAGAGAGAGGGGAGAGAGAGAGACATAAAGAGATACAGAGAGAGAGGAGGGAGAGAAATGTCAAAAGGGTTTTGTGGATCTCGGTGTTTTTTAACAACTGGTTCTCTGCCCTAATAACCGGCTGGGTAGGCGTCGCGGGTGTGTGTGTGTCATGTGACTGGTGGAAGTGAGTGACATCGAGTTGACCACGCCCACCCAGGTTTTGTGGCTCCCGATGTTTTCTTTTCTGTGGGAAACGGGTCCAAATGGCCCTTTGAGTGCTTAAGGTTGCAGACCTCTGCTCTAGAAGAATGCAAATGACCAGCTGCCTGAAAGGAATATAAATCCTTCCATTCCCCACCATCCAGTCAGAGCTGAAGAAGCTTCTTGGATGAGAAGCAAAACGTCTTCAAAGAAAAACAAGAAAGTCCAGTTGCCTCTTGAAAAAGCACCTCTAGCATCAATTAGTATAATGAAATGAATGGTTAGTAGTAGGCGCCTTGTCTGCAAAACTCTTAGATTAAAACTGGAAAATAAGATGAAGAAAACAGCTAATTGATGTTACATTTTTGCAGAAAGAAAATGGTTAAAAAACCATCTGCATTGGATTTAAAGTAGTATATCATATATCATATTGCTTATATATCAAAGTATCATATCACATTATATATCATCATCTTGATATCAAAGATACCATATCATAATCAAGAGCCTCTTTATTGAATATTCCTTGAAACAAAATCACATTTTTTATTTGTTACTTCAGCTTTCTTGGTATATAGTATTAACTGCATAGTATGTTGGCTTGTTTTATTGTTTTCTGCCATGTTACTATTTTCTGTGATTTAAAGAATCGAACCAAATTTTCCTCTTGCAGCTGTCAAACTTCTTCAGGGAGCTGATCACAATAAAGACCAAACATTCTTCCTCAGTCAAATTTCTCAAGAAGCTTTGCAGAAAACCATTTTTCCTCTTGGAGACTTAACAAAAGACTTTGTGAAGAAGATAGCTGCAGAACATCAGCTTTATCATGTGTTGAAAAAAAAAGAGGCATGGTAACATTTCCTACTCAAAGAACTCAATCATTATAAGGTGGGGGGGGGGATCTATCATTATAACTTAGAGCAGTGTTTCTCAATATTGCACATTCATTTTCCTCTTCATACTTCATAGTGTTCCCCTGAAGCTTGGTCCATATGTGGAAGAGCTACTCTTCCATTAAGATCAGGGGTGAGCTGCTGGGGTTCGCAGGGGTTCGGGAGAACCTCTAGCTAAGATTCTGTGCAGTTTGGAAAATCCCCAAATCCCACTCCTGGCTAGCCCCGCCCTGCCCTGCCCACCCCATCCCTCCCAGGAGTCCCCACGTGGCCCGTTTTGGATGCAGGTAAGTGCAGGGCATGCATGGAGGCTTGGGGAGGGCAAAAAACGGGCCTACCGGAAGTTTGGGAAGGGCCTCCAGAGCCTGGGGAGGCCATTTTTGCCCTCCCAGAGGCTCAAAGAAAGCCTCTGGAGCCTGGGGAGCGCAAAAATGCCCCCGCCCACCATGGTGCAGGAGGCCGACTAGGCCACGCCCACCATGGCCACGCCCACCCAGCAACTGGGCAAAGAACCCCTTGCTAAAATTTTTGAAGCCCACCTCTGATTAAGATGTGTGGATTACAACAAAAATTCCCCAGCCAACAATCGCCAAGTTTGAAAAACATTAGTTTAGACGCCATTGCAATCTGGAAATGACCAAAAGCTGTTTTTTTGATTGATCATCTTTCTGGATAAAATTACCAATTTGTGCCATTTTAGTGCTTTTGATCGTTTCTAAGACAGGAATTAGTTCTTCTAGCTTTCATTGCAGCCAAGTAGGATAGTCTTCTGATGAACACATATTTTTCTATGAGCTGTCGGCATTTCATATTGTTTATTTTTCCTCTAAAGTTCACTATATTTTTTTTAAGATTATTTGTGCATCTAGCCTGTTTCTAGATTTGTAGGTGAGAATAGATAGATATAAAGTGCCGCTATTTGAATTTTCAAAATCCCTAAAGGATGACTATCAATTGTGTTTTATTTTAGAGCATGGGCCTCTGTTTTGTTGGTAAAAGGGATTTTTCAGAGTTCCTCCTTGAGGTGAGAAATTACTGATTCACAGTTTTTATGAACACGTGTACATTTTATTTTATTATTACTTTCAACGTTATTACTTTTAAATGGAATCTAAATTGAGAGGATTTTTTTTCCCCCCCTTGTAGTATCTGCAACCACGTCCAGGAAATTTTGTCTCCATTGAAGATGGCAAAATTCTTGGAAGACACAAGGGTGAGCAAGTGTTTTTTTCATTCAGTTCCTATTAAATGATGTGAAATATAAAGATCTCTACATTAACACACATACACACCCCGAATTTGGCAACATAAAACTCAATAAATCTTTAGTTTCCCCCAAACTGTCTGATCACCTTCAGCCATGATGGCTCAGTGTTAGAGTGCAGTATTGCAGGCTACTTCTGCTGATTGCCAGCTGCGAGCAGTTTGGCAGTTCAATTCCCACCAGGCTCAAGGTTGACTCAGCCTTCCATCCTTCCGAGGTGGGTAAATTGAGGACCCAGATTGTTGGGGGCAATATGCTGACTCTATAAACCGCTTAGAGAGGGCCGTAAAGCAGTGTGAAGCGGTACGTCTAAGTGCTATTGCTATTATCTGGCAATGGATTCGAATGAATTTGGAGCCCCAAGCCCCTACAATATCCTCTTGTTAAAAACATCTGGCCACAAAAGCTTCGAACTAGGTGGCGAGTTACTAAACATTTGGTTACTGTTTTTATTAGGTGATACTGTCTAAGGAAGTGGGATTTTATAAAGTGAACAAAATGTGGATCCTTTAATCTCCTTAAAAATAAAAGGTGTAAAGCAGGCTAAACATAAACATACTTAAGAAAGGAATCTATTAATGCTGAAAATTAGACCAGACTTGTAAGGGGAGAATAATGTTTTTTCGGGGAGATAGGAGGGGTAATAATTACTCGGCTTGGCCTGGGGGGGTTCGAGGGAGGTGGTTTGCATATGGAAAGAGATTCCATAGGATGGCGCCTGGAATTTTGACCAGTCCCAAGTGGGAGAGGAGATGGGTTAAACTAACCTTGAACATTGGGAGAAGATGTTGTGTGGTTTCTTTGACATCTGACATCTTATTTGACTGCAGATCTTTTGAGAGAGGTGGGGAGGAAAGAGGGAAAGGAAAGGGAAGGAAAGGGAAGGGAGAGGAGAGGAGAGGAGAGGAGAGGAGAGGAAAGGAAAGGAAAGGAAAGGAAAGGAAAGGAAAGGAAAGGAAAGGAAAGGAAAGGAAAGATAAGATCAGTTTCAGAGGCAATGCCTCTGAAAGCTCAATAGAGCTTTCCAGGCTCCTTTTGGTAGACAACTTTCCAGAACAATGATTTTAGCTATATTTTAATTATATTATTTGAATTACTATTGTTATTATCGGTATTATTATTGATGGCTAATAAGTTGTTGTTGGAAAAAGCAGTGATTGCTGTCTAGGAGCATTTCAGAAAACCTGCCAGAGATATATTGCTGATGATTGTATTACAACGGAGCAGTTTATAAATCCAATCAATCAGCATTCACATTCTTGTGCTGTGTAATTACGAAAGCCTAACATGTTAATATATATTATTTTAAACACATCTGGCTGCAATTCTACACTGAGGTAATTGTTGGTTAAGAGTGCTGATTATATTCAGAACTCATTCTCGCGTTCCGAAATTTCTATTACATCTTTTACGAAAATTACCTTTGCCCAACCTAAGCTCCTTTGTGGATTGTTGACTTCCAGCACCATTGGGGGCCTACCCACTTAAGACAAGTTGTGTCCCCTTCATTTCGATGCATATTGAGAGAGTTAAAAGTACTTTGAGCTACTGTTACTTTTTGCTAGTGTTATTGGAACTTGGAAGTAAGTCACATTGGAATCGGTTTAGAGATGAGATATTGGTTAGGATGAAGCTGTTACATTGATTCTTAAGCATAATGAGTTTAAATTTCAACCATACATTCTGTTTTTTAGGGAAATTAATCTATATAAACTCTTGGCAGATTATTTTAATCTGTAATGTGTGCTTGCTGGTATTCTGAATGGACCTATTTTTTCCCGATGAAATACAGAAAATCCTGTTGTAGTTAATAGCATTTTCACAGAGTAAGCTTATACTTGATACCTGATACCTAATTTTCTGTTTCCTTTTTTTGGTGCTTTTGTTAATAAATACTGCTCCAGAGTCGTAGGTACTAACTTGTAATTGATCTTATTCAGCTTGTTCAAGATACAAATCTCATTCCTAGCCAGCTTGGATGATAGCATTTAGAATCATAGAGTTTGGAGGACCAGAGGGAAGAGGGTAAGGGACCACATACTGGTTGCAACAGCATAATCAAAGACCTGCCCCTTTATTGGGATGTTGGTTAGGATGAGACTGTTAAACATGAGTTTAAATGTCAACCATACATTCAGTAGTTGTGTGTTTCTTTTCTGCATTTTGCCTCTTGACTAAACAGCTGGTATTCTTAATCTTTTCTTTCCCTTTTGTTTTCAACATATCTGTGGGTTATATTTTAAAATATGTCTCTTGCTTTTCTTAGGTTGCTTCTTATATACGTTTGGCCAGAGAGCTAAGCTCAGAATCGGCAGTAATGCATGGTTTGTTGTAGATAAAAACATTGCCTCTGGGGAAGTTTTTGTGGTAAGTTTGCTTGCATTTGTACCGTTTGTGATTGCTGCCTAAAAGAATGTGGTTATTACTGGCCCAAGATTCTTGGCTTTTGCATACAAAAGAAAAACCAAAGCTGTTAAGTCAACCGGGTGTCGAGAAGTTTCTTTACATCCTGTTCAAACTAGCTTTTGATCAACAGAAAATTGAAAAGGACGTTGGCACAAACTATGCAATAAACGGCAAGCAATGAAAGAAATGATCAGACTGTTGAGCTTCACTTTAAAAGAAGCATGCCTTCATCCTAAGTGTTTCATCTTTAAATCAAACCATCATCCTGATGCCATAGTTCTATTGTTAGTGATGGTCCCTGTCGCAGTTTGGAAGGGCTGATTTGTACAGTGCATCCTTAGATTCCTGCTTTTCTCTTCCCTTATCAAAGGGAAATAGATGCCCATTTGTGAGGGTGGAAACTGCCGTGAGATTTTGATTATTGTATCAAAGGTCACACAATGTGACATCAGCACTGGGAGGGGCTGAGCAAGCAGCAGCACCTTGATGGACATGCTGAAACTGTCCACTTGCTGCCTCTTTCATCAATATTTCCCTATTCCCATGGATGGTGTAAGGATACACAAGTAGTCCTCACATAGCAACTTTGCAATTACGCCAATGATGAAACAGTAACTTTATGTCCAATTCTTGCATTTATGCGGATTGTAAGGCAAAGAAAGGTGGAAGTAAGATCGTAGGTGCAGTTGTGCATCGCTTAATAACTGCTTCGCTTAACAATGGAGTTGCCGTTACTAACTGAAGTCGCTAAATGAGAACTACCTATACTTAATATACTCCTTTAAGCCTAAATTTATATGGGGAGCAGTGTCTCCACTCTTGTAGCAGTGCTTTTGTTCTTTTTTGGCCCTTTAAATGATGACATTTTGGAGCTATAGCGCTCACTTAAGATTAATATCTACCTGTGCAAAAACATAATTTCTTGTTCATGTTACTTTCATAGCTTTAGCCACGTATAAGCTAATTATGGTTAAAACAAACCATGGTTAAGTTTTATGCCCAACACTTTCTTGCTTTGTGCAGGAAACAAAACATTCCATAACAGTTACCAGTATATAGTGCAATGTTTTGTGATCTTGGCAACTTTGGACTTCAGTTCCCAAAATTGTGTGAATTGAAGTCCATGTGTCATAAAGTTTGAGAAACACTGATCTAGTTTAACTGTATAAGCCTGTTAGTTTCAATAAATTACTGTATGACCCATGAGGGCTCAGCACTCTGGGGCCTGTGGTCCCAAATAGCTATTGGAGACTCCTGTGATCATCTTACTAGCAGCCAACAATATGGCTATTGAAAATTAGCAGACTACTTCCCTTATTTTGGAAGGTGGAGCCCATAAAGGTCTAATTATATAAAAGGCTTCAGATAGTTTTAAGATAGTTCAAATAAAGAGAGAAGAAACCGAAAGGGAAAAAATAGAAATCCTGGCCAGCTGGTTCTATATGGTATATAGCTTACTATACGGTAGGTCAAGTTTAGCATTGCCTTTTGGAAAATGGTAAGTAATATTAAATTTGCCCGCCTCAGCGTTCCATCAAACCCGCCTGTGATATTTTCTATGGTCTCCCCTTTATAAAACAAATAAAATGAGCATGTTGTTGAAAAAGAATGCAATAAAGATTGCATTTATCATCGCTGTGATAGAAAGAGGACCTAATGATTGGTGTTTTTACCCCCACTCTCAAAGCAGAAGTTTTATTTTGCCTTCCAATTTAACTTTGAATTTTTGTTTCCTTTTACTTGTTGCTAATTTTATCTATATATAGTGCTGAGATGCTCAGTTGTAAATTAAAATTTTTGCATCCTTCTGAAGGCTCCCTGCAGGGATCACCCTGCACTTTACAGAGATCTTTTACGGACAAGCAGAGTGCATTGGATTGCTGAGGAACCTCCTGCAGAACTCATTCAGAACAAAATGATGGAGTGCAATTTCCGCTTCCAACACTTGATGGCGCTAGGTGACTAGTCTTTGTTAATGGGAAGATCTTGGTGGCACACATGGCACAGATAGAGGGCATTTATAGAAGGAAATATTTACAGGAAATGTTTATAGAAGGAAACATGTTATTTGCTCAGATTACAAATACCATTGGCTGAGAATACAGGTTCTGAAGTTTTAATTTCTGGTTTTAATTGGGTTTTATGTGTTTGTAAAGGGTATTTTCTAAATTCTGTATTTAATTCTGGTGGTTTGATTGTTTAATTATGTGAGCCAGCCTAAGTCATGTAGATGGGCAATCAAATCAAATCCATAAAAGTCAATCACTTAACAGTTGTTGTTTTTTTTATTCCTAGTACCTTGTACATTAACCCTAAATCAAGATGGATCAGTATGGTTGACTCTGTCTAAGCCAATAAGGGATCTTACAGCAGGGCAGGTATGTGTTGAGCCTTCTTCTCTGTGATTATCTTAAATTTTCTAATCCTCGCAGGACGTATTTCCCTGTAAATACACTCAGTTGCACTTTTGAACAGATAAATTGAATAGCAAAGTATGAAGCAGATTTTGTCCACGCACTGTATAACTGGACAGTTTGTTCATACATATTATTGGTTGATTTATTAAACAATTACATATGAGCGAGTAGAAAATCTCAGCAGGAATCTTGGTTCTATACGTTACTATTATCAGCTGAATGTTTGAACATGATCCAACACGGCTGGCGTGATTCATAATAATTTTCCCTTGAGTTTTGTTTGATTCTCAGCACCGAGAGGAAGGTTTTATAAACATCTGTATTGCGTTTGTCTGCTAGCAATGGTAATAATGAGGGAAATTAAGCTATATTAAGCTATACCTATAGGTATTTACTTGCAAGGAGGCCTCATTTATTCTCCAAGAAAAACATTGTTAATAGTATTGAAGGAAATGGAATAGAATATGTGCAGAAGATATCTGATATGATCTATGGATCTCAGCAAAGGTGTGGTGGGAAGGCAAGCCTGCTCTGTCTGCATTTATCCTGGATAAGATGATCCATTTTTTTTTCCTGGTTAAGATTTATTTTATTTATTTATTTAATTTTAGTTCTTGTACAAACATGTACAAGAAAACAGATATAAATATAAACATGGACATGAACACAGGAAATGAGTACAAATAAATGGGGACGGTAGGAAGGGACGGTAGGCACGTAGATGCGCTTATGCATGCAGACATACCTCTTAGGTTTACAGACCTCTTAGGAATGGGGGTGAGGTCAACAGTAGATAGTCTAAGGTTAAAGTTTTGGGGGTTTGGGGATGAAACCACAGAGTCAGGTAGTGCATTCCAGGCATTGACCACTCTGTTGCTGAAGTCATATTTTCTGTAGTCAAGTTTGAAGCAGTTTACCTTTAGTTTGTATCTATTGTTTGCCCATGTATTACTGCAGTTGAAGCTGAAGTAGTCATTGACAGGTAGGATGGTGTAGCAGATAATTTTGTGTACTACGCTTAGGTCAGACTGTAGGCGGTGTAGTTCTAGGTTGTCCAAGCCCAAAATTTCAAGCCTGGTGGCATAAGGTATTCTGTTGTGAGCAGAGGAGTGGAGGACTCTTCTCGTGAAATACCTCTGGACTTGCTCAATTGTATTAACGTCCGATATACAGTGTGGATTCCAGGCAGACGAGCTGTATTCGAGAATTGGTCTAGCAAAGGTTTTGTATGCCCTAGTTAGCAGTACAATGTTACCGGAGAAGAAGCTTCGCAAGATTAGGTTAACAACTCTTAATGCCTTTTTGGCAATGCTGTTACAGTGAGCTCTGGCACTTAGATCATTTGAGATGAGTACTCCTAGGTCCTTGACAGAGTGAGAGATTCAATAGTCTAATGTTCAGTTAGAACTGTTTCTCAATCTCAGCAATTTGAAGATAGGTGGACTTCAACTCCCAAATTTCCCCCAACCAGCTGAAGTGGGCTAGAAAAATTCTGGGACTTGAAGTCCTCCCATCTTCTCAACTTGCCGAGATTGAGAAACACTGAGAAAGCTATTTGAGAATTTTTGGGGAAAACAAATGCACATCTTTACTTGACTAAATACAGTGGAACTCTACTCTTTCTCTGCCCTTCGTTGCCTTCTCACCACAGTTAACACAGCAAAAATAGCAACTGTAATGGAAGAAGAATGATAGCTTTCATTAATTAGCAAAAAACATTCAGAGGGCTTGCTAAGCTGCAGGCTTTATCAAGTCCTGTCATGCAAGCTGACGTTGTGGAATAGATTCTGTAAATAACCGAGAGTCTGTGAAAAAGAGTAGGATGTAAGAGCTCTACCCAGTTGGTAAAAAAAATTCTCAGCATTAAGAAATATCTGAATCACGGTTGCTTAAAAACGGTGAGAAAATTCAAATTTTAAATCGTGCGTATTTTTAACAAAGGAAATAATGCAGCTGGAAAAAGGGAGAGACTCCATTGAATTCCTTAATTCAGCGCGTTTGTTCTAAGATGTGTGAATATAACCCGTTGTGATTCACTGTTGATAGGTTTGCTGGATTGTTATAATGAACTCAATATTTCAGACTTCTTTGGGAAGCTCTCCTTACCATGTGAACTGAAAAAAAAAATCTGTTTGAATGGAAGAATTATCCTATGATAATTTACTTAGATGCTACTTTTTATCAGTTCAATTTACACGGCTAAGAAAGATACCTAATAATTATGGTAATAATTATGCTAGCCATGAATTCACCTTCCTATTCTCTACGTCAGTGGTCACCAACTGGTGGTCAGTGGTCCACGAGAAAATTTTGGTGGTCCTCAGAAAAATTATTTGCATTTTTTATATTGCACTAAATCAGGGGTCCTCAAAACTACGGCCCCTGGGCTGGATACATGCAATTAACATTTCTGTTGCTGCAGAGAGTCTCCCCCTTTGGGGTCTTTTTATGTGGGTTGGGGGGCAGAAATTCCGACTTGGGGTCTGCTTCAACCTCCTGGTACGGGCTTTGGGCGAAGAGCCGGAGGGCCTCGTTCCAGTGGGACAGCGTCATGGCCGGGAACTAGCTGACCATCTCAGCCCGCTGAGCCTCCAGGCACCGGTACCTGGCCTTGCACTCCTGCAGGTCTTCCCTCTGCTTGGAAAGTCTATGCTCGTAGTCCTCAGTGAGGTGCTTCTGCTGAGCCTCCTTCTCGGTCAGATCCAATTTGAACTGAGCCAGCTGTTTTGCCAACTCTTTCTCATGGTGGCTGCTTAGCTCCAGCAACTGCTTTCTGTTGGGGCCCTAAGGACCCCGGGCGGGCAGGCGGGGAGTAGCGAGTAGAGGCTGGCAAGGCGCCCCTCGACGTAAGTGACATTGAGTCACATGACCATCCAGTCACATGACCACCTTGCCATGCCCATCCATCTGATCATTAGGCAGATCATATTAGTGGTCCGCGGGATTTAAAATTATGAATTTAGTGGTCCCTGAGGTCCAAAAGGTTGGTGACCCCTGCTCTATGTTATATGGGATGTTTAAAAGCTGAGTAGTCAGGTGACACACACATACCCCTTCTCAATCACAGCCTCACGCTTCAGTACAAATTGTCACTCTTCTGTCTTCCAGTTTGCTGTTTTCTACAAGGGAGATGAATGCCTAGGCAGTGGCATGATTCTGAGACTGGGGCCTTCAGTCTTTATTTTGCAACAAGGCAAAAACAGGGAGACCACTGGGGAGAACATATCAGCTGATGAGGTCACAGTCCAGCCGACCAAATGATTTCTTGCTTTCTTAAAACCAAGCAGTGTTGTGTGTTTTTTTAAAAAAACTGGTTAGTCAAAAGCCTTGGAATGATCGTCGGATACATGAATGCACATCTGGATGTGTTTGGAATTTATCTGGAAAAATAAAACGGTTGTGACATATGGAATGACTCTTCTTGGTGAGAAAATGGTTACCTTTCCCCATCTCTTGAAGCCCAGCCCTGTGCAGAAGTTGAACAGAAGGCAACAACGCTCAAATAAGTGTGCATAGGATTGCCATGTAACATATCCTGTTTGAAGAATCCTGTTAAGATCATGCAAGTAAGTTTTTCGGAACGTGGAACAGTAGATTTATGGCTAAATCTACTGTCGTGAGATCACAATGGACTTCTTTATCCTCTTTCTCAATATTTGCCTTTTGGTTGCCCATCTTGTAAACTTTCAAACCAGAAAGCCATTAGCAAGTTGTTACAGCTCAAAGATAGATAAGAAAATTGGTGTGTGTGTATGTGTGAGTGAGAATGCTGGGGATATCTACAGATCTCTTTTTTTCTTTTCCTATGAAATGTCCTAGTAGGTGTTAATTAATTGAAGTGCAACAACTAGGAAAAATTCTTGGCTCTTGAACATGCTGGCAACTTCAGATAATATTTTGAAGAACCTTCTGATATTTGCCTTTATCTATGAAAAAGCTGCTTTGTGTAATCGCTTCAGCTGTATTTGGGTGTTCCAGCTCCCAACACAAGTAGAATTGTATTGGGGAGATGACTAGATCAGGCCCCACATTTTCTGCTCCTCTCATCTCTGTCATTCTCCACAAGTTAGAGAGGACACGTCTCCACTGAGAATCCTGCTTTCTACAAGCAGATTCCCCATCAGGTTTCAAGCCTAAACAGAGCCAGAGTTTATGGCATGCCTTCAAATCGTGGACTGGAGGGGATTCAGGCAAGACTTCTCATTCTCTTCTATGTCTTCAATGAGGGTGGAGGATAAATAAGCCTTTAATAAACTAAAGAATAATATTAAAGGTGGCTTTGAAAATCATTGAAGAAAATGGCATTTTCCTGTTCCGTAATTTTAATAAAAATCATTTTTAACGGCAAGACAACACACACAATGTAGATATGTGGGAAATGTTAGTCTTCTATATAGCCTGCTTATTTTAAAGAGGAAAATCTCATAGATTCATCTCAAGTCCAAAATTTCTACAATGTCTTTTTTTCCTGTACTTAAAGTGAAATAATGTCTCTTTTGAGGAAAAGTGTATTATGAGTCAGATTCATAATTGCCTATTATTTCAGAGTTTTCATTTTTTGACACAAATTAACTGTCAAGTTGATATAACACGAACCCTACCTATGTACTTAAATTATTAATTCATTCCTTTAGGTTTGAAAGCTTTTGATATGTATTGCAAGTAAACAAAAGCTCATGCTTTGTCAAGTGAAAACGTTTTAGATTTTAGTGATTATTTTACAAATAACTTGAAAGACTCATAGAACAACATTTCAGTCAATAAGCTTTTAATCATGTTTTATATTTCAACGTGTGAGAGATGTATTTTGGGAGAAGAGGCTATGAGCAATATTGAAGCATCAAGTTGGAACAAGCTGTTCTCCCATGAAGACCAAGGATGGCTTTAAAGCTGCATCATAGCAACCAGAGTTTCTATGGTAACAAAATGATTCAGTCTATATGACAGGTTGTAGCACCTGCAACTACATTCCCTCCCCTTTTTTTTCAGCCTAGACCAGGCTATCCTTCTATCCATGACTATATTCACAAAGAAAAATCAAAATTGTATTTGTAAGTAATAACCTTATCAACATGATGTGCATTTTGTCTCTTTCTTTTCCCTATCTGGAAATTCCATACTATTAATGTATTTTTTGTTAGATCTCTGGAGATGAAAATTACTTGGAGGGAGGATCCTTAAACAATCAAGTATGTAATTGTTCCCTTTTACATGATAATTTAGTATCATTACTAAATCACCGATTTAGTAATGCCACCGATAACCTCCCACCGGCCAATGCGCTCCCACAGAGAGGGCTTCCTCAGGGTGCCGTCGGTCAGGCAATGTCGGCTGGCGATCCCCCGGGGAAGAGCCTTCTCTGTGGGGGCTTCTGCCTTATGGAACGAGCTACCCCCAGGGATACGACTGATCCCAGACCTCCGGACCTTCTGCCGGGCCCTGAAGACTTTTTTATTTCAGCAAGCCGGGCTGGGTTAAAAATCTTTTAATTGGGGAATTTTATGGGCAAGGGGTTTTAAATTGGGGAAGCCAAAGATAAATTTAATTTCATTTTTATAGTATTTTAATGTTTGTATTGTGTGTTTTTAATTTTGGCTGTTCACCGTCCCGAGTCCTTCGGGAGAGGGGGCGGTATAAAAATTTAAAAAATAAATAAATAAATAAATAAGTGAAATTATTGGAAATGATAACAATTTTTCTTCCACCATTCCTCGGACTGACTGATCCAGTTATTTCTATAGCTGCAGGCTTAGGGTATACACAGGGTTGAAGTCAAGATGGCTGCTACAAAAACACAATTGATGAAGCTTCACCTGGTTTTTTTTTTTTAATCTCCATCATGTGCCATCTTAACTTTTTAAACCACACCCTGTGGACCCCTCGGCTGCTGGCTTTGTTGTGGCACTGCCAATTGGAGCAACTTCGAGCTAAAATAGCTGGTATTTATTTTAGTGTATAAAATGAAGTAAGCCTAAGTAGCTTGTGGCTACATAGTAAGTAATTTAAGTAAGTAAGTTACTTAGTAGCGGTGGCTCAGTGGCTAAGACGCTGAGCTTGTCGATCGAAAGGTCGGCAGTTCAGCGGTTCAAATCCCTAGTGCCGCATAACGGGGTGAGCTTCTGTTACTTGTCCCAGCTTTTGCCAACCTAGCAGTTCGAAAGCAGGTAAAAAATGCAAGTAGAAAAATAGGGACCACCTATTGGTGGGAAGGTAACAGCGTTCCGTGCGCCTTTGGCGTTTAGTCATGCCGGCCACATGACCACGGAGACGTCTTCGGACAGCGCTGGCTCTTTGGCTTTGAAACAGAGATGAGCACTGCCCCCTAGTCAGGAACGACTAGCACATGTGTGCAAGGGGAACCTTTACCTTTTAAGTAGCTTGTCTAGCATAAATTTCAGAACAGGACTGCAATGAACCAAACAGTTCTGGAATACTGAATGAACAAGCTGAAATACACACTCCACTACACCTACCAAGCCCCAACAGGTGTGTTGATTTCCACACAGTTGCTTAAGCCAAGGTGGGGTTTTCTGGAAGGCCATACTATTGGGAGGCCATTAAGTGTACTAGATCAAGGTAGTCCCCTCTATCACGCAGTATAGACTACCTCTAGTGTGGAAATGGAGAAGGGTGTCCTCTCAGCAGACAAGGTGTAGCAGTGGGTGTATATATTTACACGTGCCAAGAATCAGCCGTGTGCTATGATCTTGATCCCGAAAATAGGCTAACAAGACCTGCTTGCATTTTGTTTAAGATTACAAACATTTAGGCAGATAGGTCTGGTACAAGCCAGATGTTACTTTTTGTTATCAAGAAGCATATTGGAACCAAGAATAATCCTGGGTTTAGTGATAGTAATTAAGAGCAGTTGCAGAACAAAACGATTCACAAAGATACAATTATATGATTCTAAGCCCCCCTTTCTCCTCAGCAAATCCCTTTACAGAATGACAAACCCTGCCTTGTGTGTTCTGTGAGACATGCTTAGAAGAATGAAAGTATACTTTTTTTTGTTGCAAAAATTATCTTTTTCACATATATATTAACTTGGAATTCAAGATAGTCCGGGGCAAAAAAGAACCCTTTGTAAAGTTTCATGAATCATCATACATGGAAAATACGCTTTGACTATTATTTTATGTAAAATGATCCCATCAAGACTTACTGAACTATGAGAGTTGCATTGCTGGTTTTGCAATGTTTGTATTTGTGATAAATAATTATCAGATTTCATCTTTTAACACTACAGTAATTATCTTTCTGTCAGTCTCCCGGGATACCGCTGGGTATAATCCGATTTCCTTCGTAAATCTTCTTGATGATAGATCTTACACTTTCAGGCTTCTTTTCTACACTGTGTAGGGTGACCTAGTGAGTCATCTCTTAATAAATATGTTCGAGTCAATGCGACCCATAAAATAGTATCATAAATATGATAGATTAAACAAGCCATGATCTGTTGGATTGTTTCAGAGATACTTCTTTACCAGATTCCTCTATGCCTTCAGGAGTGACAGAACTTCTAATATACAGGTACTCCTCAATTTATGACTACAATTGAGCCCAGAACTTGTGTTGTTAATTGAAAAATTTGTTAAGTGAGTTTTGTCCCATTTTACGACTTTTCTTGGCACATTTGTTAAGTGAATCGCTGCAGTTGTTAAATTGGTAACATGGTTATTAAGTGAATCTGGCTTCCCCATTAACTTTGCTTGTCAGAAAGTCGCAAAAATGGATTACGTGACCCTGGGACGGTACAACTGTCATAAGTCATGAACCAGCTGTCAAGCATTCAGATATAAATCATGCGACCATGGGGATGCTGCAATGGTCATATGTGTGAAAAAAGGTCATGTCACTTTTTTCAGTGCCGTTGTGACTTCAAATGGTCACTAAATGAACTGTTGTAAGTCAAGAACTACCTGTACTGCCTTGGAAAAGTTGGGATACATCCAGAGATGTATCTGCCTTGAAAATAATCAGTATTGCGAACCGTAGAACAAAAACATCAGGAGTGAATCACAGGAACTGTTATGTGACACTTTGTATTATGTCATAAAAGATTTTGATAATTTTTATGTAATAGAATTTTATATCTGCCAATTTCAGTTCCACAGAAGTCATGGCTCCTGGATTTTGGATGCATTGTGTAGATCCGCGATGGCGAACCTATGGTGTGGCACGCATAGCCATATCAGTGGGCACGCCAGCTCAGCTCCTAGAGAGGCTCTGGAGGCTGGGGATAGCAAAAAAGTCACTTCCTGTCCAACTGGAAGTTGGGAAATGGGCCGTTTTGGGCCTCCGAGGGGGTGGGGAAGGCTGTTTTCGCCCTCCCCAGATGCATAGAGAGGATCTGGAGCCAGATGAGAAAGAAAAACAGGCCTACAAGGCCATCGCGTGCCAAGAGCTCGGGGGAGGAGTGGTCGCGCGCGCATACGCAGGCCAGGACGCATAGAATTATGGGTGTGGGCATGCACGCGCGCGAACCTCCCTCGTCCCCCCTCCTGGCACACGATGGCAAAAAGGTTAGCCATCACTGGTGTAGGTTAATCCATTCGAGGTACCTTGGTTCAAAAACAGTTGCCATAAAAAGCATGGTTTTGCCCTGTTAAAGGTCATGGCACCAAGAATTTTAGTACTGTAGTACTAAAGAAAGTACTATAGTACTATAGATGAAATCTTATTAGAAACATCCCACATTTGAATACCATTGGAAATTTTGTAATGTCATGTATGAGAATGTGTACATGTTTTGGACATTTTCCTGAGATAAAAGATTTTTAATGGATCTTTTGTCCTCTTAACCATGATGGATACAAATTTCTTTTGTAAAATTACAGGTCCCCACTTGTTTAGGCTCAGAAACTAAAGTAGGATCGGGCAGAGATGATTTTTTTTCTATAAAGTGTTTTTGGTTTTCTTTACCTCCGTAAGGCGATTAAAAAGAATACAGTAAGAATAATCTGAACAGTTTTACTTTAATTCTTAAACTAAATTTAACTTTGAAATTAATTTCAGAAGGAATTCTGAAAATTTCAATTTAACGGCATCTGCAAAGTTTTTGCTGTTGGAGTGGAGTGGAGTGGGCAAAAACAGTCAAATACAGGTAATCCTCAACTTACAACAGCTCATTTAGTGACTGTTCAAAGTTACGATGACACTGAAAAAATTAGCTTAGGACCATTTTTCAACCTTTGTAGTATTCCCATGATCATGTGATCAAAATCTAGATGCTTGGCAACTGGTTCATACTTATGACCAAGATCATGTGATCCCTTTGGGTGACCTTTTAAGCAAAATCAACGGGGAAGCCAGATTCACTTAACAACCAGGTTACTAATTTATCAATTGAAGTGATTCATTTAACAACGGTGGCAAGAAAGGTTGTACAATGGGACAAAATTCATTTAACAGACATTTCTCTTAACAGAAATTTTGGTCTCGATTGTGATTGTAAGTCGAGGACTCCCTGTCTTCAGCTGCGGATGAATTAACAATATTGTTGATCTTTAAATTGGGAAGATGCACATCGAATGTAATGGAGGGAAAAATAATACTGTATAAATGTGAATGTGCTGATTATTTCCTTGAGAATCCCAAATATGGCTTAGAGCTAATTAAAGAGTAAAATATTTGATTCAGAAACAGATGTCTACCATGGGAGAAAATGTTTTTTTCGTTTTCACTTGCTGTTGAACTTTTCTGAAGGCTGCAGGCAGCAATGCCAGCCGCTGAAAAAGGCTGACTCAATCACTTCTTTCGGTCACTAAAATTAAAATTATTTTTTTCTAGAATGCTCTTTATTCCTAGGATGCTTGTTTTAGTGTCATTTTGTTCTTGGTTTTCATAGCAGTCCGTAGGTAAGTTTTGATTTTATATAAAACCACACTGTGAAAATAATAAATTCACAAGGCATCATTTTATGGAAAGAAATGGTTGTCATAAAAATACAAACAAATTCAAAACTTTAATTTACTGTTACATTTTCTCAACTGTGCTCAAATTCCAGTGTTTTGAACTTTAATAAATATACATTTTTAAAATTCTCCAGTGTCTAAAATCTGTCATAAATTGTAAAAAATAGGTCCTTATTTTCCTCTGTGGTTAGCACAGACAACTGCTGTTCTGATCAAAAATAACTCGCTACATCTCATTGGGCAAAATATACACACAGATGTAACTTCATTTAGCACATATTGACGAATGATAGGCAAATAGTTACACATTCAATTTTTTTTACATCAAAGTTTTATGCAGCATGAAAGCAATATATATATATATATATTTAAAGAGCATGACTCTTCCCCTCTTCTAAAAAGGCCTCATGGAATCAAGGTTGATTAAAAAAATAATTTAGCAAACATTCATTATATATGGGACTTTTGTCTAGGTTTGAAAAAAAGGAAAATTTGTACGCAGTCTTTAAAAACAGAATAACCAAACCTGCAATCCACATTAAACACTTTTACAATTCACAGGGTAAATTAATTTAGGTAGATTCTTAATTCTCCCACTGAAAGAAATGGGTGTAAAAGTCTCTAACTTAGTTGGACTGTGTCAGTTAATACCTGCTTTTCTATATGAAAAGGGGGGGGGGGAAGCAGCAAGAGTTCGGAGAAATATAAATATGAAACACAGCTGATGTTCAAAACAAGAACATCTGTTCTTCTCTCTATTAACGTTATTCTCTATATCAGCATTTCTCAATTTTGGCAACTTGAAGACGTGTGGACTTCAATTCCTATGTTGGCTCAGGAATTCTGGGAGTTGAAGTCCACGCATCTTCAAGCTACCAAGGTTTAGAAACACTTCTCTACAGCAGAGGTCTCCAACCCCCAATCCGTGGCCCAGAAGCGGGCCACACAAGAGCAGGCAAACACGCGAAGTCGCACCCTAACCCCCCCCTCTGCCGCTGGTCCGCAGAGTGAGAAGGGTTGGGAACCACTACTCTATAGTACAAGAAACATTCTTTCTCATGAGGCAATTCTGGGCACTTGGGTTATTTTGGATAATGTTTGTGCATGTGGGTACCTATGCATGCATTGTCAAAGTCTATAAATTACGTTGCTTGATAATATAAGAGATGTTTAGCTGCAAAGTGAAGTATTTTAACTTTTAGACCACCCACCAAGGAATACGCATGTTTTCTCAGGATTTACAGGAATTCAAAAAGTTCAATCTTGATTTGAATCAATATAAGCTGGACTGTTTTCCGAGCAAAATAAATGATCGAATGATTCAAATCTACATAAGAAACATTTTAGATTTTGGGCAGGTTCATTCATTAAATCATACCTGGCATGCATCTGCTTATTTTCTTACACATTCACACAAAGTGAAATAGTCTGGTAGTATCAACTAATATATTTTATGAACAGGAACACACTTTTGTGAATGGCTGTTATTCAGAAAAGGTGCTATCAGACTCCTAATGTTACTCCTACCATAAGTAACACAGCATTCCTTCTAGAATGTCACACAATTGAAAAGGATGTGTTTCTGCAGTTAGAAGTAATGCTGAGTATAAACTACACCACAAATAAAACTGGAAATGATTGATCTAAATGCTTTCATATTAATCACAATTAAAGGGGAATATTTCCTAGCACTGCCCTCTGGTAGCAGAGGGAAGTCAACGAGCCAATATGAGAGGCTAAATTATGAAACTTTGATTCAATTTGAATGTGTAAAATTGTGCCTCCTACCCACCTACCCCATTCTTCTGATTAATAAAACTTCCTGAAAGCAAAATTCAGAGAGGTCTTAAAAGACGTTTTGACTTCATTTTTTCCCCCTCCATTTCATTGAAGAAGAATAACCTTCCTCAGATCAAATTCTGAATCTATAAATCTAAATTTAGAGTAGATGACAGATTTCTTGAAAAGAAAAAAGATTATTGGATCTTCCTGAGCATCCAAAACATTTTCCCTTCCTGATGCTTTTTTTATTGGAGATGCAAAATCATAAAAATGAAAATGAGTTCAGAAGTAAACGCTGAGCTTTCATATAGGTACTTCTAGTAATATTTTAAACCTTGTATGTAAATTATCAATTTGTAAATTATCAATCATCATCATACTAAGAGTGGTCCACTCTTATCCTGATATTCCAGAGCTGAGGAAAAAGGCACTTTGGCTAAAAGATCACAGCTGACTGAGGCCACTAGGAAATACACAGCTAAGGCAAAATTATTTGAACTATAGCAGTTCTGAAGCTAAGTCAGGAATCCAGGGAAGGGATTTTACAATTAAAGACAAAGAAACAAGCAAATTGTCCTTGAGAATGTTCTTGCTTTATCCATGCAAGCCCAAGGGGCAGTTGTAGTACCAAAAGTTTGAGAATTCCAGCGAGATGCGGGTTAGAAATAAATGATAAAGGTGGTATATTTTTTTGTCCAATGCTAAACCCAGTGAAATTATCACTTTTATCCATGGGGATAAATTTCACATCAATTTAGATGTGTTTCGGGATTTATGGCCTACAGATTCCCTATTTTATATCATCTTTTTTCCCCCTTATATACAGTAGTTTGATTAATTCTAAAGTGGCTTGAGTTAATGAAAATCCCTGTGTATTTTACCCGTTGACTGAGAAGAATTAATTGTGGGTCTAATCATGCCTGAAACATTCCAAAATAGACATTTTTTCCAAATATACCCTAATTTATAAAGACGACAGAAATTAAAAAACCGACAGAGCTGCTCCTTTCTCCCAACTGTTTTGAACAAAATGCTGTCAAGATATTTAGTTCGCTTGACAAGAGGTTTCATTTATTTTAAAAACTCTCTCAACCTTTGCTAAAAGATGGAGTGATTAAAATATTCTTAGACTTTTTCTAAAGTGGGAAGTAGGGGAACAGAATGTAATTTTGTTTTTTAAAAGAGTAAAATGAACAGGAGGCAAGCTTCAAAAGTTAAATAAATTTCAGCAGAATTAGATTACAATAATAACAATTTAAAAGTAATTTCAAAACAGCTGACGATTGGCTATGGGCTCCACCCAAGGGGGAGGAAGAGTCTAAATATGCTGAAGGATGCAAAGAAGACCAAACTGCCTTAGAAACCTACCACAGTACATTTATGAGATAGATTCCTACACTGTGCCAAGCTATAAGCAGTGATTTACAACCCACAATTGACATGTTAAGGCACAAATTAACAAGCCCTCTTTTGTAACTTAATGTGATGAAGAAATCCAATGAGACTCTGAGCTTATGCAAAAATATTGTCCTGAGGCCATAAAAGTACACACTGCAGCCTTAAAAACATTTCAGATTCATATCATAAATGAATGAATTTAGATACCCTAACATGTCAGTCTTTTTTAAAAAGACTCACAAATCAAGCTTAGATTCTTCTCCCTTTCCCTCTCCGCTGAAATGCCAAATACAAGTAAACTCATGCAATTCTTTTTTAATATAAAAAATATCAAAGTTCTTTGCTCTCCTGCTATCAAATTTGAAAACAACAACAACAGCAAATATATGAAATGTACAAAAGAATTGCCATATAAAATGTATAAAATTATCTACAGCTATATATATAGAGAGAATTATTTATATATATTTATATAAAACAATGTATTTTAAGGCAAGGTGTCCTCCTCATGTTGGGATAGAAACTAGAGAAGAACTTGATGAGATACATCCTCCTCTTGAGTTCTGCAGTCTTGCTGAAATTGAGTAAAACCCCAGCATAAAATCAGATGGGGGACTAATGACACATCATGTGTATTATTGACGAGTTATTCCTCAAAGGTTCAGATGGATTTGTTCAGATGGATTTCTCCTGCTCTTGACTCCTTGCAGCATTGCTATGGCTGAGACCATATTTCAAAGGCATTTTCCCTCCAATAATGAATTCCATTTATTGGTCTCCATATGGCACAAATGATGCAGTCAGGCAAGTACTTGGAAGGACTCTAACCGTAACGTCAGTGAGCAACTCACAGGAAATTGTGGAATTGTCACAAGTAGGTGCAGTTTTCCAAGGTGACATTCTTGGCATCCTCACTCCATGGCAAATGGCAAATGAACGCAGACTCAAATCCAGACCTGACTGGTGCCGACCACAATGTTACAGTAGAGTAATTCTCCAAGGCAACAGTCTTCACTATTTCCTGATGATTCAAATTGAAGTTTCATTACTGCCTCTGTTCACGAGAAGAAGTAACCATGCAATTTAGGGTTAAATAGTGCCAAGCTGACAATTGCAAGTGAAACTATTAGATTATCATGGTTATGTTAATATGCAGAAGAAAAGCCATGCTTCAGCAGATAAATTGTCAGCGAAAAAGACCAAAGTAACAGAAAATTCTTGATAAGTAATATTGGGGAGGGGGTGCAGGATCTTAGATGAAGGTAACTGCCAAAGGAAACATTTTGGGACAGAAAGACAGAAGCTAAGTTTGAGAACACAAATCGAGTTTATCTGATTAGATCATAGAGATTATATGAAACCTTACAGATTTTGTGACTCAGAGGTCACAAAAAGTGTTTCAAGCTAGTAATGTGGAAAGTGTTGAAGGACATGAAAGGGAAATAGGGAAGGAGATGAAGCGAGGGAAGAGCAGATGGTTCTGATGCTGATTCCTGAATGAATGTCCAAAAGAAGCCACTGAAAGAATTAAATGGTAAGTCTTTGGAAAGAAATAAGCACCAGAAACTCAAGAGAAGTATCACGGTAAACATGCAGACTTGGCACTCACTCAGAATCTGAGTTATTCTCAGCCGTTATTGTCGCCATGTGGACATTCATGGCTAAGCCATTCATCTGTTCTGGAGGATTTTCTCTTCTTGGGTTTTTTATTGTTACTCCAGAGTCTGAAGTGGAGCGAATGCCATTGTTAGTCCCAACAGAAGTTGTTTTAGGCGAGATTGCAGTTTGATGATAGTCTGACAATTTTTCTCGCAGTCGATTCTTCATATTTTTGTCCACTAATGGAGGAGGGTAGGTGATTTTATTTTTCAATATGCCTAACACAGGGAAGAAGAGGATATGGCCATCATATTAATACAGTAAGACAAAAAAACCCCCAAAAGGTTCATTTAGTAAAAGGCTTTATGCATATTTATGTTTGATACGAAGAAACTTTCTGTTTCAACTTCTATAATACTCTTCACTTGACATACGTGATGCCCAACTGGATATGACCTGCCCCACCAAGAAAATGCAGGGTCAATAGGAAAATATTACCATTTAATCGTAGTTTATGGTGCAGACTATTTTAGTAAGGAAGTAGAATTAAAGCACCGAAGGAAGTCCCCTATGTTTACAAAGGCTTCCTGTAAAGGTATTGGGATTTCTGCCACTTCACACGTGAAGCTAAGGGAAATAGAGGTTGGCCAGAATGTCTTTCCCTCTCACAAATCAATGTAACAGTTCTTAATATCCAGCCAGCATATGTATAATTTCAGATTACAAATACAGTGTCTTAGAAGTATACCATATTTTTCGGAATATAAGATACACTCCCCCCCCCAAAAGAGGGTGAAAATTTGGGGGTGTTTTATACACCAAATGTAGCCCTGCCCACCTGCCAGCCCCCACCCTTTGGCCTCTGCCTCCCAGCAATTTGCCTCCTTGCAGCAAACAGCCCGTTTCACTTCAGCACAGCCTGATTAGCACAAGCAGCTGGGATCGGCTTCCCGACCATCAGCTGTTTCAGGCTCCAGGGATCGCCATTGCCTATTGCTGCACGGGCCTCCACTGTTTGCTGTTTGGTGCAAGGAGACAAGTTCCTGGGGGGCAGATTTTTTTTCCCCCTTGTGCTAATCAGGCTGTGCTGAAACTGAAACTGAAACTGGCTGTTTGCTGCGAGGAGACAAATTGCTGGGAGGCAGAGGCAGATTTTTTTCCCCTTGTTTTTCTCCCCAAAAAAGGTAGATGCGTCTTATAGTCCGGAACGTCTTATACACTGAAAAATACAGTACTTACCAGTATGTGAAATAGCTTTAAACTATAGCATTGAACAATTTAGTTCTGAGAGCCCTTATTTTTCATTGCAATGCAACTTGCATTAAGAGCATAACAAGAACTATATTAGGTGATGCTGAATGTTCAACAACTTGTTTCTCGCGGTGGCCACACAGAGCTCTCTAGACAGCTCACAAGGGAAGCAAATTCCTTTTAGAATTGTTCCTTAGCAATCAATATACATGATAGATCTGATCCTGAAGGCATCACATCATTAATAAAGGTTGATACTATACTCCATTAATGTATCTTCTCTCCTATTAAAGACACCTAATTAAATAGTGTTCAGCCTATTTTCAGTAGTGGATTTCATATTTTAAACCTTCTCGAATACCTTTCCTCTGTTCTGGTGGCTGATGGTTTTGATGAGTGAGGGGTTTATTCTCCTTTTGCTGTCCCTCGTCCTCTTTTTCCTGAGGTATTTCACTGCTGTGATTCACTTGATTTTCCTGATGCAGTTCTACATTAACTTTGGTTTCCACCTTCAGTTTCTGTTTTGCATTTGGCTCCTCCTCATCACTTGCGTCGATGCCCTCAGATGGCCAGTAGGGTTTTACATGATTGGGCACGGTATCAACTGCAGGATGCAAAATATTTAAAACACAATACACAAACATATAAACTTTTGAACTAAGATTTAAATGAACAACTCTTCAGATTTCTACAATTATCTTCAACTTAAAGTGAAAAAAATCCACCAGCAAGGAAAGACCTTTCTATTGCTCACTGTTCACAGATAGGTAGAGTCAAGGTGGGCTTCAGATCCTTTAGCAACGGGTTCGCTGCCCCGTTGCTGGGTGGGCTTGGCCTAGTCAGCCGCCTGCATCACGGTGTGTGGGGGGGTGTTTTTCACCCTCCCCAGGCTCTGGAGGCTTTCCTCGAGCCTCCAGGAGGGCGAAAACAGCTTTCCCCGGGGTCCGGAGGCCCTCCGGAGTCTGGAAACAGACCCATTTCCGGACTTCCGGAACCTCCGGTAGGCCCATTTTTTGCCCTCCCAGACCCTCCACGCAGCCCTTGCAGTTACCTGGAATGATGAACAGGTCACATGGAGACTCCTGGGAGGGGAGGGGAGGGATAGGCGTGGCCAGCCAGGGGTGGCATTTGGCGGTTTGCTGAACCCTGGCAATCCTTGGCTAGAGGATCGCTCCAACCCTGTTGAACCCCCAGGAGCCCATCCCCGGGTAAAGTCTTTATGATAGTCAATGATCAGCCCATCAAACACATTGCACACATAAAATTCATTGCTTAGTTAATGAGGTAAGCATGCCAATCAAGCTGCTGAGCATGTCTCATATTACAGGACAGAATTTGCCATAAGTGAAGAAATACTGTAATAATCACTTGAAATTGAAAGTCAAATTTGTAAATAAAACAGATCAGAATGATGAGGAAATGCAATTAAATGTGGGAGTTAACAGCTTGTGGCAAGTGTCAGGATCAAACAGACAAGAGATCCCTAACGACTTCAACAACTCCTTTCCTCCATGGGCTTAAACTAGATTTCGGTGGAATAATTCTTACATTGCCCTGTAGAATCACTAATGGAATTTCTGTAGGATTTTTAAAAATATTTTAAATAATGCACTGTCTTTACAAGGAGACTGAGGTTATGAGTATCTGAATTGTACAGATGGGGTTTTCAAGTAAGCAACATATTGTCATCAATGTCTATGGAGATTCTCAATCATCCAGGTCATGGTTGCCCCAAAGATGCTTTTCCTTGTTTTTCTTTGAAGAGGCTTCGCTTCTCATCCAAGAAGTTTCTTCTGCTCTGATTGGATGGCGGGGAAAGGAATATAAATCCTTCCATTCCCCACCATCCACTGTCAGAGCTGAAGAAGCTTCTTGGATGAGAAGCGAAATGTCTTCCAAGGAAAAAACAAGGATGCCAGTTGCCTCCTGAAAAAAAGCACCTTTGGGACATATTGTCCTCAAAGAATCATACACTGACTGGCTTTCTTGGCCTCGAGTCTCCTTTTTTTCAAGGGGGAAGCCCAAGTGCTTATACCACTCGACTTCATTGAGGGCCACATCAGGGTTGTTTGACCTCGGGAGGCGGGGGGGCGGGGAAGAGGGCATGGCCAAGGTGGCTGTGGCTAGCTTGACGTCAGTCATCGAGGCTCCGTTTTCAGCCCACGCGGGCTCCGTTTTCAGCCATGACAGCCTCCTGCAGCCCTCTGCCAGCAAAAACGGAGCTCAGGGAGGCAGCATGCAGCCTCCCTGAGCTCTGTTTTCTCTGGCAGAGTGTTTCATGAGGCTGTTGTGGCCAAAAATGGAGCCACATGGTCCTCCCAGGCTCCATTTTCATTGGCAGAGGCACCGCGGGCCGGTTTTTTGCTTTTTCCAGGGTGGGCCTGTGGGTCAGATCTAAGCACTCCGCCGGCTGGATCTGGCCTGTGGGCCTTGAATTTGACACCGCTGACTTATACTCTTTACCTTTAGGAGTGCTGTGGACTGGAATCCGCTCATTGTTTTTCAAAGTGCCCGTGTTCCATTTCTTCTCCACGTCTATCACGTCTTCCTCACTATCTGACGAGTGAGAGGAAGCGTAAGAACTGCTGTGTTCATCAAGGGACAGTTCACTGTCAGAATCGGAATCACGCTCTGTGGATAAAAATAACCACTCAGCCAGCGAAACGAGCTGTGACAAATAAAATTGAATGTTGCCATCGATTTTCTGCAACTACACTGGGGTGAGCTTTTTACTATATGCAGCAATACGGATAGGTGGGATTCATCAGAGATAAGATATGATACCGGGAAGCTGCAGTGTGAGTAAAAGCTAACCTCTGTAACTGCAGGTAGTCCACGACTTAAAAGAGTTCATTTAGTGACAGTTCAAAGTTACGACGGCAGTGAAAATAGTGATGTATGACCATTTTTCACATGATCGTTGCAGCATCCCCATGGTCACGTGATTTACATCCAGATGCCTGACAACTGACTCATATTTATGACGGTTGCAGTGTTCAGGAGGCACTTTGCGACCTTCTGACAAGCAAAGTCAATGGAGAACCCAGATTCATTTAACAACCATGTTACTAATTTAACAACTGCAGTGATTCGCTTAACAAATGTGGCAAGGAAAGACAAATTTAATTAACAGCAAACTTCCCATTTAACAGCATACATTTTGGACTCAATTGTGGTCGGAAGTTGAGGACTACCTGCAATTTCTCTTTCTGCACAATTGCCTGTTTTTTCCAAGAAAAGAGATAATTCTTGGACTCCATTAGCCATCACTTTTGTTTGAGAGTGGCAGTAATAAGCATTTGTGGCAGGGTGGATGTGGACAGCTGACATGTAAACTTTCAGCCCAGTGGTGAAATGTAAAATTTGTTACTACCGGTTCTGTGGGCGTGGCTTGGTGGTGATGGTGGGTAATGTGACTGTGTAGCCAACTTTTTTTTAAAACTTTTTAAAAGCATTTTTTTACAACCTATTTGGGCAAATAGGTTGTAAAAAAAATGCTTTTAAAAGGTTAAAAAAAGGCTCTGACGATCACAGCTGTGGTGTGAGATTGTCAGAGCCTTTTTTTACCTTTTAAAAGCATTTTTTTTACAATCTATTCGGCCGAATAGGTTGTAAAAAATGCTTTTAAAAGGTTAAAAAAAGGCTCTGACGATCACAGCTGTGGCGCGCGATCGTCAGAGCCTTGTTTTTACTTTTAAAAGCAGGAAATAACGGCACCTGGGTGGGGGGGCGGAGCCTCGCGCCACCATTGCTACCTGTTTTCCCAACCACCTGCCACAATCGCTACCGGATCACTCGATCCGGTCCGAACCGGGAGCATTTCACCCCTGCTTCAGCCACCATATTGTCATGAAGAAACAGGAGACCCACCTATTGTGAGCTTCCATTGCTGAGGGGAGACTTAGATCTGGTCTGTCCTAGTCTATTCCATCATCTTAACAACTATACCAAATAAAAACTCAGCTGTCTATAACCTTAATCCAAATGCTTTGTATTTTTTCTCTTCTTCTAATAATGGTGATGACAGAAGATGTAAATTAGTGTAATGTACAGTTCACTGGCTGGAAGAATGCCTTCCAACTTGTGCTTGGAAATAACAGTTAAAAGACCAGGGAGAGCCAAGTTCAATGCGTGCCAAATCACGATCACTAACTTAAAATACATGGTTCAAACTCTAGGATTTTCAATGAGTATTTTAATTATTTTTTTTTCTCCTTTGAAAGCAATGGTCTGCTTCTGCTTTCCTGATCGGCCTAACCTTTCCTACTGTTAAAATTTCTGATTTGCTAAGATAGCCTTAAACAGATCCAAAACAAATGTAAGCTATTTCTACTCCATAAGTCTATTCTGGTCAATGGTACTTGATAATTAAACCATCATCCTGTGCTTTTTGGTTTGTTTTGCTTCAGGTTAATAAAACCGAAAGGGACACGATGGCTCAGTGGCTAAGACGCTGAGTTTGTCAATCAGAAGGTCAGCAGTCCAGCGGTTCGAATCCCTAGCGCTGCATAACGGAGTGACCTCCCGTTACTTGTCCCAGCTTCTGCCAACCTAGCAGTTCGAAAGCATGTAAAAAATGCAAGTAGAAAAATAGGGACCACCTTTGGTGGGAAGGTAACAGTGTTCCATGCGCTTTTAGCATTTAGAGCCAGAAATGACTAGCACGCATATGCGGGGAAACCTTTATCTTTATCTTAATAAAACCAAAATAGGAAATATGGCGCTGAGAAATAGAAAAAAAAAGTATTATTTAAATCCTTGGATTTTGTATTTTTCTTACCATTGGATTTTGATGGCTTCCTTTGGAAGATGGAAGAATCTCCTTCTGTATTAGCAGCTCTTGCTGGGCTTGATATGCTGTGTTTCTGGGCAGCTTCATCTCTACTAAATCAGATAAGTATATAAATAAACCTTTCCCAATCAATGCTTTAAAACATTAAACAAAACTAGAAATTATAGTATATTTTGTCATTTCCCTCTCGGCGTTAAATGGTAGTAATGTAGAAAACGGAATAAGAGAATCATTGTTCATTACAGTTCAAACTGCATGGCACTTGCAAAGGGTATGAAGAAAAGATACTCCATAAGAACAAATCTTTCTTTGCAGAGTTTGCAGAGAAAGGAGGCAAGGACAAATTTGTGCAAAAAGGGAGAGCACATTATTTTGTTTGCTAAATGGCCAAGGAATCATTTTATTCATTTAAAAAAAAAAAAATAGAAAAGAAAATCTGGAAAACCATGCACCTTGGTGCACGGTGCATGAGGATACAAGCAACTTAGTTATTGTGATTGTTGGCTGACCTGATGCTGCTTTCTAAGGAGACGGTGGATTCCCCAATCGTGGTTCGATACATGTTTGGTTCTTCAATATACGTATCATTGCAATTCAGAGACCGCTAAGAGAGAGAGGGGAAGAGGGAGAAAGAAAAAGGAAGAAATTAGCTGGAAAGCAAGGTTACTAAAAGTAGATTACCGGTAAATAGATTCTATTTTTTAAAAAAAGTTATGCATACAGGTAGGTTGTGATTGGTGTGACTTTGAATAGTGCAATATTTGATTTAGGACAAATTATAAATTAATAGCAGGTTGTATTTAATACAAGCCAAAATTCAATTAGCCGAGGGAAGTTCAAAAACTAAGAGGCTCATTTTAAAGAAATACAGCAAAATACAGGAGATAGCAGATACGCCTTGGATACGGGCTGATTCTGTTTTACTGGTATAGTAAAGGTAGTCCTCAACTTACAACAGTTCATTTAGTGACCGTTGGAAGTTACAATGGCACTGAAAAAGTGACTTATGACCATTTTTCACACTTATGACTATTGCTGCATCCCCATGGTCATGTGATCACAATGCAGACACTTGGCAACTCATTCATATTTATGATGGCGACAGTCTCCCAGGGTCATGTGATCCCCTTTTGCTTGGAATTCAAAATCCCAGAGAAATCAAGACCTTCTGGGTGCCTGGCAGGCCCATTCGAAGGCCACTGTCCTTAGTTGCAATTTCAATTAAAAATACCCGAGTCCCAAATCGAACAATTATGAAAGATGAAGGATTTTAGAAGGGGAAAAAAGAAACATATAAAAGAGAATTCCAAGCCAATCCATTGGTAGGGAAATGCTTATGCAAAATGATTTCTCACAGTTAACAGAGTGGCTCTAGTTGTTGTGGAGTCATCTGGAAATGACTTCTTTCCAGTGAATGTATTCTTCAAATGCTTCCTCACTTCCTTGTTGAATATACAGTGGAAGAAAAAGATGAACAGGCCCTGGATTGTTACGAGAGAGGAGAAGAATAAAAGAATGTGTCATTCTTTCAGTAATGACAAAGTTATTAGATGATGATTCTGTAAAGACATTTTATAAAGACGTTATGATGGTATATAACATATACTAAGAAACCAACATGCAAAGTGTGATCTTATTATAGGAAATGCACCTGCATTAAAGGAAAAACCTAGGCAAAACTAACTTAAAAAGAAGAAAAAAAAAGGGAAACGTGAAAAAGACTTAAAGAAATATGTGGATGCAGTAGCATCTTTCTCATAGTGATCAGCTTTCAGTGGTCTGTGTTTTCTGACCCTGCAGTTAGTATGATAAAAGCAAGTTAACTGATGACTTCTAGTCTATACTGGAAAGCTGGAAAAAAAATAACCTAAAAGAAGATAATGGCAAACCAGTTCTGTACTTTTTCTAAGAAAACAACACAGGCTTGTTTTGTTCATTAAAAATTGGGGAAGCATTAGAGCAAAAGCAGGCATCAAAACAATTCCTTCATTACTCTGAAACAACTGTGCATTTCAAAGAAGGCAGCTCATTTACTGGAGGCTGCCTCGATAAAATTACCTACTTTACACGGAATCAAGTAAAATGAAAGACATCTTGGTTTGCCATTTTCATTGTGAGGTCATCACCAGAGCCGTGGTGGCGCAGTGGTTAGAATGCAGTACTGCAGGCTACTTCTGCTGACTGCCAGTTTTTGTTTGTTTTTTTTTAATTTGATTTATATGCCGCCCTTCTCCGGAGACTCAGGGCGGCTTACAGTGCGTTAAGCAATAGCCTTCATACTTTTGTATATTTATACAAAGTCAGCTTATTGCCCCCACAAACTGGGTCCTCATTTAACCTACCTTAGAAAGGATGGAAGGCTGAGTCAACCTTGAGCCTTGGAGAGATTCGAACCAGCAGTAAATTGCAGGCAGCTGGGTTAATAACAGGGTGCTTTAAACCATTGTAGTACCAAGGCTCTTAGTTGCCAGCAATTCGGCAGTTCAGCTCTAACCGGCTCAAGGTTGACTCAGCCTTCCTTCCTCCTTTGAGGTTGGTAAAAATGAGGATTGCCCCCAACAACACAGATTGTTGGGGGCAATATGCTGACTCTGTAAACTGCTTAGAGAGGGCCTGTAAAGCACTGTGAAGTGGTATATAAGTCTAAGTACTATTGCTATCTTTAAAAAAAACTTCAAATAAATTATCAAGGCCCTTGAAACAAATCAAAAAGCTTGCCATTAAGACCAAATGATATCACCTACCTGTAAGCAGCTAAAGATAGCAAACAAGTAGTGAAAGGTCATTATGCCACTATTTACTGCCATCAGACCCAGTAACCAAGTTGCACTGACCAACAGGAGGAGCAGGAAGGCAGTCCTCAGTACAGCGCTAGATAAAAAGCACAATTAAGACAATTGTTTTAAGGCATCAAATATAGCTGCCTCCTGTGCAGACTTCTATTTCCAATCCGTCCTGCGAAGCAAAGCATTCTGGAAGATCCCTAACTAAAATGAGAAACAAAAAAGTTTTCACTCTACTCAGTGATGCTGTCAAAATAGGGTTTTTTTGGCATATAAACAGAGGTGGTATTCAGCCGGTTCGGACTGATTCACTCGAACCGGTAGCGGAAACTGCAGGTGGGCCCGTCCACCCGCCACGGCACTATACCATTGTATTTAGGCACATTTTGAAGCCGCACGCATGCATGCAAGCCGCACACATGAGCACAGCGCATGCATGGAAGGCCACACACATGCGTGGAGGTGGCGTGTGCATGCGCGCTCACATTTGCGAACCAGTAGGGAATTTAAGTGAATACCACCCCTGCACATAAACCTTGTCCAGCCTTGTCCAAACAAATGTCAGTAACTGAACCGTGACTTCTAAATCAGTGGCCCACAAACGTTTGGGCACCAGGGACCAGTTCCGTGGAGAGAGGTTTTTTCCACGGACCAGAGAGGGTACAGTTTTGTGTGCTGCCTGCATCCCACGGATGGGGCTTCGCTTATTTGCTAGCCCGGTTTCTGGCATGCTGTGGCCAGGTGCTAGTCCACAGACCGGGGGTTGGGGACCCCTGGTCTAAATAATAATTTCTTAAGCAGCTATAAGTACCAGCTCTTCCTAACAGTGCTGATTATATCACTTGGAAACAGGGTCTTTCCTTATCAGGCTGCATGAATCTACTATCCCAAATCCATTCCCATGCTGTCTTTCTCCCGATATAACACGGACAGCAATATGTACTATATAAGGCCGTGATGGCGAACCTATGGCACGCATGCCACAGGTGGCAGGCGCAGCCATATTGGTGGGCATGCGAGTGTTGGCCAAGCTCAGCTCCAGTGTGCATGCGCGTGCCAGCCAGCTGATTTTCGGGCCTTCCAGGCCAACTGCAAGTCGGGAAACATGCTGTTTACAGCCTCTGGAGGGCCTGGGCGGGTGGGAGGTGGCGAAGGCCCATTTTTTGCTGTCCCCAGGCTCCAGAGGTTTTCTAGGAACCTGGGGAGGGCAAAAACCGCCTTCCCTACCTCCCCCGAGGCCCTCCAGAGGCCAGAAACGGCCCATTTGCCAACTTCCAGTGGGACTGGGAAGTTCTGGGGCGCATGCACGGGGGCGCATTGAATTATGGGTGCGTGCACGTGTGCACGCTCCCCCTGCTTTTGGCACATGGCAGCAAAAAGGTTAGCCATCATTGATACAAGGCACTAGGCTTGAGCAAAGCATTGGAAAGAACACTTCATACCATCCCTTCTTGAATCTATGAGGTGGACCTATTAAGATTTGGACCTCTTGTTTTTGAAATTGACTTTGTATACATGTGCAGGCAAATATACTTCCAGTGTGTTCCAATGTGCATATACATGAAGAGACAATCTGCAAAAACTTTTGAAGTAACCATGAGTCTTTTGGGGGACATGCTTTGTTCTCCATATTTTGAGGGACTCATTGCAAAGCAATGCCTTAAATGCTCTTCACAGACATACTGAGCACATCAGCCCTGCCTGTCTGAATGGATGAATTCAGAGACTTGCAATAATCTTTCAAGAACAAAGTAAGTTCCCTCCTTTGACTTCTTACTGCATCATAAGGTAACAGCAGTAAGTTAGCTAAAAGAAGAGAATGGTGGAATAACCTGTTGTATGGTACCACTAACTATTTCTCCATCTATTGGTGTATATTGAGGAAGGGGGTATAGCAGTATGATAAAGAGTCTCGCCTTCGGTTTGGAAAGTCCCAGATTCAATCTCTGGAAAGTCCAGACAGGACTAGGAAAACTCCTGCTGGAAAGCTGGAGTTGGTCCAGTGGTGAAATCCGGCTGGATCTATCCGGCTCGCGCGAACCGGTAGGGCCGGAGATGGTAGGCTCTGCCTACCCACCGGAACGTCATTACGTCCCGTTTTTGACCCTCTGCGCATTCGCAGAAGGCTTTGCACATGCGCAGAAGAGGCGTGCACGCTCACATTTCCGAACCGGTAGCGAAGGTAAGTGCATTTCACTGCTGAGTTGGTCCATATGGACTCAGTACAATGGAAAGTAAAATGGAACTCAGCAGAAGGCAGCTTCTATGTATAGTATCTGAGGACGTATCCTAAATTGACTAAAATTGGCACGACCTTCAGAATAAATGAGAAAGGGATATATTGATGTCAACTGTCAGAAAGAAAACCTAGAATAACAACCAAAGAGCTACATGTGTGTGTGTTGGTATCTTTATCCAACAGAATCTGTCTGTTCCTTCAGCTCCAAAATCCTATAAGAATCGACAAAATAACCAGGAGGGAGTCCAGGTCTAAAGAAAATCCTTAATCTTTATATCTTTCATAGATCTGTTTTACCAAGCAGTTCACTAAAACTATGCAAAATGCTATTTTATGAATAAAAAAACAAAACAAAAATAAATAAAATGATGAAAAACTGGAATGTAGAAATGAGATGTGAAGGAAGTAATGTAAATGAGATTAAATGGCACACAAATAGAGCTTCTCCAGTCTTGATACCAGAGGTGGCTTTCTGCAGGTTCTGACCAGTTCTGGAGAACTGGTAGCGGAAATTTTGAATAGTTCGGAGAACCGGTAGTAAAAATTATGACTGGCCCCGCCCCCATCTATTCTCTGACTCCCAAGTTGATCGGGAGGAAATGGAGATTTTACAGTATCCTTCCCTTGCCACGCCCACCAAGCCATGCCATGCCACGCCCGCCAAGCCACACCCACAGAACCGGTAATAAAAAAATTTGAAACCCACCACTGCTTGATACAATCTTCTTAAGTATCTATAGAGATTGTTAATCATTTAGGTCATGGTTGTCCCAAAGGTGTTTTTTCAAGAGGCAACTGGACTTTCTTGGATCGGAAGCGAAACGTCTTTGAAGAAAAATCAGAAAGTTCAGTTGCCTCTTGAAAAAGCACCTTTGGGACATCTTCTTAAGTCTCAATAAACTGCTAAGAATTATTGTTTTAACAAATATGTCACATTATCTCTGCTCAAAATCGCTTCCTTTCTATCCAGTTATAAACTTACATGACACCAGTTTTCTCCAGTGAACGCTGCCTTCGCTTGCATGATGCTTTCACGGCTAAGATGAAGATCACAATGTTGATCTTGAAGGGAAAAATACACAAAGATCAGACACAATTTCTATTTTATAAATATACTGTGTATCTCTGGGGGCATGAGCAAAAAAAAAAAATTACACTTCTGGGAATCTTTTCGTATTTATATTTGTAAATTCTATTTTTCCTCCACAGAGTTCTAAATAGCTCCCATAAACTAACAATAAAAGCATTAGCATAGAAGACAGAAATATAAAACCCCCAAAGAGGAACAGAATAATATAACAGCAACAAACAGAATGTGTAAAGTATTTAAGAAGCAAGAAAAATTATACATGGAAAGCTCTCTGAAAATGTATAGAATGGGATGGAAGTTGTTAGGAAGGCAAATGAGAAAGACTGTATTGATAATGAGCTAAAGAATTATGTAGTACTAAAGTAAGTTTATGGATACCCAATGTAAGAGATTGGTATTGACCATTAAAGCCTTAAATAGTTGAGGGTCTAACTCAGGGGTGAAATCCAGCAGGTTCTGACAGGTTCTGGAGAACCGGTAGCGGAAATTTTGAGTAGTTCAGCGAACTGGCAAATACCGCCTCTGGCTGGTTCCAGAGTGGGGTGGGAATGGAGATTTTGCAATATCCTTTCCCCAGGGGTGGGGAGGGAATGGGAATTTTGCAGTATCCTTCCCCTGCCACGCCCACCAAGCTACACCATGCCCACCAGGCCACGCCCACAGAACCAGTAGTAAAAAAAATTGGATTTCACCACTGGTCTAACTATCTGTAGGGCCAGTCTCTTGTTGCAATCCTAAATAAAATTTAGAGGTGAGAGACCCTTTTGAAGACACCCCCACCATCAAAATACAGAATAACACAGATGGAAGAGACCTTGGAGGTCTTGTAGTCCAACCTGCTCAAGCAGGAGATCCTATACTATTTCAGACAAATGCCTGTCCAATCTCTTCTTAAAAAACTCCAGTGATGGAGCATCCATGTGTTTCTTCCATCAGGTTTGTAATTGGTAGTGAAAAATGTTATCACTTTTATTGTTAAAAGTAATATGAGGCTTTAACTTTTTATAGTTCTCCTTTTAAAGTTTGAGTACTCACCAGAGTACAAAGATGGGTATAAATCAAATAAAAAAGAAACAAGTATAACCATCTTGTTTTAAGACATTTATATACAGCTCATCCAGCATTTATGCGTTTTTGGAGAGAATTCATTAGTTATAACTATAGGGAAAACTTTTTTTTAACTCAATACTTTTTAAACTTCAAAAGCTACAGTTTTTAAAAGTTCTGATTTCAGTGAGACAAGGGGAAAATAAAATTCAAAAGGAGGGTACGTATCTCTTAAATATGTCAAAATATTTATTAGAATTTTATACAGACAAATTTGGCCATATTACAATTTTAAAGAGTGTATAACCTTCAGGTTTCACTTTATTTAAAATCACATTTGTATTCTTGTCGGTAAAAGAAATGCACATAATTCAACTCAGGAAGAGCTGTCTTTTAACAAACAATAGTAATGTTTGGGGAAATAAAAGGAAATTTGCCATTAATCACATTGCTCCTGGGAAGGTGGATGGACTCAGTTATAGTACCAGTAAGAACACATTAGAAAACCTGAAAGACCAGATTAGGGATAGATCTTCTTGAAGAAAATCTATCTATGGGGCTACTGAGAGTTGAAAACTACTTGCTGGCATATAATCAATCAATCACTTAAACAAATCACCATTGAGATATTTTATAATTTTAAACAGCTGTTAGATATAAATTCTTATTTATATTTTGTATATGAATCTAAAGGGAAGGCTTCCTCACATTCACTTAGTTGTTCATTCTCTCTATGCTGTCAGTTACCTTGTTCTATTACAGGGCTATACCAGTGGTGGGTTGCCCCCCCCCCCGGTTTGGACCGGTTTGCAAAAACCAATAGTAAAACCGGTAGGAGGCTCCGCCCACTGACCTGGACGTCATCATAGGTGATCTGCACATGTGCAGAAGCTTCTGTGCATGCGCAGAAGAGTGCATGCATGCGAGCAAAGTGAGCACACATGCACGGGTGCGATGCAAACCGGTAGTAAAGGTAAGTAGAACCCACCCCTGGGCTATACCATTGCAAAATCAACAATACTTACAGCCACAACTATTACAATTGGACCAGCAAAGCTCCAAATCAGAGTGTCATAAACAGAGAGCCAGCAAAAATCTTGGTTCCCATATCCCTGAGGATCTAAACCAACAGCAAGACCTGCATTGCAATACAAAAGACAGACAGAAACTCAATGTATGGAGTCCTTTGAAGCATTAATTCAGGCCAAGAAATATTTTTTAAAAAATTATCTAAGAAGAGCAAGAGGATTCCCTGTTTTTGTTGGGTTTTTTGGGAGAAGCTGTCTAAATCTTATGCTATATGTTTTGTCATGGAACTGTTCATCTTTGTAAAAAAAACAACTGTATTTTCAACGTATTTGTGGGAAATAACCATCCTCATTCTTAGTTGTTTTTGTTGTTGAAAATGTGATTTACAAAACAACCTTGGTATTATAGTATGAAAATTGGTGGGGAGAAATCTCTCTCCTTCTCACATGTTAGGACTGTTTTTCTAGCATGTCCGCTACAAAAAGAACAATTTTCAAGAGGAATAATGGTCCTTCTCTCAATATCATGCCTGAGGCACATAACTTGTATCTCACTCCATGCCATGCTGAGGTAAAGGTAAAGGTTCCCCTCGCACATATGTGCTAGTCATTCCCGACCCGAAGAGCCAGCGCTGTCCAAAGATGTCTCCGTGGTTATGTGGCCGGCATGACTAAATGCCAAAGGCGCACGGAACGCTGTTACCTTCCCACCAAAGGTGGTCCCTATTTTTCTACTTGCATTTTTTACGTGCTTTCGAAGTACTCAGTTGGCAGAAGCTGGGACAAGTAACGGGAGCTCACCCCGTTACATGGCACTAGGGATTCAAACTGCTGAACTGCCGACCTTTTGATCGACAAGCTCAACATCTTAGCCACTGAGCCACCGTGTCCCCAGAACACATAGCCATGCTATGCCATGCCATAATGCTTCATGTTATTTTTTAGTATATATTCTGTTTCTCACTATTAAATATTATTCAAACAAACATATAGTGTGAGGCATTCTAATTCCTAAGCAAACAATTATAATCCTTTTTTTAATATGCAGATGTACTGGAGGTGAAAAGTTGATAAATTCATGTTCAGCTAACTTTCAACTATAGTTTCAAGAAAAAAGATTTCTTCATGGCATACTGTACGGTGACTGCTATTTCTCACTACATAAAATATGATGAAGAACCCTTCATTCTTTCTCTACACAGAGTGTAATAGAAGGAATACTTCTGTACAATATAAGTGGATGAAAATACAACAGATGTTTGGCTACAATCAAGGAAGTATCGATTGCATTTTTTGCTTTCACTTTTTAAATTTAGCAAGTCTCATTAAGCTGGGATCAAAATAGTGACTATATGGGCAAATGCTCACCATCACACAGTTTTTCCAAAGCTAGTTGAGTAATCTCTTTGATCCAGGGGTGAAATGCTCCCGGTTCGGACCAATTTGGCCGAACTGGTAGCGATGGCGGCCGGTGGTTCGGAGAAACGGTAGCGATGGTGCGAGGCTCCGCCCACCCACCCAGTCATCATTACTTCCTGGTTTTAACCAGGAAGCAACCTGTTTTTTATCCTCTGTGCATACGCAGAGGATCTTGCGCGCACGTGACATGTGCAGTGTGTGCTCTTCTGAACCGGTTGGGAAGGTAAGTAGATTTCACCCCTGCTTTGATCCTCTCCATCTACTGTTATCTCCAGTTTTCCCTCCTACTTTCTTCAACCTTGGCAAGCATAACTATTTTTTCTAGAACAGCATCTTCTCACATCCATTCCTCAAGTCTGTGAGTTTCTATTTGCTGTACATCATTTCAGTCAGTATTTATTTAGTCCAGGAGTGATGGAATGGTCCCACTTACAATCCATTCTATTCTTTAATAACGTTTATAAGATAGCCTTGATTATTAGGCTGCTAATATTTAAGACTGGAGAAATTGAGTTTCTGATGCAAACATCAGGGCAAAAAAGTTATGATCCTTCAGATGTTACTTGAATCATTCACAGCCGTATCATCATGTCACTTCCAAAAGTATCATTACTTACCAGCTGGTAACAATTGGAATATAGAACTGTGATGGAAAATACTTTGGATCTGGTACTGAATATATTTTCATTCATTTGAGACACTATTTATTCAGAATAGCTTTGGATCATCACGTTTAAATATTTTCCCATTCAAATATTTTAAAGTCACTACGTTTAACTTCTAGTTTAATATACATTTGATGGTAATGGTGTTTTTTGTTTTTGTTTTTTTTTGCTGCCAAAAATAAGCAGCATTTAAAACCAGTATGCTTTTCTCTAGGTAGTATTTTCACAACTTCAAGTAGAAATCTTTGATATGTCTGGCTGTATTTTGCTCAGAATATATAAAACTTTCCCCAATTTTCAGTTACCCAAGAATTCCTGGGAGGAAGTTATGGCAGTCATAAGAATAAACCTAAGTTCATAGGGCAAGAATGCCCCTTTCTTACCTGTTATAATGGCAGGAATCCCCCAACCCATAACGTAATAGAACCTCATGTGCCCAAAATTGATGTTTCTCACTTCAGTCAGCATGCGGTAGATATGAAGCTGCTCAACAAACATCCAAGCAAACGTGCTCATGTAGAAGTAGTGCAAAAGAATGGCTATTACGGTGCACACAAACTAGAAAAAAAAAAAAGAATCCAGATCCATTAGAACTGCCTCTACTACATCACCATACTTTTTAGCACAACTATTAATGTTTGGTTATATGTAAGAGAACTTTCATAAGGGGTGCATTCTAAATTTACTGTTTTATGCATGACAGCCAATCTTTTCCCTCCCTGACTATCTTCTGTAATACTAAGTCATTCTACACTAGATCAAATGTGAATGTGGTCCAGCATCTCATTTTAAACATGTCTAGTCAGATGTTTCTGAGTCTCCAAAGAAAAGTTAGGAGAGTCATCATCTTATTTGTTGTTATCCAGAAACATATTTTCCAGAGGTGAAATCTACTTACCTTCCTTACCGGTTTGGAAGTGCATGTGCCATGCGCGCACACTCCCTTCGCTCACATATGAGTCACATGCACACGCAGACCCTCTGCACATGTGCAAAACCTTCTGCGCATGTGCAGAGGGTAAAAAGCACATTCCTGGTTTTAACCAGGAAGTAACGACACCTGGGCGGGTGAGCGGAGCCTTGCTCCGAACCACCCGCCACGATCGCTACTGGATTGCCCGATCCGGTCCAAACCGGGAGCATTTCACCCCTGATATTTTCTCTTAATTTATAGCAACCTATAGTCATCTGTACATTCATAATTTTGGAAAGCTAAGATCTCTAAGAATTTCCCAGAAAAACAAAAAACAAGAACAACCCCACACCAGGGGTGAAATGCTGCTGGCTCTATCCGGCTCGCGGGAGCCAGTAGTGCCGGCGGTGGGCAGTTTGGTGAACTGGTAGTGCCGGCGGCGGGAGGCTCCACCCTCCCAAACCAGGATGTCATCACGTCTTGGCTTTGGGCATGCACAGATGATGGCGCATGCACAGACAATGACGCACATGTGAGCGAAGCATGCACACGCATGTGGTGTGTTCACATCAGTGAGCCAATAGGAAAGGTAAGTACATTTCACCCCTGCCCAAAACCCCTTTAGGAACTCCTGGGGCAACATGTGATCAGTCTTAACCATGATGCATTAAAGCAACCTAATGTCAAACAAGACAATAAAACTAACTTGTACAGGTAGTTCTCAACTTACGTTCATTTAGTGACCGTTCAAAGTTACAACCACACTGGAAAAAGTAAGTTATGACTATTTTTCACACGTACAACCGTTGCAGCATCCCCATGGTCACGTGATTTACATTAGGATGCTTGACAACTGATTCACATTTATGACGGTTGCAGTGTCCCAAGGTCATGTGATCCCCTTTTGCGACCTTCTGACAAGCAAAGTCAACGGGGGAAACTAGATTCACTTAACAACCGTGTTACTAATTTAACAACGGCAGTGATTCATTTAACAACTGTGGCAAGAAAAGTAAAATGGGCCAAAACTCACTTAACAACATACATTTTGGGCTCAATTGTGGTTGTAAATTGAGGACTACATGGATTGAAAAATCATGATTAAGATTAAGTGCAGTTTCAAGATTTTACCTGACCCTACACTGGTTAATAGGAAATGGAAATGGTAATTTTTCGTCTACTTATGGCCCCATAAGATCTGTTTTTGTATCAGAACACAGCCTCACACTCAGCGGTGAAATTCAGCCAGTTCTATCCAGGGGTGGGTTCTACTTACTTTTACTACCGGTTCGCAACGGGAATCTATCCGGATCACGTAATCCAGTAGCGGCGGCGGCGGGAGGCTCTGCCCACCTGCCCGTCATCACATCCCATTTGTGACCCTCTGCGCATGTGCAGAGGGCTCTGTGCATGTGTGGAGGAGGCCCACACGCTCACGTTTGCGAACCGGTAGTGAAGGTAAGTGAATACCACCCCTACTCACGCTCCTACGTTAAATTACTAAAGAAAGATAATTTGTTCATTTAATCAAGACTTCAGGAACGAGCTGGCAGTTTTATACTCACAATTTAAAAACTTGGCAACTTTAAACCCTCCCTATAAAGTCTTTTATTCTCATAATTCTGAGTATTTATTTTGCGTGGGTCTTTGCATGGGTCATAATAATGCAAACTGGCTTATTTCAGATATGCAACAATGAAAATAGAGAATTTTGTCAATCAATCATTCAAGGGTGCCTGAAACCTCACCCCAGTCATGTGATCCCTGCCTTGCAGAAATTAATAAAAGTGAAATGAAATGTCGAGTGTGTCAATTGTTTCCCTAAATTCTTGGACTTTTCATGCTCGTTCGTGTGTGACTGCTGAGATTATTCTTATTCTGCAAGGAAGGTTCGAAAACCGTCTGAAAGACATTCACAGCAGATCTCACTACAATGCAAGGAGTGGCCCTTTCTGTATGGTTTCCGGCTTGCTCAGGTAAAATGTTTTAAGAAATGGCTTAAGATGGGGCAGGATATTTTTATTAATTAACTCATGATTATCTCTTGCTTTCAAGCTTATAAAAGACATACATTTCTGAACAAATGCTCTGAATTATTAAATGAACAATTTAGTGGATTTGGTATGGGACAAATTTAAAAGGACATTAATTTGAAAAAAAATATTCTTATCACAAGCTCCTTAGAAGTGCAAAGGCTGCTAGTACAATCTAAAGAAGGAGAGCTAAAGAGTTAATACATTTTATTGAGATAAAGTCCTCAAAGTCCTCTCAGAATGGTTAAAAGATTTAACAGCAAGCCCAACTCAGTTCTTCACCACTACTCTGCCCTCACCCAAGGTCCTGATCTACTCTACAAGTTATGTCGGCTGGCGACACCCAGGGAGAGGGCCTTCTCTGTGGGAGCCCCAGCCCTGTGGAATGAACTGCCCCCGAAAATACGTAAGATCTCCGACCTCCGGGTGTTTCGCTGCGCACTGAAGACCCTGTTGTTCCGCCAGGCCGGACTATCAACATAATTTTAAATTGGGGTATTTTAAATTTTTGGGGTTTTAAACCGGCCAAATCTATTTAATTATTTTAATTTTTAATCATTGTTGTGTCTTGTGTTTTTAAATTGGCTGTACACCGCCCTGAGTCCTTCGGGAGAAGGGCGGTATAGAAATAAAATTATTATTATTATTATTATTATTATTATTATTATTATTATTATTATTATTATTATTATTATTATTACTCATTTTTTAAGTACAGCCCTGATATGCCTTGTAAAGCTTTGTGTGGCCTTTAAGCCATTGAAAGAAAATGCTTGTGCTCAGTTTTCTATCTGCCATGTAGGTATGGAGTGATACCCATCCCCATCTTAAACTTATGTTTTCAGAAGACAATTCCCAAGCCAACTATCATATGCATCAAGGGAAAATGTCGGTCCTCTGACTCTATCCTTCTTTTTGTTGATTTTTCCCCCCCAAAAATAATATTAAAAGCCTGAAAGGGAAAATGAGGTTGGGTTGATACAGCATTTACTATATCTTCAAATTTCTTTAGATCCTGCTTCTGGTGCAACAAGCCACATATCAGGGACGAGGCACTTGAGGAAAGTCAAGGGCTGTAGAGAATAAGGAACAAGGCCTTGACAGAGATTTGCAGGACCTGTTCCCTAGATCAAAGGGCGTGAAGTATTTTTAAATCCAGAAGAAGATAAAATTTGGAAGTGGATCAGGATGTGACCTCTCTAACTCACTAAACAAGGAGGAGGAGGAGGAAGAGATCCAACATAATCAGACTTCAAGATTGACGTTATAGCTAACTCAATAAAAGTAGTTTTAGCTTTCCTGTTAAGATGATTTCCTGGCCTGGTCTACTTTATTTTATTTCTGGATGTTTGGGGAGAGTGGGAGATATTATTAAGGTGGAAATGGAGCAGTGTAAACTCCCAGAGATCTTCCACTCCTAAGCCTGCTTGCCAAATCTTGCCTTTTTCAGTGATGCTAACAGCCTGGGAGGCAAAATTACACCCTTCATGCCCTCTTAACTTTATCTGTCACTACTCTACAAAATCTACAAGAGTGAGGGAATGGCTAGATCAGGCAGATTTAGAGACCTTTCCTTGTCACTTGTGCTGCACCCCATTTCTCCAAAGCTTTGTGAGGGGCAGTAGGGGCACTTTGTTTATTAGACATCCTTCTCCAAGAAAGTGAGCATGAGCCCACAGCAACAATCAATAAGCATCTTGCATCCGGCTAAATTCCATCGATTCTCTTGACGAAAGCAGGTTGATAAACTATGGTTTCCACACCACTCTTTCCCTAGCTGATGCTGTCCAGATGCACCCAGGCTACAACAAGTTGCAAAATTAAAAATTGTGAAGGTCTAGGTCAGGGGTGTCAAACTCGTGTCGTCATGGCGGTGTCATATGATGTATTGAGACTTCCCCCCTGGGCGTGGGCAGCTCATGACGCATCTGGCCCGCAGGCCGCGAATTTGACAGCCCTGGTCTAGATACTTAAAGAAACAGTGTTTCTGTGGGATCCACCTTAAGCTCAACCATCTCTTTCACTCAAATTGTGTATTCCAAATAGAACAAAGCTGCTTTGTTCTTTGGTAACAAAACTGATAGAAATGCATTCACACCTTTGAGTCATGGCAGACATTTTTGTTTGAGGTATATCACTGCGAGAAAAGGCATGTTAGACAAAAGCCACTGAACATTAAATCTTACTTGATTTTCTGTCTGATTGATTCCTATCAGGAAGACTAACTCCGAGCAGAACAGAGCAGCCACCAAGTTTTTGTGAATGCTGTGCAGATTGGACCGCAAAGTTCGGATCAAGATCAAAAGTATGAAGGTCAGCAACAAAGCTACCAGTGAGATGGAAACTGTCGTGTAAGTGATGATCCTGAGAGGAAGCACGTCATCATACTGTAAAATAAAATTATCAGTTTGTTTGTTACAAGCATGAACTGATAAAAAAAATAGTCTTCATTTGTCTTTATTCCCCTTCTAAACGCTCAGTTATTATACTTTTAAAATCAGCATGAATAGTATATTCATTTGACTAAATAAACGCTGTTCTATCTCAAATCCACATTCTTTTAAGCGGTATGAAGGGCTGTCAGTTTCTCAGAGTGATTTAGTTTTTAAAAAAAAACACTTCAGGGAATATGTCAAACAGTGAATTAATTCACTGACAAGTTTTTGTAGTGAAAGAAGACCACAGTTAAATGGATTTCATTCCTTTTATTCAGTGTTTACATTTTCATTTCTAATTCACTGCTGCCTGAAGTATATCCACATTAATAAGAGGCTACTCTATGCCAGAAAGAAAAGCCTCAAGATGAAGTACAGTGAAGAGACTTCCAGAGATCTATGTTTCTCAAAGTGCATGTATAAATAAGAATTAAAAAAAAAATAGATAGCAGGGAAGGTAAGACATTCTTTTTAAAGACTGCTCATAGGTCAAGCTGTTAAATTCCTGCAGGAACCCCCACTCCGAGACGTATTAAGCTGTGCCCACTCAAGAGGCATCATGAAATCAGCCTTTCTTTCCCTACATCCTTCCCTGGAAATCCACCCTCAATTTCCTTAAAAAGGGATGCCTGACTTTGGCAAGTCCACATCTTTGAAATGGGAATTGCAACAACTTACTTTGTCATCTTATATAGCAAGGGTAAATACATTAAGCAACACAGAAATTTGCAAACCCAAAGCATAATACAAAGGATTAAACATGGGCAGTTCTGAATCCATACTTTGCTTTGCAAAACATACTGTATTTTTCGGAGTCTAAGACGCACCTTTTTCCCCCCTAAAAGAGGGTGGAAATGTTGGTGCGTCTTATACACCGAATACAGCTATTTTTGGCCTCCTGAAGCCCCGCCCCGCTCGTTCCATTTTTGCGAAAAACAGGCCCATTTTTCATCCAATTTTTGCAAAAACGGGGGTGTTTTTGCCCTCCCCCAGCCCTTAGGAGCACTCTGCAGGCCTCCCAAACCCTCTGCGTGCCCCGTTTTTCACAAAAACAGGGCGTGCAGAGCAGGGGTGAAATCTAAAATTTGTTACTACCGGTTCTATGGGCGTGGCTTGTGGGGGGGGGTAATGTGACCTTAAGAGGTTGCAGAAAAAAAATGCTTTTAAAAGCCTCTGACGATCAGGCAACTCAGCTGGGATCGCCAGAGGCTTTTAAAAGCATTTTTTTTTCCCTACAACCTCTTCGGCTGAAAAAACGCTTTTAAAAGTAATAAAAAACAGCCTCTGATGATCACGCAGCTCAGCTGGGCATGAGGGGGGGGAGTGGAGGGATTTTTGCTACCAGTTCTCAGAACCACCTGCCACCATCACTACTGGATTGGGCAATCCGGTCTGAACCGAGAGCATTTCACCCCTGGCGCAGAGGGTTTGGGAGGTCTGCAGAGTGCTCCTGGGAGCTGGGGGAGGGCAAAAACACTCCCATTTTTGCAAAAAATGGGGCACGCAGAGGGTTTGGGAGGCCTGCAGAGTGCTCCTGAGGGCCAGGGAGGGCAAAAACCTTTTTTTTCTTTCTTACCTCTTCGAAATCTTGGTGCATTTTATACACCGGTGCGTCTTACAGTCCGAAAAATACGGTAGATTGAGATGCAAGCTACTGATGGCTTGGGGTTAGGCTAAGGGCAACCTTGTGTGAGGACCAAGCAAAAGATTCAAGATGGAAGGAGCACCCTTTTCATGTGTTTGCCATGTCTATAAAAACGGTTAATCAGGTGGATGCCATCTTGAATTTTTTTGCCCCTACCCCCACCCCATGGAAGCCCCTGGGCCAATCAGTGTCCTGCTTTCCTTGAGTCATTAACAGACGAAATATAAACTACTAAATAAACAAATAATCAGCAAACTTTTTTTTTTTAAATAGCTCTCTTGACACCTTATATCAAATTTAAAGCTGGCAAGAAATACAGGAATTCATTAAAAATGACATTGTAGCAGGAATCCTGTATTATTCATGGTGGCCAATAATCAAAAATTTTATAGCACTTTTTCAGACTAGCTAAGGCTGCAGTTCAGAGCAACTTATGTCTTTTAATAATATTTATTAATCAAAAGAGGTGCTACCACCTTCCTGATTTTTTTTTAAAAAATGATAGTAACTTCTTTTTCTAAAAATGTTCATCGTATGGTGGTGAGAAAACAAAAGGAAATGAACCAAAAAATAAAATTTTCCCCCCTGTAAGCACTTTGTAGCTGAAACAGAGCACTGTTAAAGCTCTGTTAAAGCAGACTCCTTTGATAAACTGGAAGGTAGCTTTTAAGTAAAAATAAAATACTAATTTAAAATGATCTCATTTGCTTTTTAACTCTCATCAAACACCGTTTCATTACCACAATAAACAAAATAATCACAAGGGAACTGCTTACTTCACGATTTGACATATCCATTAGGACTGCAAAACTGGTCATGTGGTTACATTGACAAATAATACGGTTCTGGCGCCGAGAAAACAGTTCACATCCTTTTGAAGACCAGCCTCCTGCTGTTTCTCTAGTTCTGGTCAATAAAAAGGAAAAAAAAAAAATCCAATTCCAATTATATTTGTTATCTCGCAACCCAAACTGTTTCAGTGATGGATTGGAACTCATTGCCGTCCCTCCTCTCAATAATTAACAGTGCAACTCACAAAATGCAGAGGTGGGTTGCTGGGGGTTCGCAGGGGTTCGGGAGAATCTCTAGCTAAGATTCTGGGCAGTTTGGAGAACCCCCAAATCCCACTCCTGGCTGGCCCCGCCCACCCCATCCCTCCCAAGAGTCCCCACACTGCCTGTTTTGGATGCAGGTAAGTGCAGGGCACGTGTGGAAGCTTGAGGAGGGTGAAAAACGGGCCTACCGGAGGGTGTCCGGAGCCTGGGGAGGCAGTTTTTGCTCTCCCGGAGGCTCAAAGAAAGCCCCTCGAGCCCCGGGAGGGCAAAAACGCCCCCCACTGTGCAGGAGGCCAACGAGGCCATGCCCACCATGGCCACGCCCACTCAGCAACCAGGCAGAGAACTCCTTGCTAAAATTTTTGAAGCCCACCCCTGACAAAACGTAACAGATTTTTAAAAACCAGTGTTTTCATTATTAATCCCCATTTCTCAAGAACAGCACTCATGTTCAGGAACATCAGGCTCATTAATGCACTGTCTGGCAATTGAATTCAATGTTTGCAACGACTGTTTTTTTCTTTCAACTTTGCTTCCTCATGACCAATGACAAAATTACACACAGGTAGGATGAGCAGTGCAAGTAACCCATGATTATCACTTAGCTATCTCTTTGATCTTTAAGTAATAGTGAGTCTTCTCCTGGAAGACTCACTGGAAAGCTATAATAAAATCCATTATTCTAAATCTCTCAGATTATTTGGTATGTATCTATTTTTATTCCTAGCATTGGTTTCAAGATATGGGTGCAGTGTTTCCCACATTCTCCAAGATGTTATTTTGATGGCTCATATACTTCTTATAACTGCAAATTTTGCAAAAATAAATAAATAAATAATAATAATAATGTCATCATCCATTGAAAAAGAAGCAAAGAAGCTACCTAGAACATTTGATAAATGATCCTGTTCCTGAGTGAAATTCAAAATAATGTGTTTCCCCGAAGATAAGACCCACCCCAAAAAATAAGCCCTGGCCTAATATAAACCCTATCCCAAAAATATGCCCAGAGGGATGGGCGTGGCCAGCACAAGAGGTGGCGAGTGTGTGGGGGCCCTATCGTGTCTGGCCACGGCCTGCCAGCCTCCTGGTGGAGGGCAAATAAGTCCGAGCATGGAGGGCGGGGGGAGAGATAGGGGATCCGGATGTGCTGCATGGCTGCCTGGCTCACAGGAAACTCGCAGGAAGCTTGCGTGGCAGCATCAGCAGCAGGTAAAGGCACAGGGGAAGGGAGAGGCAGGCAATCCTGCAACTGCACGGCACGGCCACAAGCAATCTGAGAGATAGTGGGACAGAGTGGGCAGCACATTGGGATTGCCTGCCTCCCCTCCATGCCTCTGGTTCCACCATGCACTTTTCGCCCAGAGGGAGATGAAGTTTCATCTGCTTGCAAATGGGATGCTTTGAAATGGAGCTAATTGCTAATTGCTTCATTTCAAACTGTCCCATTTGCACGCAGACAAAGCTTCAAGTCTCCATCATTTCTCCGTCCGGATGGGTGCTTATGGGGCGCTTGGGAACGGAGCAAATTGCGACCAGAATGAAAAGAAGTCAGAGGTTCAGTGAAATTACTTTTATACCCACAATCATATCCTTTCTGTTTTTCAGTACAAACAGTAAAAATGACTAATAGAGTGACAGAAGGCTACTGATAATTAACAGAATTGTCTTTGAGGCAATTTGATGCCGCTTCCAAAAGTACATCCAAAAGTAATTTATTTTCTGTTAAAGTTGAAATAGTTCTTTTTTTTTTTAAATTGAACTTCTTTCCATTTAAACAGCTAACTTCTGTCTAGAAACTGTTCTCAAATAAATATGTTGTGTGAATTTGTCTAAAACAGCCATCTGTCTGTTTGGATACTGGAATACTTTATTAAAAACTTGTTACCTAGCTTTTATTCCTAATCAGCAATAAATAACAGCCAATGAAGCTGCCACTGCTGTTTATACTATGTAGTCTATATAAAAAAAACCGAATTGTTGTTGTTGTTAAGAAAATTTATGTATGTGTTTGCTGAGAGCTGACTTAGAGTTAATGGCACATAATTGATTGATCAATTATTATTATCCTTAAAATCTGAAATAGTATCTGAAATAATATAAAAACAGTATAGGTCAGTGATGGCGAACCTTTTCGGCACCGAGTGCCCAAACCGGTACACATGTGCATATGGGCATGCCGGAATGTCGGAAACCCAAAAACCAGCTGGCCAATGCGCATGCCAGTTTTTGGGCCGTTTTGGGGGGCATTTTCAGGCCATTTTTGGGGCCGTTTTCAGGCTGTTTTTTGGGTCATTTTTGGCCCCCAAAACAGTCTGAAAATGGCCTGGAAAATGGCACAGAAAACGGAATGAAAATGGCATGGGAAAATTGCTTTCTTTTTGGCCGTTTTTCAGGCTGTTTTCCAGCGCTCCGGCGCCCATAAAGAGCAACTGGCGATGGCGCATGTGCCCACAGAGAGGGCTCTGCATGTCACCTCTGGCACGTGTGCCATAGGTTCGCCATCACGGGTATAGGTTCTCATGCTTGAGCAGAGGGCTGGACTAGAAGACCTCCAAGGTCCCTTCCAGCTCATTCATTCTATTCTATTTTAAAATGCCCGCCCACAATAACTGCCCATGGAAAGAGTGCAGATTGGAAAACATACGTGATTGAATGGTTCCAGAAGACACACACAGGCTTTGTTCTCTCCATCGTTTCCAGCATAACATGCTCAATCATAATTGGGCTGTCCACTAGATTAGGCAAATAATTTCCATCTCTGTAAATGATTACGCTGATTACTGGGGTATTAATGGTGGGGCGGTTGGGTAACCTGGCAAAATAAAACAACATTATTATTACAGATGTACAACGGAATAGTTTATTGTTTTCACACGAGTATATTGCTTTAGGTCAGGGGTCTCCAATCTTGGCAACTTTAAGACTTGTGGACTTCAACTCCCAGAATTCCTCAGCCAGCAAAGCTGAAGTTAAAGTCCACAAGTCTTAACGTTGCCAAGATTGGAGACCCCGATTTAGATTTAGACAGGACTCAGTACTGAATTCTCTTCTGTGTGAAGACATGTAAAGGGACAGTTTAAGCAAGCACATTTATTGCCCATTAGCTCTAGCAAATGAGCGATGGATTTTATGTATTAGCGAGTCATCAGATTTTTTTAAAAGCCCTGACAGAACATGCATAATATCCTCAACATAATGAGTCAGTTCACACATTTAACTGTGAGCCAAAAGAGCACAAGAAGGCAACTGAGTTCTGAATTGAGTCCTTGAGGTTCTAATTCTAATATAAAAATTTTAAGCAAATAAATCCTATTTTTTCCCCCAAACTTGTATCTATTTTATTGTGGATTAGTTTCTAGGATCCAGAACAACCAAGAGAAATGTCAGCAACTAATTTCTCAGTAAACCTAAATTTAAAGGAGCCTGGATAGCTCTGCAGACAAGGCTGGTAATTTAACACCAGCTGTCTGCAATTAAAGTAAGTTCGAATCTTGCCAGGCTCAAGGTTGACTCAGCTTCCATCCTTTCTAAGGTAGGTAAATTGAGGACCCAGTTTGTGGGGGCAATAAGCTGACTTTGTATAAAATATACAAAAGTATAAAGGCTATTGCTTAACGCACTGTAAGCCGCCCTGAGTCTCCGGAGAAGGGCGGCATATAAATCAATTTTTTTAAAAAAAAATGTACAATACATGATTTGGTTATATCATGGCACAATTGCCCAACCCAGAATTATTATACAAGATGTTAAAAGTATAAATTTTACCTTAAACTCCTTCGATCAGGATCATAGTTCTTAGGCAGAAAACATCCCAAGGTTCGATATATAATTACCATGGCAACGGCATGCTGGCTGGAATTCTCTGGATGCCGACGCTGTCTTTTGGCATGTATATTTTTATTATTTACAATCTCATCCTCCATGTTCAATAAAAGTCCATAGTTTGAAGGTTTTGTTGTAGGACCTACTGAAGAAAAAAACATGATGCCAAATTATAGGCTATCATCCAAGATGTGGATTCATACTTAAAGCAGCAATGAGATTAAGATTAAATAGATTAAGAGAATTTGTAATTGAAAATCAAAATTTCATCTGTATTCTCCTCGATTTTCCCACTATCCCATAATGGTTTACAACCTAGAGATTTTTTGTTTTTTTTTAAAAAAATACTCTAAACCAACTAACAGAAAAATGTAGATTCAACAGACAAAATATTATATTCAAAATTAATCATTATGAGACCAATAAAAAGAAGAAAAAAGAACCCTGCAAATTAAAAATTCTGATTTTTGGTACACCTGTTGAGTGAAATGAGAAAGAAGATACTACAGGATCTGCTCTGGTCAGTATGGTTTCAACTTTAGTTCTTTTTCTTTTTCATCATTCTGAAGTATGAAGTCAAATTTTGAAGATGGAAATGTTAGGAAATGCATTATGTTATCAAGTACTAGCGTCGTGAACTTTGTCTCCTCTAAATCATACTTAATCTTTCTCAAGCAACAATTTAATAGTAGATCTGAACATTCTTATTATTCCATTCGGAAAATACTTAGATAAACCTTCTCAATCTCAGGATTTCTAAATGTGCTTCTATTGAAATTCTTAGAGAATTTCAAAAAGTTCAGAAAGTTATTCTGTCTTGGAAATAAAAGTTGCAATCCCAATAGATATGGAGAAGATAGTAGAAGATTAGGAAGAGCTACTCTAAAACAGCATCATACCTTTTCTGACAGATGTTTTGAGCAAAGTTTCAGGAAACAAAACAGATGATTCCAAATCTTTTGGGTAATCTTCTTTGATCATATTAAAATGTGGTACTCTAGTTCCCGTAAAATTTGACTTTTCAAATATGTCAACAGCAATAACTAAAAAGAAATGATATAAGCAATGTAACAAGCGATATAAACAAAAAAAGTCATAGTACAATTTACTTCTTTCACATAACGCTTAAATAATCAAGTAACAGTTTAGTAAATTTAATGCCTTATTAGCTTTTTAAACCATAGAGATATTGGGGGAAAGTTTCATGATATTTATAGGATTTTTTTTCAGGAAGGAAGGAGTCCAAGCTGCAAATAAATGTGTGAAGACATTAACACACTTGCCCATTTTGGTGGTGCCATATTCCACAACAGAAACATAGTTAAGCACTTTTAAGAATGCATTGGATATTTGACAACTTTAACTGATTTCTCAGAAAATCAGCCCCATATTCTAGCATAAAAGTATGAACAAGTTGCTGTATCAATTCAGACCACTTATTCATTTAATTCATATGTTTTCAGCAAGGTTCTCAGAGCTGGAGACTTTCCCACCCCTACTTGAATAGGTCAGGGATTGACCCCCAAAGCTTCTGCAGGCAATGGAGAGGCTCTACCATTGGGCTTCAGCGCATCTTGAAATACTATTAAGCGTTTTTGTAGAGCAGCGATGTCAGTGAGAAATGTCTTTTGCAATAGGGATGTAGAAAAATAAATATACTTCAAGAGCAGGTGTCTTCTTTTGGCCTGGGGGCTGCACTTTGAAGTGATTATGATGGATGACTGCCTCTAAAAGTTCCAAGATGAATGTCACAGTTTTTTGGGGGGAGATAAGTGGTAATTTTAAGAATCCAAACTCATAAAGGCTCAACACTTTTAATTTTGCCTTTCTTCCATGAAAAATACCACAAATCATTCTGATAAAACCCAGAAACATTTTTACTGAATCATGGAGGCTGCAAACGGGAGGATTGTATGCAGTTTCCAAATCACAAGTTACATACCCACAGGAATCGGGGCCATTTTAATTTCACAATTCTAGCCAGAAATTTTCTTTCTGTCAACTAAAATAATGCAACAGTGCATTTGTTGATTACAAATTGCAATTGTCCTCTTGAAAATGCCGCTTCGTATTAAAATAGTGTACCGGTATCTGAAATGTACTTGTTAGAATTAAATGAGATTTAGGAAAACTAGGGTTTAAATCCTATTTCAGCCATTTCATTTTCACTGAATGCAAACAGTCATTCTTCTACCTTCACATGGAAAATAGTAGAACCCTTGTCTTGAGGATACAAATTAGATTTATAACACAATATATTCTACAGATCAATTTAGTACAAGATCACATACTAATTGAAGCCACTAGATGAGAGGAATAAAAGTGTACTTAGACAGAAGGAATCCCCCTCAATTCATTAAAACTAAGTTCCTGACTAAACATTCCTAACTACATTCTCAAAATAACTGGCAATTTTATGACATTAAATGGAGCCAATTATCTGTTGACTGTGGCATTCACCCAGCCCTCTTATTTGTCTTGGTGTACAAATACAGAAATTTAATGTCAAAACTAGCCCTAAATATTTTCTCCGGTTCTTTTTTTCTCGTCTCATTTAATCTCCCTGTCAAATTCTTCAGCAGTTGCTGAATTCCCTGTCAGTGAGGCAATTCTTTGCTTATTGAATTTAGAGAATGACATGTCTATCTCCTATTATCTTCCTTTTCTATTTTTGTCTCTTTCATTTCCACACCATGGTCCACAGATGCTAGGATGGAAATGGTGATGGCGTGGAAGAGTCCAACAGGTTAGGAATCCCGGAGAGCTGTTGAGTTTGACAAAAGGGCTGAATGATTTTGAAACACCAACATTAATCCGTTTTTTCCTCCCCACTTGGATCACTGGGTACAAATAATCTTCATTAAGCTACCACACTTGGTTTCAGAAAGTTGACTGTTAAGCAAAGCAAAATTGTGAATGTGCTTATGATTTAACTTCAGTTTTCCTTTGCTTTACAGATCTGTGAAGACCATAAACAGGAGGATTGCTCATTTATATATTTATTTTATTGCTTTTCTTCTTTTTATTTACTTTACTTACTTTTTACATTTTGTCATGGCAAAGTGTCTGGATTCATATGGAGAAATTGAATGTACAGCTGCATCTGTCCTATAGCCAGCCCTCCTGTTCTTTTTCAAGTATGCTATATACACGCACATACAATTATATATATATATTATGTATGTATATAATATATATTATATATTATACACGCACTTACCGTATTTTTCGGAGTATAAGACGCACCTTTTCCCCCCTAAAAGGGGGTGAACATTTAGGTGCATCTTATACACCGAATGTAGCCCCACCTACCCACTGGCCCCCACCCTTTGGCCTCTGCCTCCCAGCAGTTTACCTCCTTGCAGCAAGCAGCAAGAAGAAACAGCCCATTTCAGCTTCAGCACAGCCTAATTAGCACAAGTTGATTGGATCGGCCTCTGACTCTCAGCTATTTTGCTCTCAGCTGTTTTGCGCAGGCCTCTGCTGCTTGCTGCAAGGAAGTAAATTGCTGGAGCAGATTTTTTTTTCCCTTGTGCTAATCAAGCTATGTTGAAAACGAAAATGAAGTAAAGCAGGCTGTTTGCTGTTTACCTCAACGAGGCAAATTGCTGGGAGGCAGAGGCAGATTTCTTTTTCTTGTTTTCCTGACCAAAAATGGTAGGTGTGTCTTATAGCCCAGTGCGTCTTATTCTCCAAAAAATACGGTATATACATACAGATTTTTTTTTTAGAATAGTCATTTTGCCTCATGAGAGAAAGAAAACAGAAATGCTTTTTTAAACTGCTTCCTGGTCTCAAAGCAGGATATGAACTACAGTCCTCGAGTTACAATTGTAATAGGGCCTAACCACGACAATAGTAATTTGTGACAGTTGTAAATCAGGTCACCCATGTGACTGACTCAATTCTATGAACGTTTTTTTGCAGTGGTTGTTAAGCGAACCAAGGGTGAGACCAGTTTTGCTGAAAACCGGAAGAAAATGACAGTTTTCAGCAAAACCATTGTAAAATGTGGTCACGTGATTGCAGGGATGCTACAAATAATTCGACCACTATCTGTGCAGACATTTTTGAAATTGATATTTAATTTTTAATACCAATCTCAATTTCTGCTCTAATTCTAGTAACACTTGGTTGACGCAGCCTTCCATCCTTCCGAGGTCAATAAAATGAGGACCCAGATTGTTGGGGGAAATATGCTGACTCTGTAAATTGCTTAGAGAGGGCTGAAAAAGCACTGTGAAGCGGTATATAGGTCTAAGTGCTATTGCTATTGCTACACTTAGTGTTAATTTTGATAATTATAGCCCAGGTCCTTGGAAGGCTTCAGGCACTGAAAAGATGCTTTAAGACAGTGATTCTCAAACTTGGCAAATTTAAGACATGTGGACTTCAACTCCCACAATTCCTCAGCCAGCACTATTGCCATGTTTGAGAAAAACTGCTTTTCTCAAAACTAGGGTGGCGCATTGGTTAGAGTGCAGTAGTGCAGGCTACTTCAGCTGACTGCTAGCTGCAGTTCAGCAGTTCAAATCTCACCAGGCTCCAGGTTGACTCATCTTTCCATCCTTCCGAGGTGGGTAAAATGAGGACCCAGATCGTAGGGGGCAATATGCTGGCTCTGTAAACCGCTTAGAGAGGGCTGTAAAAGCACTGTGAAGCGGTATATAAGTCTAAGTGCTATTGCTAAGTGCTGTTTAAAAAGTCATATCTGATCGGAAAATGACTAGTAGAGGCAAGAACTTACTCATGTTTGCAGCAATGATAACAAAAGGTTTCATGTAGGTTCTTTTCATGTTCTTTGCCAGATTGTGAAAGTAATCTTCATAGTGTTTCAGTAAGTGAGCTGTACCCCCTTCGGTCCTCTGGATGTGTTCCCAAAGGTCTTCTGTGCGAGGATCCAGTAAGGCACTACCTGTTTTTATGATATTCTAGAAGAAGAAGAAAAGTAGACTAAGGAAAAAAAATGTAACAATATCACACTGAAGCTGAACCTAACCCCTAACCAAGAGCCTTGGTGGCGCAGCAGACTAAAGTGCTGTTAACTAGCTCCAGCTGCCTGCAATTACTGCAAGTTCAAATCTCACCAGGCTCAAGGTTGACTCAGCCTTCCATCCTTCTGAGGTAGGTAAAATGAGGACCCAGATTGTGGGAGCAATAAGATGACTTTGTATAAAAAAGAAGAGTCTCCGGAGAAAGGCGGCATATAAATCGAACCAACCAACCAACCAACCAACCAATCAATCAATCAATAACCAAAATTCTTTATGCAGTCTAATGAAGCTTTCCTTAAACAAACATAAACTATGATTATTTTATTTTCAGCATTTTGCTCTTCAGTGACTTGTATCTTTTTAATATATATGGTAATTTGGTTTTTCAAAGTTTATAATTTTATTTAAAAATACAATATTTTTTATATTATATATATATTTATAGTATATATATTTTATAGTATATAATATAATACTGCCCAAAGAGCTGCTGATTCAGTTCTACAGAGGAATTATTGAGTCTGTCATCTGCACCTCCATAACTGTCTGGTTTGGCTCTGCAACCCAACAAGACAGACACATGCTATGTGGTCTCAAACAAGCAAACAATAAATAAACCACCTGTCATTAGAATGGCTGTTGGAAAATGTTCCTGAGAATGCAATAAACAGCCAAGAAAGCAAACAAATGGATTATCAAATAAATGAACCCAAAGTTCTCACTCAAGGCACAAATAAGAGCCTTGGTAGTATAGTGGTCTAAGGCACCCTGTTATTAAGCTGGTTATTAAGAGCAGCTGCCTGCAATTACTGCAGGTTCGAATCTCGCCAAGGCTTAAGGTTGACTCAGCCTTCCATCCTTTCTAAGGTAGGTAAATTGAGGACCCAGTTTGTGGGGGCAATAAGCTGACTTTGTATAAATATACAAAAGAATGAAGGCTATTACTTAGCGCATTGTAAGCCGCCCTGAGTCTCCGGAGAAGGGCGGCATATAAATCAAAATTAAAAAAAAAAAAAATGACCAGGCTTAATTATCTCATTTCAGTCACTTTATGTGAAGACCTCTCTCTCTGGAGAAGGCTCTACTGCGGAGAAGGAAAGAGAAGAGAATGACCACTAGTAAGATGGATGGACTCAAGTAGAGCAGTGATGGATGCACTGTTGGAAGATCTGAGATGCCAGATTGAGGGCAGATTGTCATGCAGATAAAATCTATCTATGGCGGCATTCCCCAACTTTTCCAAATTGGTGGTCCAGTGCTGGGAGGAGAAGGAGGGGAAAGTTTTGTGTGAGGGGCAGGCACGCCGTTCATGCCGGCTCACCACTCATGAGGCTTGGTCGCAAATAGGCCATGGCCTAGTAGTGGGCTATGGCCCACAGGTTGACGGTCCCTGATCTATAGTTTCTAAAAGTCGACACCAACTTGATGGCGCATAATCAATCAATCATTACAGATAGTTTTCAATTTACAATCACAAGTGGGCCAGGGGTGGGTTCTAATTTTTTTTTACTATCGGTTCTGTGGGCGTGGTTTATTTTGTGGGCGTGGCTTGATTGTCATGTGACAATTCTTTAGGATTTAGCAGAGGTACTGGTCTACCAGGCTTTTAATTGCTTGCAGAGCTGTACTGGTCTACTCATGTATTTTTGCAGGCACTGATCTACTCATGTATTTTTGCAGGAACTGATCTACCCATTTATTTTTGCAGGCACCAGTCTACTCATTTGTTTTTGGAGGCACCGGTCTACCACCAAACTGCCTTTTACCACTGATCAGCTGTAGGGTAGCCCTTTGAAGCCCCGCGGCAAGAGTTTAAATAGTTTTTCCTTATAGCCCATCAAGCTGGGACTCAGGAGGCAGCAATAGATTGGGGGTGGGGCCAAATAAAAGGTAAGAATAATGCGTGGGGGGGCGAACCGGTTCGATGACGTCATATCGTCACCGCTACCAGCTCGGCAGAACTGGGAGGAACCCACCACTGAAGTGGGCCCGGAAGTTTGGTCGTACGTTGAGGCAGTCAGTCAGCAGATCACCATGTGACCTGACACGATTTTACAACCAACTTTATGATAGTTATAAGTTGCAAATCACAATCATATGACCATAGGATGCTACAACTGATCCTAAATGTGAGTTAGTTGCCAAGTGCCCAACATGTGGTCATGTGACTGTGCTGGGGGTGGACATTTTAAGATGGTCAAAATGTGTTTTACAGGCTATAAAACACCCTTTGCAAGGCTGTCCTAATTTCAGATGGTTGTTAAGTGCTCCTCATTAAGTGAGGACTACCTTTAAAATGGAAAGCTTACTTTTGGAAATCCATAAAACATCAGCAGATAGAAACCTAAAAGAGCACTAATTTTTGTGTTGAGAATTGAGGAAGAAATCATTCTTAGCTAGCATAGCTGAGTAACCATGAAAGAAAATGTGTATTAGATTCAGGTGGATTCATATTTCCCAAGAATAGCATGCAATATAGTGAACATATAGAAGAATAAAACTCTTCTTTCTTATGTATTGGCATGAACGATACAGCATCTCTTCATAAAACTACAGATCTCTCTACCAATGCAGTTATTCCTGCATAGCGTTGAAAAACTGCATGGACTAAGAGGTACTTTTTCCTGACCTTAGCATGGAAACTATAATATGTAATGTTTGTTGGCATTCATGCAAAATTATAAGCTGTGTAATTGGAACACAAGCTATTTTTCACTGTTTGGTACTTGATTTCTGTAAAAAGGCAGATTTAATCTTTTGTCTTTGTTACGCAGCCATCATTTGGGCTATTTTATTATTATTATTTTACTATTTAAAAGTGGTTATTTAATATTACTTTACTTTTTTACTTTACTTTATTTTGGATTTATATACCGCCCTACTCCCGAAGGACTCAAAGCCAAAAGATAAAACACACATAATACAAAATTTAAAAAACAATGTAAAAACACATTAAATAATTTGGCCCAAACAAATTAAAACACCCCTATTGTTTTAAAACAAATTTAAAATTAACAATTAAAAGGAAGTTAGGCCAGGCCAGCCTGTTGAAATAAAAAGGTCTTGAGGGATATTAAGGGATATTAAGGGAATATCCCTTAATATCCCTTAATATTAAGGGAATTCAGAAAAATACAGCTAAAGTAAATACAGTTTTTTCAGAAAAAATGGTTCTTTTTATGGCAATCTGATAATACTGGAAAGGGCTTTCATTTTGCACAGTTTATAAAAGCGTAGAGAGATCAGTACTGGAGCTATAATCATATGATTATTGATTCACAATGAGTTTTAAAAAAATTACATAGTGACTTGGTTCTTTGGAGGATTATTTGATTACTTTTTGATGAATCTAAAGCACATTCTTAGATTTCAAAAACATAATCTCTATGCTCTGTGGAAATCACTAGAACATTTTAATGCTGAATATTGGCACCAGTGCCAGAAAAATGTGCGAACAGTCTATTTTCAATCTGCTGTCTTCCTTCAAACATGCAGACATCATTCAGTGTTATATCTCACTTTCATTATGCTGGAGCTCTTATAAAGTAACACCTTGCAAAGCACTTTTGCACAAAGCCACATAATCTAGGGCTCATTAAAAAATTGTTTTGTTTTGGTGCTAACAGGGTCTTACCAGGTGAAAGAAGGAAATGATTCTGACACCCACCTCCCAATCACAGGTCTATCCTTTTTTCCTGACCTTTTTTTCAGGACCAATTTATCAGAAATGCTACTTCAGCCCAGGAAACACGGCTAAAAATATGAATATATTGCTCCATTGTGCTAAAGAGGTTATAACAGGGATTCATCATTAAAAGCAACACTAGAAAAAAAACCAAACCAAATCCTGCAGATGTCAAACTCGATTTCATTGAGGGATGCATCAGGGTTGTGTTTGACCTCGGAGGGACGAGGGGGGGAGGCGTTGCCATGGTGGGTGTGACACGGGACTTGTGTTGGGGGCACTTGTGGTAGTCAAGTGCTAAGGCAAGACTTCCCTGAGACCCTCCCCCACTCTCATTATAATCTCCTTCCTTCCTTTCTTCCTTCTTCCTTTTTATCAGGTTCGCCTGATACGCCAGTTGCGTCCCTTTCTGGATCGGGACTCCTTATGCACGGTCACTCACGCCCTGGTCACCTCTTGCCTGGACTTCTGCAATGCTCTCTACATGGGGCTCCCCTTTAGGAGCACCTGGAGGCTCCAGATGGTCCAGAATGCAGCCGCGTGGGTAATTATAGGGGCGACATGGCACTCCCATGTAACACCTCTCCTGCGCGAGCTGCACTGGATCCCGGTGGTCTTCCGGGTGCGCTTCAAGGTATTGGTTCTTATCTTTAAAGCGCTCCATGACTTAGGGCCCGGATATTTACGAGACCACCTTCTGCCACCCATAACCTCCCACCGGCCAATCCGCTCCCACAGAGAGGGTCTCCTCAGGGTGCCGTCAGTCAAGCAATGTCAACTGACAACCCCCAGGGGGAGAGCCTTCTCTGTGGGGCCACCCACCCTCTGGAACGAGCTACCCCCAGGAATACGACTGATCCCGGACCTCCGTACTTTCCGCCGAGTGTTGAAGACCTTCTTATTCCAGCAAGCCGGGCTGGCTTAAAATTTTAATGGGCTATTTTATGGGTAAAGGGTTTTAAAAATTTAGGGAAACCAAACCGATTTAATTCTGTTTTAATTTATTTTAATTTTTCTACTGTATGTATTTTAATTTTGGCTGTTCACCGCCCTGAGTCCTTCGGGAGAAGGGCGGTATACAAATTTAATAAACCTAAACCTAAACCTTCTTTCCTTCCCTTCCCTTCCATCCTTTTCTTCTTTTTCCTTCCCTCTTCATTCTGCTTCCTTCTTCCTTCCCCTCTCCTTATTTTTTCTTCCTTGCTCTCTTCCCATCTTTTTGATTTTCCTCTTTCCCTTTCTCCTTTCCTGTCCCTTTTGCATGCTCAAATGCAAAAGGGGAAACATTTCTCCTTTTCTTTTGTTTTTAGTTTGTTCTGCTAGCCCTCTGCCAACAAAAACAGAGCCCGTGTGCAGCCCCCCGAGCTACATTTTCACTGGCAGAAGCACCACGGGCCAGTCCGTTGCTGTTTCCAGGCCAGCCCCACAGGCCAGATCTAAGCACCCCGCAGGCCGGATCCAGCCCACGGGCCTTGAGTTTGACATCCCTGCTGCGTATAACTTTTTAAGATATAACGATTTTTATCAGCAGTTATTTTTAGTTCAACTGCTTTAGAAAGCTTTATCAGTTACGGTATGTGGCATTTCTGCATAGTGAAACAAAAGATCTATTTAGGCCAGAGGTCAGCAACCTGCGGCTCTGGAGCCGCATGTGGCTCTTTTACCCCTCTGCTGTGGCTCCCTGTCACTCAAAATATGCGTCACAACAGCCAATGTGCGACACCCGCCGGCACGCGATTTATTGAGCTTTTCAACCCTCGGTAGGCCAATGATGGATAAATCCAAGAAAAGAAAAGTTTCAGAAGAAAAAATAACATTTAATTCAACTTCAGCTAGTTTTGTGGCCGCTCAAGAAATAGTCAGGCACGGGAAGCGTTTTGTGGCTCCCGGTGTTTTTTTTTTCTGTGGGAAACAGGTCCAAATGGCTCTTTGAATGTTTAAGGTTGCAGACCCCTGATTTAGGCCTTCTATGCTTTCATCAAGCCTCTAGCAAGGCTTCCCTTTCATGTAGTCAGAGAACTGAAAAGGACCACTAGATAAATAATGTGCAATCTTATGCCTCTCTTCACAGTGTTCTCCAAAAAAGAACTGCATTCCCACATTTTCGGCAACTGGTTGTCCCTAAGGGTCACATCCTTGTGCTTTCTCACTACCAGTTCAACATTTCTTACCTCATTAAATTCCACATCTCTTGTTGCAGCCAAATCAAACCCCTGTTGCTGGCTCTCATACTGCAGTACCCTGATCATCATCTGGTAGGCTATCCGCACATCATTTCCATAGAAGGAATTTGTGTGGTTTGTGGCATTCTGAAGCACTTTCGCTATCTGCACCGACTTATCGCTGTCCATTTTTGTCTCGTTATGGAGAAACTTCTCATTCTGACCGAAACAGAAAAATAAGGCAAAATGTTAGGAAACAGATTTAATTTGTTCTTTTTTAAAATCATTTGATTCATCCCTTTAGATTCAATTTGTCTTGTTTTTTTCTTTGAAGACGGTTCGCTTCTCATCCAAGAAGCTTCTTCAGCTCTGAGTGGATGGTGGGGAATGGAAGGATTTATACTCTTATACTTATTCTTTTAGAGGGTCCTTGAAGAACTTGGAGGTTTATCTGTTTTCCTAAGGGTCACCTGAGTATTGCTCCTGGTTCCTGTAGTCTGCATTTTTCCCCCCTCTGGAAATCCATTCCTACTCCCACACCATTCAAAGGGTGTTCTTCCCAAATTGTATAGCTAAAAAGCTATACAATTCCTGCAAGGAATATACCGTATTTTTCGGAGTATAAGACACTCCTTTTTCCCCCCCTAAAAGGGGGTGAACATTTAGGTGCGTCTTATACACCGAATGTAGCCCCGCCCACCCACTGGCCCCCACCCTTTGGCCTCTGCCTCCCTGCAGTTTATCTCCTTGCAGCAAGCAGCAAGAAGAAACAGCTCCTTTCAGCTTCAGCACAGTCTAATTAGCACAAGTTGATTAGATCGGCCTCCCGATTCTCAGCTGATTTGCTCTCAGCTGTTTTGCGCAGGGGTCTGCTGCTTGCTGCAAAGAGATAAATTGCTGGAGCAGATTTTTTCCCCCTTGTGCTAATCAAGCTATGCTGAAAATGAAAATGAAAGTAAAACAGGCTGTTTGCTGCAACCTGGCAAAATTGTCAGAGGCAGGGGCAGAGGGAGATTTCTTTTTCTCCTTTTCCTCACCAAAAAAGATCAGTGTGTCTTATACTCTGGTGCGTCTTATACTCTGAAAAATACGGTAAATCCTTCCATTCCCTACCATCCAGTCATAGCTAAAGAAGCTTCTTGGATGAGAAGTAAAACATCTTCAAAGAAAAAACTAGAAAGTCCAGCTGCCTCCTGAAAAAGCACCTTTGGGACAGTTTGTACTGAAAGCTCCTGGGTACTGGTACTTTTTTGGGGTTCAGCAAAATTATAACAGGGTAATCCCACATAAGAGATTTGAGTGAACAATTTACAGGCAGTCCTTGACTTATAACAGTTCGTTTAAAGTTACAACGGCGCTGAAAAAAGTGGCTTATGACCATTTTTCACACTTATGACCCTTGTAGCATCCCCGTGGTCACGTGATTTACATTTGGATGCTTGACTCACTGACTCACATTTATGACGTTTGTAGTGTCCCAAAGTCACTTAACAACCGTGTGACTAATTTAAGAACTGCAATAATTTACTTTAAAAATGTGGCAAGAAAAGTCATAAAATGGGTCAAAACTCACTTAAGAAATTTCTCACTGAGCAACATAAATTTTGGGTTCAATTGTGTTGTAAGCTGAGGACTACCTGTACAGGTAGTCCTCAACTTATGTCCACAACTGGGACTAGAATTTCCATGGCTAAACAAGACAGTTATTAAAGGAGTCATACTTGATTTTGTGATCTTTTTTTGCCCTGCTTATTAAGAGAATCACTACAGTTGTTATGTGACTCATGTGGTCATTAAGTGAATCTTGGCTTCCCCCATTGACTGTGATTGTCGGAAGCTGGCTGGGAAAGTCAGAAATGGAGATAATTTGACTCTGGAACTCTATAATCATCATAAATACATGTAGATTGCCAAATGTCCAAATTTTGAACATGTGACTGTGGGGAATGCCGTGGCGGTCATAAGTGTGAGGACTGGTCATAAGTAACTTTTTTCAGTGCTGTTGTACCTTTGAATGGTCACTAAGCAAATGTTTGTAAGTCAAGGACTACTTGTAAATGACACATCCTCCAAAAATATTACCAATTTCTATGGAACAATTAATACCGTGTTGTTCTGCCCCAGCTACGGACCCAAAGAACGCACACACACTAAGTCTGTACAAACCTTAGTTTACTAAATAAACCAATATTTTACAACAACGGCTGTTAATTAACTGCCAAGAATTCAAAAAATAATAACTGAAAGCTTACTATGGTTGGCAGAATGCCCAGAAGCAATTTGCAGGAAGCTGATAAAATAAGCAAGACAAGACATGAAGGTATGTGAACTAAGTTGTTCCCTGCAAATTGCTTCAGTCGGCGTTCCTCCTTAAATAGGCTAAGGGAGTGACCAATTAGTCCCAAGCCTTACTCTCGAGGAGACCTCCTCCTGAGGAGCCAATCTTGCCTTTTGGCAGCTCTGCGCGCCCGTGCATCAAGAAGAGGCTCCTCCTCTTCACTTAAGGGAGCTTCTGGAGGTTCTGAAGGCCCTGACTGAATCCCCGCCTCTGGCACCACATCTTCTCCAGCCTCCTCATTGTCTGACTCGAGTGCCAGCTGCACAGGCTGCTGGCGCAGCTCCACACCAGCCTCCTCGCTGTCTGAATCAGCTACTAGCTGCACAGGCCGCGTACGGGCCACAACACGTGTTCAGTAGGTACCCCACTCTTACCATGATTTTAAGAGTCACAAAGTCAACGGTAGTACAGTTAAAAAGTTCAGGGGACAGCCAGCCTTTCTCACTGCTACAATGCCGAACAGCGTTCCCTTTAAAAAAGAAAATCAATTGGTGAGAAATTCAAAAGTTTTACCATTGTGTTTCATTTATAAGAAAATTATCTTTTTGTAATTTTTTACCTTACACAAAGAGATGCTTAACGATTATGTACCGTTATATGTGAGAAGCACTTCTAATTATAATTTTTTAAAAGGGCATTTTACAACAGAATCCTAGGTTGATGGAGTTCGGTGGTGGTGGTGGTGGTGGTGGCAGTTTAACCGGTTAAATGAGAGTCAGTTTGGTCTAGTGGTTAAGGCAACAGGTTAGAAAGCAAGAGAGCGTGACTTCAAGTCCCGCTTAGCCTTGAGAAAGTCAGCTGGGTGACTTTGGACAAGTTATCTTGTCTCCATCCAACTCACGTCACAGGGCTGTTGCAGGGAAAATGGAAGGAGGAAGGTGTGTTAGATATGTTTGCCGCCTTGAGTTATTTGTGAAAATAATACAGGTTGGATATAAATAAATGAATGAAGAATTAATTAAATCATCAAACAGAATGGAACAGAGCTGGAAGCGACCTTGGAGGTTTTTTAGTCCAGCTCCCTGCTGAAGCAGAAGACCCTATACCATCTCAGACAAGTGACCGTCCAGTCTCTTCTTAAAAACCTCCAGGGATGGAGCGCCCATAATTTCTGGAAGCAAGCTGTTCCACTGGTTAATTGATTTTCTATATATGTCATTATAAATGTGTCATTATGCTGCAGAATAAAAGAGACGATTCCGATTATGTTTTCAAAAGTTTTGTTTTTCTCCTCACTCTTACGTTTCAACTATCAAATTTATATTTTGATTGCTTTGTCTAAATGAGATTTTTTAATATGTTCTTAACAGGTTCTGGCTTTGGTGAAACAGACTTCCATCTTCAGGCTTTCGTAGACAACTTTCTTCCGTATGTCAACCAACCTTTTTGAATTTTTATTCTTCCCAACACTTAACCTAGAACAGTGATGGCGAAGCTTTTTGGCACCAAGTGCTGAAAAGGGAGCGCGTGCACGCACTAATCTGGGAAGCAACCCGGAAGGGGAGCTGCCTAGGGGGCATGTGCACACTGAAAAATGAACTTCCGGTTTCCAGCATATGCATATGCAGTGGCCAGCTAGCCTTCTGGTTACTGGCGCGCATCCACACGTGATGATCAGCTGACTGGCGTGCATGCTCATGCCAGAACACATAAGGCCAGCTTTTCCAGTTTCCAGCACTGCCACACACACGAAGGCCAGCTGATTGTTACGCACGCATTGGGGGCCAGAAACCCAGAAGAGGAACAGGCAACGCCGCGTGTCCCATGCAGAGGTGGGTTTCAGCAGGTTCTGCCCAGTTCTGGAGAACTGGTAGCGGAAATTTTGAGTAGTTCGGAGAACCGGTAGTAAAAATTCTTACTGGGCCCGCCCCCATCTATTCTCTGCCTCCCAAATCCCAGCTGATCGGGAGGAAATGGGGATTTTGCAGTAACCTTCCCCTGGAGTGGGGAGGGAATGGAGATTTTACAGTATCCTTCCCCTGGAGTGGGGTGGGAATGGAGATTTTACAGTATACTTCCCCTGTCACGCCCACCATGCCACGCCCACAGAACTGGTAGTAAAAAAATTTGAAACCCACCACTGGTGCCAGGCAACATGGCTCTGCATGCCACTTTGGGCACGTGTGCCACAGGTTCGCCATCACAGACCTAGAATTACACTTTATATATATAATAACAACTACTTACCCACTGATCCCTTAGGACACGGAACAGCAGCAGGTTGCCCAAACTTGGTTTGTGGCCACCAAATGCCAGCCTCAAAAGCTTTGGGACATCCATTGTAAACCACTACATGAGATTGAAGCAAAAGTTATATATATTTGTATACATTTTATAAGAAAGAGAGAGGTGGGGGTGGAGGGAGGGAGGGACACACAGAGAGACAGAGAGATCAACAATATAAAACAATAGCAGAAAGAAGAAATAAAAATAATCACTATTCTTGTCTTGTTTTAGAAAGATGAGAAGACTCATTAGTGCAGGGGTCACCAACCTTTCGGATCTCAAGGACCACTAAATTCGTAATTTTAAATCCCACGGACTACTAATATGATCTGCCTAATGACCGGCTGGGTGGGCGTGGCTAGGTGGTCATGTGACTGGGTGGGCGTGGCCAACTCAATGTCACTCATGTCGAGGGGCGCCTCGCCAGCCTCTACTCACCCCTCCTCTCCCAGCCACTCCTTGCCTCCCTGCCCGGGCTCCTTAGAGCCCCAACAGGAAGCACTTGCTGGAGTTAAGCAGCTACGGTGAGAAAGAATTGGCAAAACAGCTCAGTTCAAATTGGATCTGACCAAGAAGAAGGCTCAGCAGAGTCACCTCACTGAGGACTAAGAGCATAGGCTTTCCAAGCAGAGGGAAGACCTGCGGGAGTGCGAGGTCAGATACCGGTGCCTGGAGGCTCATCGGGCTGAGATGGTCAGCCAGTTCCAGGCCATGATGGAGTCCCACTAGAACAAGGCCCTCCGGCTCTTCGCCACCAGAGGCACTTCCCTCCAGCCTTTGCCCAAAGCCCTGCACCAGGAGGCTTGAGCCTGGATAGCTCAACAGACAGAGCTCTGTAATTTAACACCAGCTGTCTGCAATTAAAGTAAGATCGAATCTCCCCAGGCTCAAGGTTGACTCAGCCTTCCATCCTTTCTAAGGTAGGTAAATTGAGGACCCAGTTGTGGGGGCAATAAGCTGACTTTGTATAAATATACAAAAGTATGAAGGCTATTGCTTAACGCGTTGTAAGCCGCCCTGAGTCTCCGGAGAAGGGCGGCATATAAATCAAATTAAAAAAAAAAAAAAGCAGACCCCAAGTTGGAATTTCCGCCCTCCTCCAACCGACACAAAAAGACCCTGAAGGGGGAGACTCTCTGCAGCAACACATATGTTCATTGCATGTATCCGTCCCAGGAGCCATAGTTTGAGGACTCCTGATTTAGTGCAATATAAAAAATGCAAATAATTTTTCTGCGGACCACCAAAATTTTCTCACAGACCACCAGTGGTCCATGGACCACTAGTTGGTGACCACTGCATTAGTGTATATAATCTTGTAGTGTAATGTTTATACTCTTAAATTATTAACACCATTTGATTCAAAGGATTGAAAAAGAAATAAAGAACAAAACAAAAACTTTTTTTCTGCAAGGGTTCCAACCAAAAAGTACCATTATTTATAATTTATTGTTATACTGCTTAAATTGAGTTTACCATGATAGTATTTAATCAAAGCAAATCTCTCAAGGACGATCAGCCTATATTTATCCTGAAATTTAATTCCTTTCTATAAAATTGATTTATCTTCTTCCTTGCTGCTTCATTGAGAATTGAAGATAGCGAACAATGATTAAAATACTAAGAAATTTAAACCCCAGATTAAAACAAGAATGCGAAATTAAAAGCTTGGCAAAACTATGCTTTTCTCAAGTGGGGAAAAAAGGTGCTTCAGAACCAACTCCTGAATCAACTATCCTTCAGTAAAATTGCTAAGGAGAATAAAAAACCTCCAACACATTAACAGACAAGTAAAACAATCACAGGGCTAACATTAATCCTGAATGGTAGATAAAATAATGTCTTTTTGGCACTGGGAATACAAATTATTCAAACCAGTCCAGGAAGGATATTCTATAATGAGCCATCTCTAATTAGAAGGAATCTAAATTCTACCAAATCTAATCTACTATTTCTAGTAGCTTTCCACTTCATATAGAATAGAATAGAATAAAATAGAATAGAATAGAATTCTTTATTGGCCACGTGTAATTGGACACACAAAGAATTTCTCTTGGTGCACATGCTCTTGGAGTACATAAAAGAAAATTTACAGAAAACCGTGCACAAAATATGCTAATAGAATAGAATAGAATAACAGAGTTGGAAGGGACCTTGGAGGTCTTCTAGTCCAACCCCCTGCTTAAGCAGGAAACCCTACGTTATTTCAGACAAATGATTATCCAACATCTTCTTAAAAACTTCCAGTGTTGGAGCATTCACAACTTCCGGAGGCAAGTTGTTCCACTGGTTAATTGTTCTGCCATGAAATTCCTCCTTAGTTCTCGGTTGCAAGTATAATCATATATGTATATAATACAAGTATAGTCATATATGGATGCAAAAAATGCTTCAGGTTCACTGCTTAAATGCTTTAAATATAAAACTATGACAGCTGTGTTTGTCCTTTGGAGATTTCTAAAACCAACCACAAAAGTCTTGATGGGAGCAAGTGGAAGGGAGGATTCAAAGAATCCAATATCAGAAGAAATACATGGACTACTGAAGCTTTTAAATACGAAAGCTGTAGAGCATGTACAGCAGAGGTGGGATTCAGCTGGTTCTGACCAGTTCTGGAGAACCGGTAGCGGAAATTTTGAGTAGTTCGGAGAACCAGTAAATACCACCTCTGACTGGCCCCGCCCCCATCTATTCTCTGCCTCCTGAGTCCCAGCTGATCAGGAGGAAATGGGGATTTTGCAGTAACCTTCCCCTGGAGTGGGGAGGGAATGGAGATTTTACAGTATCCTTTCCTTGCCATGCCCACCATGCCACACCCACAGAAACGGTAGTAAAAAATTTTGAATCCCACCCCTGATGTACAGAACAGAAAAAGGATGACAAGCTCACTGCTCAGAGTCCAGCCTTTTCACTCTCAACTGATTCATTAGCTCTCAATCAATACCAATGTAGCTTGGTTTGGATTTTCTCCATAGAACTGTTATTTGTTCCCATGGCACAGCATGAAAGATGGATCACAGCAGGGCACAAGCTGCTGGTGTCTAGACAACAGAAGGATCCTCTCCCTATTTTTGTGCCAGGAAGAACATTTGCGCCTACCAATCTTATTTTCCAGAGGCCTCAGAGGTAACCAATTCCATGAAACAATTTAATCCTCAAGTTCAAATTCTTCACCAGTAGATGACCAAAAATAGATACAGGTAATCGTCGACTTTCAACAGCTTAGTGGCCATTCAAAGTTACAACGGCACTGAAAAAAGTGACTTATGACCGTTTTTCCGAGTTACAACCTTTCTAGCATCTCCGTGATCATGTGATCAAAATCCGGATGCTTGGCAACTGGTTCATATTTATGACCGTTGCTGTTTCCCGGGATCATGTGATCCCATTTTGCAACCTTCTGAGTCAGTCAGTGGAGAAGCCAGAATCCCTTAACAACCGGGTTACTAACTTATCAACTGCAGTGATTCACTTAACAACTAAGGCAAGAAAGGTCGTAAAATGAGACAAAATTCACTTAACAAATGTCTCACTTAAGAATAGAAATTTTGGGTTCATTTGTAGTCATACGTTGAGGACTATCCGTAAGGGGCTATATCTAGATTTTATTTACATCTATGGCAGTCAACACTGCTCCAAATGGGGGGCAAATTTTCAAATGTAGCGAATGGCAAACCAAGAAAATACCTTCGCATCCATGAGGTGTAACTTCAGCAAAGGGATTATCACAGCGATTGCATTGTCGTCCAATCACTCCTGATTTGCAGGGACATTGTCCAGTTTCCATGTCACAAGTGCGAGTATGGGAACCAGAAGGGAAACAATCACATGGATAGCAGGAGTCATTTTTCTGTGGTCGGTAATAGTTTATCTGGAAAGAGGAAATCCCATCAGTCAGTCAAGGCTACCAGAAATGAAATGTTTTGAACCTAGGATTATAAAAAAACTCACAAATCCTGACTTTTTTTCCCCCAGGAAAAATGATACTTAAAATATATTTTTCATGTCCAACAGCTGGACTTTTTCAAGTTTCAAAATGTAACATGGAAATAAAAATTGATAGTTCTTATTAAGACAACTCCCAAATCTACCCTTATTTTTTTTCTTGAAACGTAATTGTTAAAACCAAGGATATAAAAAGGAATTTATAGGTTTTGAAGATGTATGGAGATTTAAGTTAAATCTCATCAATATTATTCATTTCTGAATTGCCTAACCAGCCTGAAGTGTGATGGAAAGAATGATTCGTTCCTTACCTTACATCGACAGGCTCCATTTGTCTTATTGCAGTCAGGATCAAATCCTTTACTGATCTCACAATTACATGGCCCACAAATAGGATTTCCCCACCAGCCTCTGGGACAAGGTAGATCAATTCTACAGAGGAATTGGAATGTTGAAAGATGTAAGAATCGCTACTTTCTTTCAAAATTAAGTAAAGACAATATTTGTTTGTTTGTTTGTTTGTTTGTTTGTTTATTTATTTATTTATTTATTAGTTCGATTTATATGCCGCCCTTCTCCGGAGACTCAGGGTGGCTTACAAAGCGTTAAGCAATAGCCTTCATACTTTTGTATATACCTGCTTAGTAGGACTTTCGCCCCCCTCCCCCCAAGCGGTGTTCTTTTTTATACAGTCAGTTTATTGCCACCACAATCTGGGTCCTCATTTTACCTACCTCGAAAGAATGGAAGGCTGAGTCAACCTTGAGCCTGGTGAGATTTGAACTTGCAGTAATTGCAGGCAGCTGGTGCTACTTAACAGCACTTTAGTCTGCTGCGCCACCAAGGCTCTCCAACATCAATTGTGTGATGGCACCTAGCCAACCATGACTTATCTCAGGAAGCTGAATAGAGTCAGGACTGGCTAGTACTTTGAATGGAAAAACACAAGGAAATCCCAGGATTGTAGTTAGATTGGGAAGACAAACATGCATGCCAGAAGAAGGCAAGAGCAAGCTGTTTCTGTATTGTTGCCAAGAAGTCACTAGGAATTGAACTCAACATGGAAAATTTCCCAATAAAAAATACAATAGAATGGTATGAATAAAATTAAAAGACTAAATAAATTATCTCACGTATTTTGTTTGGAACATAATGGTTCACTTTTATGAACGTTTGTGTATGAGAGAGATTGTGGAGAGTATAGGTAATCCTCGATTTACAACAGTTCATTTAGTGACCATTCAAAGTTACAACCGCGCTGAAAATAGTTATTTTATTACCTTATTACCTTACCTTTATTACCTTATAACTTATTACCATTTTTCACACTTATGACCATTGCAGCATCCCCATGGTCATGTGATTTACATTCGGATGCTTAACAATTGACTCATATTTATGACGGTTGCAGTGTCCCAGGATCATGTGATCCCTTTTGTGACGTTCTGACAAGCAGAGATCATTGGGAAGCCAGATTCACTTAACAACTGTGTTATTAATTTAACAACTGCACCGATTCACTTAACAAATTTGGCAAGAAAGGTCGTAAAATGGGGCAAAACTCACTTAACAATTTTCTCAGTTAGCAATATAAACTTTGGGCTCAATTGTGTCCATAAGTTGAGGATTACCTGTATTTAGAAAGGAAAAGAAAACTAGCTAAAGTCCTTTGCTTACTTGCTTTCGCAGTACTGTCCGTAATAGCTTTGTCCACATTCACAGGTGTATCCATGAGAAGAGCTTGGTTTATGAATGCAAGTAGAGACATGTTCACATGGGTTCAAACTACAAACATCAACACAGTCTGTCCCAAAGTACCCTGAGAAAACAAGGTTATAGGCAGAGATAATTAATAATGGTTCTAAAATTCTCAGAAATAAACAAAATTGGACACTGATAACACTTCTTGAATTATCAAGACCCTTTTGTACAGTCATCAGAAAGTTATTTCTGTTTAGAAAGAGTGAAACCCAGTGGTGGATTGCTACCGGTTCGCCCCAGATTGGGCCAACTGGTAGCGGTGGCGGCGGGAGGCTCCGCCCACCCACTTGGGCAGAAGTGACAGAAGCAGAAGTATCGCGCGTGCGCGAGCAAACCAGTAGTGACCGAAATTGCAACCCACTACTGGTGAAACCACATACAGTATACAGTAGTGGCCAAAATTGTGGAAACCATTTAGGAAAAGTGTATTTTCTAAAACTAGCCAATAACACCATTTTTTTTTTGGAGTACTACCATAAAAGTATATATCAATGGAAAGATAATTTAATCAAGACTGTAATGCAATAGCTTTTATGAAGGATTTGCTATTAGAACAGCAGTTGCAGAATAAAGAAGACAAGTGAAACACGTAGAAAAAAGTGAGATACACAAAAATTATCACCATAGAAAAAAACAAGATATACAAAAGTTATCACGCCAGTTAATACTTAGTTGGCTAACCTTTAGCATGAATTACGGCCTTACAACATCTTCCCATGGAGTGAACCAAGTCTTTTAGTTCTGCAGCTGTTATAATGTGAAACCAAGATTAAATGATTGCTTCTATTAACTGGGTTTTATTGCTGGGTCGCTTCTGACTAACAAGTTTCTTTAGTCGGCTCCATAGATTTTCAATTGGGTGAAGGTCTGGGCTATTCCCAGGCCATTCCAGCAGTGGAATAGGATTATTTTGAAACTCCCCAAAAAAAGTGGTGTTGTTATTAGCCATCAAACCTCAAAAATACTCTTTTCCCAAAAGGTTTCCACAATTTTGGCCACTACTGTAGTACAGAATGATCCAAGATTGTGCAGTTACGTATGAAGCAACTTAAGTACTATGCTGCTTAAGATATTAAAGGAACTAATTTAAAATATGCTCCTTGATTTCTGAATGTTTAAAAAAGGGCTTAATGATATGCCTAACAAGTACCTCACAAATAGAAGTTGTTCAGGAGCTATAATCTCAAAACAAAAGGGTTTGGAAATAAGCTGTGTAGTAGCATAATAGGAAGCATGTATTAACCCTATTAAATTTTACATTAAACATAATTATTGGGATTTACTTTTAAAGTAAATATGGATTAACATGTCAGTTATGCAGTTTAAGGCTCAAAACAAAACTCAGCCTAGGAAAAAAAAACCTGAATTATATAAAGCAGGTTAAAATACTTTTTTAAAACTAATATTGTTTTAAAGTTTAAGCAAATAACAATTCCATTTTATATTTCGATCATGTTTAATCTTGTGATCATATTCAATTGTATATAAATTATCTATTTTCTTTTTCAACACTCATGTTATGGGGTAAGAAGTGGACATTGGAAATTCTTCAAATTAAAACAGTTACAAATATAAGTAAGAAATTCTGGATTTTTTGTTTAGTTTGGATAGATATTGTTGCATTTTCTTCACTTCCCCCCAAAAGAATGAAGATGGTGACGCTTGAGAAAGTAATAAGAGAGAGAGCTACAGAGCCTCATTCAGAAGGGTGTGTGCAGAAGATGATTACTCCTGAAGGCAAGCTGTTCCATTGGTTGATTTCTCTCACTGTCAGAAAATTTCTCCTTATTTTCAGGTTGAATCTCTCCTTCTTCAGTTTCCATCCATTATTCCTTTGCTTTGGAAAATAAGCTTGACCCCCTCCTCTCTGTGGCAGCCCCTCAAATTTTGGAAGACTGCTATCATGTCTCACCTGGTCCTTCTCTTCACTAAACTAGCCATGCCCAGTTCCTGTAACCGTTCTTCATGTTTTAGCCTCCAGTCCCCTAATCATCTTTGTTGCTCTTCTCTGCACTCTTTCTAGAGTCTCAACATCTTTTTTTATAGCGTGGTGACCAAAACTGGATGCAGTATTCTAGGTGTGGGTCTTACTAAGGCTTTATAGAGTGGTATTAGTACCTCACTTGATCTTGATTGTATTCCTCTGTTATTGCAATTTAGGATTGCATTGGCTTTTTTGGCTGCCTCTGCACAGTGCAAGCTCCTATTTAGCAAATTGTCCATTAAGACTCCAAGATTCCTCTCACAGTTACTGCTATGAAGCCTGGTTTCACCCAGTCTATATGTGTACTTTTGGTTTTTGCCTAGGTGTAAGAATTTACTTTTTTCTACATTGAATTTCATTTTGTTAGATAGGGCTCAGTGTTCAAGTTTGTCAAGATCCATCTGGATCTTGAGCCTGTCATCTAGGGTGTTGGGTATTCCTGCCAGCTTAGTATCATCATTCTCCTGCATGAGATTATAAACATGAATTTCTGTTCGGCTGTCCAATTATAGGAAAACATTCTTAAACATGCAGTTCTATAAAGTACAGAACCCTGGATATTATGATCAACTTGCTACAATTCATAATTACCTGGGTCACAGATACATGAATAGCTGTCCCAGTCATCACTACAAGAGCTGTGAAGGGGGCAAGGATTAGAATCACAAGGGTTGTCTATTTCACAGCCATCCTTGACATTAATCTTGACTGCCTGTTTCATGTTCAATGTAGCAACATTTGTAGATGTTTCTCCCATCCTCACTCCCTGAAAAGAAGAAAAGAGACCAAAGGAATAACCAACTAATATATATCCCAATAAAAAGCATAGAGTTGAACTGCTATAGAAGAAACTATTTTACTTACTCCTTTCTTGTAATCACAGAAAGACTTTGGCAAACTTTCACTTCTATTTTTGCTTAAACGCATCTTGGTTAAGTCCAACACATTTATTTACCGTATTTTTCAGAGTATAAGACGCACCTACCTTTTTGGGTGAGGAAAAGAAGAAAAAGAAATCTCCCCCTGTCTCTGAGCAATTTTGCCTCGTTGCAGCAAACAGCAAACAGCCTCCTTTACTTTCATTTTCGTTTTCAGCATAGCTTGATTAGCACAAGGGGGAAAAAAAATCTGCTCCAGCAATTTACATCTTTGCTGCAAGCAGCAGAGCCCTGCGCAAAACAGCTGAGAGCAAATCAGCTGAGAGTAGGGAGGCCAATCCAATCAACTTGTGCTAATTAGGCTGCACTGATGCTGAAAGGAGCTGTTTCTTCTTGCTGCAAGGAGGTAAACTGCTGCGAGGCAGAGACCAAAGGGTGAGGGTCAGCGGGTGGGTGGGGCTACATTCGGTGTATAAGACACACCTAAATTTTAACCCCCTTTTAGGGGGGAAAAGTGCATCTTATTCTCCGAAAAATGCAGTATCTATTTATTTACTAGATTTATAAGACTGCCCAACTTTAAAAATATATCTCTGGGTGATGAACCACAACTAAAAACAAACAATAAACCAACTCCCATAACATTAAAACATACATAACGTAAAAATATGAAGTAGAGACTTTTAAAATAGCAAACAGGATCCATAATAAAACAACCAATAGGGGACTCCCATTCAACTGTTCCCAAACGCCTGTGAGAAAAGCTAAGTTTTCAGGGCTTTCCCTGAGACAAAGTTGGGGCTTGTAGTATTTGGGGTGAGGAGGGAAATTGTCCCAGAACACAGGGAAAGGCAAACTTCTTAAGTCCCATAGAGCAGGGGTCCCCAACCCCCAGGCTGTGGCCCATTACCAGGCCTCAGAAGAGGTAGGTGAACTCTTGTATGCACATACGCAACCCCACTTGCACAAGCAGCTGGCAAGTACATGCGCACATTCCATTTGCGTGAGCGGTGGGTGAGCGTGCCTGCTGCTTGCACAAATTGAGCTATGCATGCGCACGAACTTGCCTGCAGCTGGTGCAGAAGCATCCCCTCTTCCCACAAAGCCAGAAAGATTAGGGAATTCTGCCATAAAGTGAAAAGATTTAAAAGCGGGAACCAGAACACGCATTCCATGTAGAAGTGTGTGGAGCAAGCAGATATTTTTGGGAGAAGGTAATCCCTGAAGAAAGTAGGACGCGGTGGCTCGGTGGCTAAGTGACTGAGCTTGTCGATCGAAAGGTCGGCAGTTTGGCGGTTCGAATCCCTATGCCACATAATGGGGTGAGCACCTGTTACTTGTCCCAGCTTCTGCCAACCCAGCAGTTCGAAAGCACGTAAAAATGCAAGTAGAAAAATAGGGACCACCTTTGTTGGGAAGGTAACAGCGTTCCGTGAGCCTTTGGCGTTTAGTCATGCTGGCCACATGACCACGGAGACGTCTTCGGACAGTGCTGGCTCTTTGGCTTTGAAACCGAGATGAGCACTGCCCCCTAGAGTCAGGAACAACTAGCACATATGTGCGAGGGGAACCTTTACCTTTACTTTTAATCCCTGAAGAAACATGTTCTTATGCCACTTAAGTCTTTAAAGAAAACCACCAGCACTTTGAATCACACCTATATGTCTATCAGGAGCCAGCCAGTGCAGAGACTATTGGTTTCTTTGTGGGCATAATGAGATGTACCAGAATACAGTGGCAATACCTGTGCCACTGTATTCTGCACCATAAGCTTCCCAATGATCTTCAAGGGCTGCCCTATGTATAGCCACCCCAACCAGAACCAAAGATACAAACATTTTAATTCCCGGGTATTTATATTTAAAGATTTTGATGGATGTTTTAAAAAGAAATGAGCTTATTTCAGACATTAGTTTATGAACTCCACTAAATTACAGTTTGGGATTAGAACAAAGGCCCACATTGAGATTAATGTATGTCCCTTGCTCTTTCCATGCTGGAAATATTGAGAGTCCACATCCATGGTCTACTGTGGTTTATTCATGGCTGACACCATCCTGATGTATAATTAATGCGATGAGATCTCTGACTTTCCAAAAATCGAATCAGTCAATGAGAAGTATTAGATCAAAACCCCATTTTTCTTAAAACTAAGTTGTTAAGTGTAGATTTGAGCAAAGAATCTTTAAAAAAAGTTGTTTCATAAACCATGAACAGAACATCCCTCCTCAAAGTGCTAAAAGAAGCTGCATCTTTTGAAAGGTTCACAAAATTGCTTTGAAGGCTTTCCAAAACCGTCTGCATGTCTGTCTCTATGAACATTGACTCTGCTGGTAACCCCAGAACCATTGCCCAGTGGTGAAATCCAAACTTTTTTACTACCGGTTCTGTGGGTGTGGCTTTGTGGGCATGGTGTGGCTTTGTGGACGTGGCTTTGTGGGCGTGGCAGGGGAAGGATACTGCAAAATCTCCATTCCCACCCCACTCCAGGGAAAGGATACTGCAAAATCCCCATGCCCACCCCACTCTGGAGCTAGCCAGAAGTGGTATTTGGCGATTCCCCAAACTACTCAAAATTTCCGCTACCGGTTCTCTAGAACCGTTCAGAACCTGCTGGATTTCACCCCTGCTATTGCCTATGATTTACACATGGATGTGCAGACAACTGGAGACACTTTTTGAAGTGGCTGTGTGAGTCTTCCAGAGGACAAAGCTGCTTTAATATGTCAAAAATAGTGCTTAGTTTCCATCGCTGTGTTTTGCATAGGAGCCTCTTCTGAATGTTTTACAGAATAACATTCCCAAGTAATTAAAACATCTGAATGCAATTCCAACGGAATAAATTCAATTAAAATCAAAGAAACTTAAGCTTATAATTAGGCCCTTAAACTCATACAATTAGGCACTTTTAAACAAAACATTGCTCATTTTCTTTCTGCTCTTTCCCTTCTCTTGTCTTTGACGAAGCTACAATTCTTCTCATAGTTAATGTAAAGTTATTTATTTTCTATTTTCACCTGTAGACAGCCATAGAAGCCCTGCTGCACAGAGGCTAGATCTCCAGAGACCCCTCCTACAATAATGCTTTTCATTTTTAGTCCAGGTAACTGATTTCCGATCTGTACAGTGCTCTAAAAAGAGGAAAAGAGAAAAGATGATTAAAGCTTTTCCATAAATTCTTAGTTACAGTATTTCACTGATAATTTTTTTTTTTTAAAAAAAGCAAGAATAAGTCTGAAAGCGGTAATAGAAACTATCCATGTTGTGCTTCCGATAAGGAAGCCATTCCAAAAAGTACAATGCTTTCCCCTGTTCAACGCAATTTCAAGAAATAAGTGAAAATGGTAATTAATCCTCCATGAGTGAATAAATCTTCTGTCACTAAGAGATAGATGTCAAGTAGTATTAAATCTTCCAGCAGAATCCAGTGTACTCTATGTAGGCTTTGGATATCATGAAATCCATCTTGATAGAATTATATGCCCATGTAGTTCGGTTTTCCCTGTCCTGCTAGGCAAGGTTTGAAGGACTTGAACATTAATTAAAGGTTTGCCACCCAACTTCCAACAAATAATAAACAAATTCACGAATAAAAAACAAGAAAAAAGTACAAAATATTTTTTTAAAAATGGCAAAGATGACAAAAAAAGGGAGTTACAAAAAAGAAACAAGCCCACAAAATCCAAAGAGGACTTCACTAACCTTCCTCAAAGGGGAGGGTGTCAAATTCTTGGAGGGGGGGAACTCATTGCACAAAAGAGGCACCGCTATAAGGAAGGCATCCTTCTGAGATCCCAACAGCTGGAGTTAATTGAAGGAATTGAGAGCACACAAATCCAGACTAAATTGGTTGGACAGATATTGTGGGAGACATGTGGTCTCTCGTATAACCATGTCCTATACCATGTAGAGTTTTATGGGTAGCAACCAGCTCCTTGAATCATACCCAGAAACAAACTGGCCACCCCCAGTGCAGCTGGTGAAGCTGTTGTGTTAAGTGGGCATACTGAGCCATTGTCATCACTGCTCATGGCGCTGTATCCTGTTTTTCCAGGAAGACATATAGACTGCACACACACTTTTAAATGGCCAAATGCAACCTCATTCAATGTTAACAATAGCAATAGCACTTAGACTTATATACCACTTCACAGTGCTTTTTATAGCCCTCTCTAAGCGGTTTTACAGAGTCAGCGTATTGGGTCCTCATTTTACTGACCTCCGAAGGATAGAAGGCTGAGTCAACCTTGAGCCTGGTGAGATTCGATCTGCCAAATTGCAATCAGCTGGCAGTCAGCAGAAGTAGCCTGCAGAACTGCATTCTAACTACTGCGCCACCACGGCTAATGATGGATCTAGGTGGCCTGAATACCTACAGCTACTCAATATTGGTAGGATTGAGTCAAGCAATAATTCTTCCCTATCCAAACCCTCACAATCTCCAGCACTGGGGTAGAATCTTGCCAGCCTCACTGGGGTTGAAAGATATAACTTGGTATCATCAGCATATTGATGACACTGACCACAAACTGGCAGATGACCTCATCCTGTGATTTTATAGAGATGCTGAAAAGGAAGAGGAAGTAGAACTTTGGAACATCCCACAATGGAATGAAGCACCCTCTGCCCACCAACCAATCAGAAATGTCTCCAGAGAAAGGAAGAGAACCATTAAAAAATGATCCTCTGATCCTCAGGGGCCAGGACAGAAATATATTAATATCAAAACTGATATTGAGGAGCACACGAATTGATGCACCACCAGACATCTTGGTTCTACCACAAGTCATCTATAACTGCAATCAAAACTTTCTTAGTATTAAATCCTAATCTGAAATCTGATTGAAACATGTCTAAATAATCTGTTTCCTCCAGAATTTTCCCCAGCTGCAGATGTACTTGAGTTCAATATGGACACCTGAATGATAGCAGGTTAAGATTATATTATCATATATTATATGATAGCTGGCAGATTATAACACAACTTTTAAAGAAAAATAGATTTCTGAATCTATGATAGAAGCAGTGAGAAATTACTTCATTCTCGCATGCTGACACCTAGTTTGGCCATTCCTGTCTCATTTTGATAATGAAAGGTTATCGATGTCAATTTACCTGATACATGCCATAATCCAAGGACACAACTGCAAGATACTTGATGTCTTTGCCATCTTTTGTGCTCTTCAGCTCTATTAGCAAATGATGCCATTCGCCATCATTGATCCGCACCTGACTCATCTTCAAACTGGCCACCTGATTCTGTCCATCATAGACCTCAAATACCACATATTTATTCAGTATCTGTTGAAACATAACTTTAGTTGATGAAAAAACAACAACCTTAAATTGCTGGGAAAATGCTGTATATACATTGAAATATACATGCAATTCTTGGAAAATGATTATAAAATACAGGTTATATTTTGACAACTTTATTATTTATTCTTCAGCAGATAATTAATATGTAGACCAATATTCTACTTATATTCAGTATTAAGACCACTATGAGTGACAACTCTCAATTAAAGATTGTCCACTCTTCTAGATCTATATGTGTTGATTAATAGTTAAAACAGTCTTGATTTGGCAAAGCAGAGGTGGGATTCAGCAGGTTCTGACCACTTCTGGAGAACCGGTAGTGGAAATTTTCAGTAGTTCGGAGAACTGGTAAACACCACCTCTGACTGGCCCTGCCCCCATCTATTCTCTGCCTCCCGAGTCCCAGCTGATCAGGAGGAAATGGGAACTTTGCAGTAACCTTCCCCTAGAGTGGGGAGGGAATGGAGATTTTACAGTATCCTTCCCCTGCCACACCCACCAAGCCACACCCACAGAACCAGTAGTAAAAAAATTTTGAATCCCACCACTGTGGCAAAAGTATTTATCCTTCTGCTAAAACAAACAGGGGGAACTGAAAAGCTAGCATTTCACTCTTCTCACTCCCTATTTAAGACAGCTCTGATTATAGGGTAAGTGAACTCTACAGTTTTGTGATATTCTGCAACTTCAAGGATGGCCAACTTCAGGTTTGTTCAATCTGCTTTGCTTTTAAGCTACACCCCAGAGCCGGTTGTAAATGAAATATGCATAAGACTGTACTGTTGAATTGTCTTCATGGCTAAGCAAAGACATTTTACCATTTGCCATTTGTTATCTAATGACATTCCCTTGTTGTGATTGAGTTGATAAGCTAACATACCTGTATATTAATCTTAGATGATACTCCCGCATCGGCTTGCATTAATACACCATTAACCTTGCGAGTTCTAAACATGAGGCCAATGTACCATGGTATAGAAATAGTGATATCAAGATTATTCCAGGTGATGATGCTTTCCCCAGTGAAACGTTGAGGAAAAGGCATTGCTATAACACAAGGCAAAGAGGAGACAAAGCAGGATTACTTAATCAAGTATTTTAGAATGAGAGGAAAATTCTTAATTATACCAGAAATGAGTACTGCATGATACCAGTAAGGATAAATAAGGTCAAGAGACTTTTAGCTTCTGGGATCTCCCTTCCTTTTCATTAGAAATTCAATTTTCTTTATTTATTTAGCGTATGGCATAAATCCAAATGTTATTAACTTAAGTCTAAAGAAAAAAGGAAATAAGAAAAAAAGAGCTCTCTGTCCAGAATAAAGCCTTTTCAGAAGAATACTGGTTTTGGTTAATCTCAAGTTTTCTTTATTTCTTCTATATAATTTTATGTTGGGTTTATTTATTTTTTTCTATTGCTATTTTTAAACAACTGAGAATCTGAAATCTCCAAATTCCTCAATTTGCTTGTGGATCCCAATCACATTTTGTGCCCGCTGCTGACACAGGAAATATCTCCTATACAGCAGTAGATGAAAATGGGTTTATTACTGGATAGATTCCAATGTTCCCACAGTTATGCTTTCATAGTAATGTTTTTGAATCTCTGTATAACCAAGCAGCACAGATAAACTGTGGCTTTATCTTAGGTAGCAAAATTATCTTTACATGTAGAAACTTGTTTCTTCAGAAAAATCTGTGGCCTATTGATTTTGTAGACAATAGTACAAAAAAAAAAGTGAAAAACCTACACAATTTAATTAAGAAGCAGCAAAATTAAAAGACAATCTCTAGATACTGATAGCAAAGGACTACAGATTCTGTATAATATATAGAGAATGCCCAATTGTCCACATACAGCCTAGAAAAGTTGAAGGCTTCTGCCACAGGAATCATACTTCTCTGTGTGGCAACACTGAGACTGCTATTTATGCTACACAAATATTAATAACAAGTATGAGAATTTATACATTTTACCAATATTTACTGTGTACAGCTCATCTGTAAAGTTTCTGCCCATTGGAGCAATACCATATATTGAATAACAAGCATGTTATTCTCAGCTGTAGTTATAAAAAGGCATTGAGCTTAGTTATGAATTTATAAAAGGTAACAAAATCCAGTATAATGTTTAAAAATGTATGTAGGAATGCAGTTCTGACAATTTCTGGGTAATAGCAAGGATGCATGCTATTTATTACTGTCTATTAAGAATCTGACAGTGTTAGTTTTATGGCCCCCAAGAGGCAGCAAAATAACACATTTATAAAGGATCTGACAAGCTCAAATTTGTGGCTGCTGTGTCACCTATGCCCCAGGCAGAAAGCACTTTGATCCTATGAATATATTTTGTTCCCTAATGTGCAATTGCCCTCAGTGCTTTTACTTCTGGTTCAATTTGGTCATTTGTTAAAATTCTCCTTTATTACTTATTTCTCTTTATGCACATTCTGGTCCACGTATCTATCTTACAAGAAATAAGTAATTGATTTTACCTATTTATGTACCTACACTTGACAACAGCATGAATCAAATGGTTTTTGAAAGTAGATTTCTGTAGAAAAACAATTATGCTATGCAGAAGGACAGCGTTAAGAATTTGCTTTAGCTGAATTTCTATCACAAAATGGGAACAAGAGCTTGCAACAGGCATCACATAAATTCTGACTTGAATCGTGATTAGAGATTAACATGCTGTCAAAGTTTATTACAAGAAGCCTTAATAAGAAGTAATGACGGCTTAACGATTCAAAATGATTTTGCATCAGCTGAAAGAAAAGCATGAAAAACATCTTTCCAATCCTCTAAACATAGTACACCAGAAATGACAGCAGAATGTAAGTATTGTTCACAGTAATAATTCTTTGGAATCTTATTAAGGCAAATTAGCAATATTGGGAGCAATCATTCTTTAATTGTTTTCTGAAAGACAGTTCATCAATCTGATTTTCTCATTTTCTTGGAAGCATAAAGCATTCACATTTATATTCTTAAATGCACTTAGTAAGTTATGAATAGATAACTCAAGTTCTCAGAGCACTGTTCCTTATGGTACCCAAATGTCATCAAGTAGATGGAGTTTGCAGAAGTACAGTGTAATAGCAATAGCACTTAGTCTTACAGCCCTCTCTAAGCAGTTTACAAAGTCAGCATATTGCCCCCAACAATCTGGGTCCTCATTTTACCCACCTCGGAAGGATGGAAGGCTGAGTCAACCTTGAGCCTGGTGGGATTCGATCTACCAAACTGCTGGTAGCCGGTGATCAGCAGAAGTAGCCTGCAATACTGCACTCTAACCACTGTGCCACCGCGACTCTTAATATTTAGAAATACTTAATATTTTGAAACTTCTGCTTTTAAAGCCAATATGGAGGCAACTCAGAAAGATTGGTGGAAAGCTGATATTCTCACTGTAAATATATATTTACAGGTTGTTCTTATTGCTGACTTTCTCCTGCAACACGAGAGAGTTGGTTGTACAGTACAGTATTATCTAGGAAGTATTCTCGGGCAGGGGAGGCACACTGAAATTCAAGGAACCTAGCCAGCATCTTCCATGTGTATGAACTTTAAAATACACTCTCACATTCATTGCCATCTGCTAAAGATTCATAGATGTAGTACAGAATACAGATTCCCAACCTGGGAACAAATGAAAAAAAAAAATCTTGAAGACCGAGGCTGCCAAATGGGAACCAAAGAATTGCAATGAAGAGTATGAATGAGAACGTTGTTCTCTGTTAAGATAGACAGTGCATTCAGGAAGTATTCAGACCCCCTTCACTTTTGTCAATTTTGTTATGCTGCAGCCTGATTCCACACTTGTTGAAATTCATTTTTCCCTCGTTAATCTACACTCAGTACCCCATAATGACAATCTCCCAATCCAGGTGTGCAAAGCTTGTTGCATCATACCCCAAAAGACCTGAGGCTGTAATTGTTGCCAAAGGTTTTTCAACAAAGTAGTGAGTAAAAGGTCTGAATATTTACGCCAACATATTTCAGGTTTTTTTCTTTTTAATAAATTTACAGACTTTTCTAAAATTCTGTTTTCACTTTATCATTATGGGGTACTGAGTGTAGATTAATGAGAAAAAAATGATTTTCAAACACTGTACAATAGAATCATAGCAGTCTATAGAGCCTGCGTCCTGAGCACACTCTTGTACTGCAGTGAGTCTTGGACCCTTTACGCACGGCAGGAGAGAAAGTTGAACACGTTTCCTATGCGCTGTCTCCGACGTATTCTTGGCATCACCTGCCAGGACAAAGTTCCAAATAGCGCAGTCTTGGAACATGCTGGAATTTCTAGCATGTATACACTATTGAAACAGCAACGTCTACACTGGCTGGGGCATGTCGTGAGAATGGCTGATGGTCGGATTCCGAAAGATCTCCTGTATGGAGAATAAGTGCAGGGAAAGTGCCTCAGAGGGAGACCACAGCTGCGATATAAGGGTATCTGCAAGAGGGACCTAAAGGCCCTGGGAATGGACATTAACAACTGGGAAACCTTGACCTCCGATCGTTCAGTTTGGAGGCTAAAGAGGCATCATGGCCTTCTCCAATTCGAAGAGACACTTGTTCGGCAGGCTGAGGCAAAGAGGCAGTCCTGGAGCCAGCGAAATCTGGGGGCTGGGCAGGGGACAGAATGTATCTGCCCTCAGTGTGGAAGGGATTGCCACTCTCGAATTGGCCTTTTTAGTCACACTAGATGCTGTTTTAGGACCTCTTTCCAGAGCACGATACCATAGTCTTTTAAGACTGAAGGATGCCAATAATAATAAATAATAGAATCAGGCTGCAGCATCACAAAATTGACAAAGGTAAAGGAGGTCTGAATACTTTCTGAATGCACTGTACAAGTGACTGAAGAAAGTCATTATTTTAATGAATTCTTTTATGTCTGAGTGATTTCCTGCCCCTGTGATTATTTTTTTAAAAAGGTTAATCTTAATTAAGACAACATTGTTAACTAACGGTATTATTCAACTGAACTAAATGGGACAGGGATCATATTAAACTGAAGCATTTTTGCTTAAAAACGACTGAAGATTGATTTTCTGTGTTTGGAATGAGTTGCCATATAGTACAGCTAAAGAATATGCTACATATGAACCGCGGTGGCGCAGTGGTTAGAGTGCAGTACTGCAGGCTACTTCTGCTGATCACCGGCTGCCAGCAGTTTGGCAGATCGAATCTCACCAGGCTCAAGGTAGACTCAGCCTTCCATCCTTCCGAGGTGGGTAAAATGAGGACCCAGATTGTTGGGGGCAATATGCTGACTCTGTAAACCGCTTAGAGAGGGCTGTAAAGCACTGTGAAGTGGTATATAAATCTAAGTTCTATTGCTATTGCTACATAAAGGGCATGGATTGCCATCCAGATATGCTAATGAGCCAAACTTCCCCAACCTAATACTCTTCAGATATGCAACTCTTAAAATTCCCAACTAGCATGGAAATAATTGGTGTGCACATACTGGGAATTATAGTTCCAAAATATTTGGAAGGCACCAAACTAAGAAAGATGCAGTAGATTATTAGATTCCTGCTAATGCCTGCTTTAAGAGGGTGAAGACAGGATTTATAATACATTTAATAAATAAGGCTATTGCACTGTATAGTCATTAAAATTTGTTCACGCACAATGGAATATTTCAATCAAAAGCAGGATCCATTGTTTACCTTGCTCACAGTTTTTTCCCCCATATCGCAGGGGGCAATCACAACTGTAAGTATTCCACTTGGTCACACAGGTACCACCATTCTGACACCAGTTTGTGGTACAATAATTCTTCTGAGCTAAGCAACCTGCAATTCAAAAAAAAAAAAAATTGTCCTCAAGTCATTCAGTAATTACACTTTCAAGTTGTAACAAGCTGTGCTCTAGATCAATGTCATGCTTTTGAACAGCTGCAACTTAATTTTCTAGAAAGCAGTTCATAATGCTTATCATACTTTATACTGTGATATCCGGTGGTGAAATGTAAAATTTGTTGCTACCGGTTCTTTGGGCGTGGCTTGATGGGTGTGGCTTGGTGGGGGCTGTCATGTGACTGGGTGAGGGTGGCCAACTTTTCTTTTTTCTTTTTTTAAAGCATTTTTTTACTACTGGTTCAGAAGAACTGGAGCGAACCGGTAGCATTTCACCCCTGGTGATATCCAACCTTCAACAGTTCTCTTTTGTGAAGGGGAGGCATTGAAAACTAGACTAATATTATAGTAAAACAAAGGCAAAAGACTTTGATATTCAACTCTTTTCATTTCCCCTATGTGGTTAGTACATGTATCAGAGACCTAGGCTACCAAGAAATACGTTTCACAATAATATCTGTGCAGAAATGGTTTTCATAGGATGTTATCTTAAATATATCTGCAGAAAGATATTCTCTTATATAGGTAAACTTGTTTAACAACTGCTTGTTTAGCAGTCTTCCTTCATAGTTACACTGGTAATGAAAAGGTTACTTCATGACCAATCTTTGCATTTATAATCTTTGAGGTTTGTAAAGCAAAGGAAAGCTGAAGTAAGATTATAACACAGTTTTTGACTCAGCCAACACTTTGCTTAATGACTGCGTCCCAAATATAGTTGCTAAATGAGGATCACCTGTATGCACAATGTAATTAGCAAACTTGAGAAGTTAGCCCATGAATACATCTCTAGTTCCTTCTTTTTACATTTTCCCGATGAAAACACAGTTCTTTGTGCGTATAATTTTCAGAGAACCTAAAGTATTTTTTTATTCCACTTTTATTCTTGAAGAAGTTATACCTGCAAGGGTGCCATTATTGGCTATGTAACTGGCCATATCGATGGGCTTGCTGTCAATGGATAGATTCCTCATGCAACCAATGAACTGCCTGTTATGTACAGGAAAATCTTCAGGTAAATTGGGAACACCTCCAAGCAGCAGAGGGCCGGTTAAATCCAATGACCTAAAGAAATCAGAAATAAAGTGGTTTTTGACTCAGATATGTAATGTAATATTTTGTTCAGATGTAATCTCTTGTACAATAACCATATTATTGGGAGTTAAGATATTAGAGATTATTCCTTCTTGCTATTACAGATTTTGTCATGACATTGAAACGAAATACTACAAGTAGTCCTTGCTTACCAAAAGCTTTGTTTAGGAACTGTTAAAAATTATGACAGTTGGGGAGAAAAAAAACAGGTTTGTGATGAATCCCTGCTGTCACTTAATCACTATTCAATTGCTTCCCTGATAACTTCTGACAATCAATGGAAATGCCAGCAGTAAAATTGCAAGTTGCAGTCATGTAATGTATTTCACTTAATGAGCCTTGTTCACTTAACAACAGAAGTAGAAGTGAAGCTGTCGATCCAGCATAGCCACATGATTTTTCACTTAGTGACAGAGGTGCCAGTCGCAATTGTGGTTGGTAAATGAGAACTATCTCTAATAGATCGTATTAAAATGATATAAATGTTACTTACAGCCAATAGTCAACTATTTTAAGAGGTTTTTTTTTCTTTTTTTTAAACCACTAAAAGGTATTGCCACAAATGGTAAAAACATTTTTTCAAGTTTTTAGAATTACAATTACAAAGCATTGTAATTCTTATATATCAGGTTGTTACTGGAGAAGAAACTTGATATATAGATAACGTTTATAGCAATTCTTTTGTAACATAAATACTTAGAGAGATGATGTTGCCCAATACATTTTATGATTACAAAGGAGTATGTAAATCCAACTTCTAAATTTCATCCTAATAGTTTCATTATGCACTCCTTCGCTTTTTCAAATCAACAGACATAGCAAAACCCAAAAAAAATTACATAATCAAGATGCTGCATTTAATCAAACTTACATTGACTTGTAAATGTAGATTTAACCTGAGAAACCTATCCAAAACTAAGCTGAAAATATTCCAAACAGGATTAATTCATTAAAAGCCCTCAATGACACAAACATTTTCAAGCATCTTTTCCAATTACTGTAATTTTCGGACTATAAGATGCACTTAACTTTTGGGGAGGAAAACAAGAAAAAAAAATCTGACTCTGCTTCCCAGGATCCATCTGGCCTGTTTGCCGTGGCCCGTTTGCCACCACCCATTCGCCATGGCACGTTCTAGAACAGCTGATTGGCGCCACACCGACCACCCCCTTCTCCCGCCGCAATATTCGCTGTATAAGACGCACAGACTTTTCCACCCACTTTTGTGTGTGTGTGAAGAGAAGTGCGTCTTATACTTCGAAAAATACGATAACTGAAATATATCAATTTATTCTAATGCAAATCTTAGGATTCAGGATTTTGCCTCTTTAGTTCAATGTGATTAAAGACCACAGAGGAAAACTAATCAGATTTGTTTCTTCCTCCATTAGTCTTTCTTTCACTTTGACGCTTTCTCCTTCCTCACCTGAGGGAACGTTTTTGAAGGGAAGTGTGAACACTTGCCTTTACTTACTTTTCATCTTCTTCTTCGCGTTGACTTTTTCCATCCTATTAAAAGATGCTTAAGAAATAGAAACATCTGCAGCAATAGGTAACTTGCCACAAGGAGGGGCAATTTAGCAAAGATTTCTACATGATGGTTCTCTGAACTCAACCATTTTGTCCTTAATGCACAAACGTAAAGTTTAATTGAATACAAACAGGTATGAAAATGACTTTACATCTGACAATAACCAAATGCAGGCATACCTAAAAAAAGTAGCGAAGTCTCTGTCAGCCAGATTGATTCTACTACATATTCATGTCATAAAAAAACATCAACATCTTACTTTTTGGAGCCGGACTGTGTTCCCTGAGCAGCGCAGGAGTAGTTTCCAATCAGACTTCCAAAGCGTACAGCCACTGCGGTATCACAGTCGTCCACGGTTACTACAGCCACCTTCTCCCCCGAAGGCCCATGAGGAATGCCAAGTTGGCCTATGTTGGGCTTGAAAATAAATGCGAAAATTTTAAAAACTTAAACTCATAAATATTTCAAGCACCAGCATTGTACAATATTTGCCTCACTGTAAGATAGGGATGCAGTGGCTCAATGGTTAAGATGCTGAGCTTGTCGATTGAAAGGTCGGCAGTTCAGCGGTTCGAATCCCTAGTGCCACGTAACGGGGTGAGCTCCTGTTACTTGTCCCAGCTTCTGCCAACCCAGCAGTTCGAAAGCACATAAAAAATGCAAGTAGAAAAATAGGGACCACCTTTGGTGGGAAAGTAACAGCGTTCTGTGCATCTTTGGCATTTAGTCATGCTGGCCACATGACCACGGAGACATCTTCAGACAGCAGTGGCTCTTTGGCTTTGAAATGGAGATGAGCACCGCCCCCTAGAGTCGGGAACGACTAGCACATATGTGCGAGGGGAACCTTTACCTTTACCTTTAAACTAGGGATGGACAACCTGTCAGCCAAGGCTACTGGCGCCCTTTAAGCCCAGGACTGAACCTCTCAGAAGCCATATTAACTATGACTGCTAGAAAGTGAGGGTAGTACAGGTAGTCCTTGACTTACAACAATTTGTTTACTGACTGGTCAAAGTTACAATGGCACCGAAAAAAATGACTTATGAACATTTTTCACACGTCCATTGCTGCATCCCCATGACACATGATCAAAATCCAGCTGCTTGGCAACTGGTTCATATTTATGACGGTTGAAGTGTCCCGGGGTCAAATGATCACTTTTCACGACCTGCCAAGCAAAGCCAACGGGGCAGCCAGATTCATTTAACAACCGTGTTACTAATTTAACAGCTGCCGTGATTCACATAACAACAATGGCAAGAAAGGTCGTAAAATGGGGAAAATTCACTTAACAAATGTTTCACTTAGCAAGATAAATTTGGAGCTCATCTGTGATCGTAATTTGAGAACTAACTGTATTCTACCATTATGTTTTTGTTTTTTTTAAAATGCTCATTGTAGTACATGTGTGTGATTTGACTTCCCTCACATGTGTGATTTGACTTCCATTCACTGTTACCCTCACCCCATCCAATATGGACTGTGATCCTTGGCCAGCAAGTGATTGCTTTTAAGCAGTAAAAATCTGAGTAATTTTATTATAGTGATTTTAGCAATATTACATTTTCTGAGTTGCTCCAAAACTGAAATAGTCATGCTTTTGAGAACAGTAAGGCTTCTAAAGGAAGCTAATCAAAACAAGAGAATGACAATGACACCGGGTTTTTCTGCAATGGCAGCCACTCTTTGGAATAATCCTTGTTTTGCTTTTTGTCACTAAATGGTCAGTTATTATGGTGACAAAAAAGTAACTGCAACCAATCCTCACATTCACAACATTTGCAGAACTGTAAAGCAAAGGATAGCTGAAACAGAAAACAGAATAAGTTTGGAAGGGACCTTGGAGATCTTCTAGTCCAACCCTTGCTTAGGCAGGATAGGTAGGAAACCCTACACCACTTCAGACAAATGGTTATCCAACCCCTTCTTAAAAACTTCCAGTGTTGGAGCATTTACAACTTCTGGAGGCAAGTCGTTGCACCAATTAATTGTTCTCACTGTCAGGAAATTTCTCCTTAGTTCTAGGTTGCTTCTCTCCTTGATTAGTTTCCACCCACTGAAATAAGATCATAAGCACAGCCATTTTCACTTAGTGACCGTTCACTTAATGACCAAATTGCCAGTCCCAATTGTGCTTGCTAAACAAGGACTATCTGCCTACAATGATCCCATGCTGGTATATTTTCAATAGCATGCATATGTGCGTGCGCACACATTTTCCTTCTAGGGCAAATATTTACAGGTAGTCCTTGACATACGACCACAATTGAGCCCAGAATTTATGTTCCTAACTGAGAAATTTGTTAAGTGAGTTTTCTCCCATTTTACGACTTTTCTTGCCACATTTGTTAAGAGAATCGCTTCAGTTGTTAAATTAGTATTTAACTTGTTTAAACTAAATTAAGCCATTGCATTTAGATAAGCTTTCATTGCCATTATACTTAACAGACATTAAACTTTTGCAAAGTTTTTCAAAGGCTATTTCCTGGTATTAGGCTATGGCAATGAAAATGTTTTTCGTTTCCTCCCAGCTATATTTACTATTATCACATAACTTGGCAGTGCTTCATATAAAGAGCTTGACATTTGCCAGGTAATACAAGGCCTAGACTCACAAACAGCAGATAAGGAGAAAAATCTGATTTATATCAGAATGGTAGACCTTCAAGTATTAGTGCATTCTATCAATTGTTCTGGGAAGCATTATTTAAAAAAGCAATAATCATTGTCAGTTATCTTTGATATCTTGCATAGATTTTTGATTAAGTTATGCACATGTATGCTTATTGAGTTAATGAGTGCATGTATGCTTGCAACATATCCTAATACAGCCTTCCTGAGTCTGGATTCCTGCAAACACAACAGATTTCAATTCCCATACCCAAGTCTGAAACATCTACCAGCTAAGGAACACTTAAGCACACTCGATTGTACAAAGCTTTTCTAAGTATACCCTTGTATCCTATAAACCTTTCTCAAATGCTTACTTTCTGTACACGTTTTTCAAATGTATGCAATCTGTATTTAATCTGAGTCAAGAAACGGCACGTGTCACAAGGGCCATGCAAAAGGTTTTTTCTTTTTGAAGATCCCATGGATTTCATTAAGCCACCCACTGAGTTAATATGAATTGGATAATCTAATAGAGTTGTCTGCATGACCATACATTCTTTTTAGTGAATAGATTTGATAACCCAACTTATTCAATCAAGAATTCAAACCGAGTCAACTCAATCACATTGCACTCGTGGCAAAAGCACTGAAGTGCTTCCAGGTTGAAAGCATTAACCGTTGACATCACTGTTGCCCGGGGGACACCCAGTTGGGGGCTCCTTTCATGTCCCCAAAAGGAGCTGGAGCAAAGGACGGGAGCTCACCCGCCTCACGGCAGCACTCAAATCTCAAACATAGGCTTGCTACCCTCCAACTAGTGTCCTAACCATGTGAACCACTGTGCTCCTACTCAACTCAATGAATCAAATGGTTTAAGTCAGATTATAGTGATTCACAACCTCACTAATTATAGATCAACTTTTTGAGTGTAATTCAAAGTTTTCACCTTGAAGTCCTTTAACACCCAGGAGCTCTGAAAGATTCCTTTTTTCATGCAAACCAGTCCATATATTTAGTTATTCTACTGAAGTTCCTCTCAGAGTGCATGGTAAACAAGCGGGTAGAAACAAAGCACACAAGCATCCCATTAATGGAATATATTACTCTATCTCTCCCATAATGTCAGTCTTGCTCCAGCTAAGTCCCTAGGAAAGAAAGACCCTCGACTCCATTTGGTTGAAGTGATAGGTTCTTTTAGTAAGGTTTAGTGGTTGCAGCAAAAACGAGGATAGAACTGAGTATTCCTGTGCAGGTTTACACGGTTTTTCCCTCCCTGGTTCCCCCCCCCCCCTTCGATCAGAACGTCAGTGTCCAATAGCATCCCAGGGCGATGTTTTGAGAACTGCTTTGATGTCAGGCGCATCTTGAAACGGCTTCGCATTCTTTTCCAGGCCAGTCATCCTCGGGCAACTGGATTAGTCTGGTTTTCACACGTCTGGTTTCCGTTAATGCTATTCCCTCCCCCCCTTTCCTTCCTTCTTCTTTCTCCTACACATCTTCCCCAAATGACTCTGCCCCTCCCCCATGCTTATGGCAGAATGCCAGCAAGCTTAGCGAAGGGTAGTGAAGATGGCAGAGCTGACACTTATGGGTATTAAAGAATAAACAATAATTTGTATTCTTTTTTCACAGGTTGAAAAAATGCCAGGCTACAATGGTTTGGAATCTTAGATGAAGTGCTTAAACGTTTCTCTTCCCCGTTTTCACTAGATTATGGAGCAATTTGCACAATCATCACTTTATGATTCTCACCTTCAAAAGATTATGGGTTAGCCAGCCTATAGTTCATACTCTAGCTTGTTGTTTCCGCTAGGATAGGAGTCTGAAGTATGAGTCAGTACTCGACTGAAAAATGTATTAACATGCACAGTACGTTTGTCAGCAATTCTTAAAGAAATGAAATGTTTTCTTTGAATTGCACAACAGTCATTGCGTGATTTGGTAAAAATTAAATTTGATATAAGGAGGTTGCCAACAGGTGCAATGTGCACATCCACAGACACACCAAATAACATTTTATATTTGAAAATCATCTTTATATTTCAAACTTGGTTTGCTGCAAAAATCTACATTTCATGATTATTTCCTGTTTTAGAATATTAGACTCTCATCTTTCCCCTCTATTCCTCCATCCTTTCCTTTTCTCCTCAGAGTTATTGCATTAAACTCATGAAATGGGGTGTGAAGCTAATTTTCCTCCTAGTGGTGCACTCTGGATAATGCGATAGCGTGTACTGAACGAACTAGCAACTGTTGGCAGTAAACTTTCTTGGCTTTCAAAATACATGGCAGCCACACACTAAACTACAAATAAATATCCATGAAATATTATTTTCTCTCACCATGTATAAATTAATTATACAGTACACACACTGTATGTCAGTGAATATTTCCTTTAAATAACTTTTTTTAAATGATTTGAAATGTCTAACTTCTTCTTTGTCAGACAAAGAGAGCAACTATCAATAAATATATGCAATTTGGACATGATATTGCATACAAAATGTGATGAAAAGATGCTGTCCTTACAGCAGAGCTATTCAGTGGTGGGATTCAAAATTTTTTACTACTGGTTCTGTTGGCATGGCTTGGTGGGCATGGCACAGGAAGGATACTGTAAAATCTCCATTCCCACCCCACTCCAGGGGAAGGTTACTGCAAAATCCCCATTTCCTCCCGATCAGCTGGGACTCAGGAGGCAGAGAATAGATGGGGGCGGGGCCAGTCACAGGTGGTATTTACTGGTTCTCCGAACTACTCAAAATTTCCGCTACCGATTCTCCAGAACTGGTCAGAACTTC